AATTTCTCTATTTTGCCAAAACGACACTTATTTTGGGATGAAGGGAGTACTACATAGTTTATTTATTTGTAGTAGCGTACGAGGTTGCATTTAATGCACACCCAATCATTCAGAAAGTTGCTTCATAACACGCGAAAGAACAAATTAGCATACGATGGAAGGAAGGAAAACTGTCGTGTCGTATGTTTAAACAAAAAAAAAAAAAAAAAAATCTAATTGAAATCTGTCGGCAATCATTTTATTTGAACATTTTCATACGTTTGAGTTTCTAGCAGTTAGTTCCTTGATTCTTGAAGAAAGGATTGGATATAACAACAAGTGCTTGATGAATTTCTACTCTAATTCATTTTAGAAAGATTATTCAGTAATTTAATGTCACAGTCATTACTTCAGTCCTCCCCTCAAAAAGAAAAATGTTAGCTATATTATTTTTATACAATTTATGCCTCAAAAAAGTAATCCATATGAATTTTTAAATTTGTATTAATAATGCAAAACTCAATATGGATTTTTTTTTTTATGACAAGGGAGTATAAATACAATTATTTTTTAAAATTTTTTTTTACTTGTGAGATTGAGGGAGTTCAATTTCTACAAGACGATAAAAGTACATATGTTGTGTATTGAGCTTGCTCAATTTGTTGAAGTCAAAGATTAATTTTGTATTTGTGTGCGTGATTCACATTTCATAATGGACATCGATTTTCGATATTTTCTTCAGCCGTCGTCTCTTTACTACCTCAAATCAAATATGGCATTTTCAAATCCACATCTCCAATCATATATGCATTTGAAGACTAAAATGGACAAAAAAAAAAAAAGAGAGTCGTGTGTTCCTAATTCAAAACTAACTTCTGGTTTTCAAATTGAGGTTCTCCCAAGTATATAAATTCCTTGTAATTATAGTACTCTCTCACTGTACCGAGAATATTACTCTCTTACTATACCGAGAGTATCTTACTATTTCTGTCCCAAAATTATTGTTCAGTTTAAATTTTCAATTTTAATTTAATTTGTACTAAAACTGAAATTCCAAATAAGACAATAATTTCAAGACGAAAGGAGTATTAGTTATTAGTACATAGGTTTTTCATAGGAATTGAGTCGTGCTCTTGATTAGGGCGTTGAATCGTTAACCGCGAGATTGAGGGTTTGATTCTCATTGCGGACGCGAGAAGTAAGCAAATGCACAAGAAAATAGGTAACCGTATAGCAGTCTGATCAAAGTAGGCAGATGGCGGGTGACCTGCATCTCAAGATCACGGAAGACCGGACATTGCGAGCCGGAAATTAATATGAATCCCTCTAGTAGTATTATCCACTTCCGTAATACACTCTATTATGTTGTAACAGTATAAGTACCCTTTGGTGCCGATTAAAAAAAACATAATCTTTCCGATTAAAAGTTTTTATTCGATTCATTTCCTTACATTTGAGTGATTAACTTTAACAGTAATCACTTAGAACCGTATTTTGTTGTGGCACTATAATTATCAACACTCAAATCATTATAAATTTTAATCAAATTTCATTAAATTATGATGCCCCAGCTTTAATTTCCGCTTTAATATACTCATTCTCAAAAATAGCTATAAGATCATCCGAGGGAACTTGAATATAACATTGTCAGAACTAAAGAAATCTTCTTGTACTCATTCCATCTCGACTCTCGAGCTGATTTTTCTTCTTGTCGCATTACTATGTTTAGTTCAATAAGCATGATATTCATTTAGGATTTCAACTTAAGTAAAAGAAAAAGAAAAAAGGGGGAGAGAGAGAAAATGGCTTGCTTTGGAACATTGGAATTTGCGTGGTCCTGCTTCATATGTGTAGTAAAATGGAAGGCTGGAGCCCAATAAAGCCTACAAGAAATAACTTTATGAACATGAGCTTGGTCCATGGGTAACAGAAGCTGGACCCAAATCTCATTTTTTTTCCCTCTTCAAATTAGAGGAACTATCAGGGCTGAGTGTTGGGCCTAGTGAGAGGAATCAAGTAACCATTCTGGCGGCTCTGGGATTTGGACTTATTGGACTATACAATAGGATAGTGATGTAACCTCAAAATCCATTTCAATTTACAATGTCCCATTCATTTCTAGGTACGAGAAGTGAATCAAGAAATTCCCAGATGTTGAAATACTTTCACGCGGAAATTCTAAATTTTGTGACCTAGGAAGCTAGGACCCCAAATTACTTGTCAAAATTGGAGCAAGCTCATTTTTGTTTTTGTGTTTTTGAAAATAAAATAAAATTTAATATACATGTTTCTATGCTTGTCACACAAAAGAGGCAAACTACGTCCCAGAAGTCCCTGTGGTATTGACATATCTCGTATCGCTTCTTCTTGTAGTATTATCAACCATAAGTGGATGCAATTTGTCTACAAATATAGTTGACATTGAATTGTATGGTTAAATGTTTTGGTCTTTATATCATATGATTGTTTATGAAATGGTTAAGCAACAAATAAATAATATGGTCTAGCACATGCTTCATCATCTTCTTCTTTTCTTTTTTTTTCTCCATATTTGCAGGGTGTCTACCGTTGGCAACAGTGACTAATTCTCTTAGTTGAATTGTAGACACTTCAATGGATGGGACATCTAACCAAAGTATTTAAAGTTATTTCATGTTCATGACGAGATTCGAACACTCAACCTTTGGTTAAAGGTGGAAGAGTCCCTTCTACTCCACCATAGCCACTTTGGTTTGCTTCATCATCTTTTTAAGTGGCAGATATTTGATGAGCATGTGATGGAATAAACCAGTGCCCAAAGACATCACTCTCCATTGGGGAAGGTGGGGAAGCAAAGGTAAGGTCCAAGTACTATAAATAGAGAACTCTTAACAAAGAGAAATTCATGATTCATAGTCAAATACTCAATTAGTTGGGTTGTTTAGTCCTAGCAAAATGTTAGGACTCATCATGATAGGGGAAAACTCGGGAAAATCACTTAATATGATAGGTAACAAACTTTTTAGCATAATGTGAGAACTAATGTAATAATAGTAATCGTGAGTTGGAACTTCAAAAAAAAAACAAAACAAAAAAACATAAGCTTAACACGAGGGGAACATCAGAGAATGAATGGTCTTAGAGATCACACAATAGAATGAATTGATGATGTCTTGATGGAGCTAGAGTGGTTTTAACATTTTCTAACCAACCTTAAAAAAAAAAACATTTTCTAACCATATTGAATCAAAAATAGAGTTAGCTTTTTTTATACAATTGAAACTACAAATTTGAGATAAAAACTGTTAAAACTCAATGGAAAATGATAAGTATAATAAAATACTATAGTGACTTTGGTGTAATAACTGATGTATTTCTTAAAATTAACTAATTAGTGATTTACACATTAGTCACTATACTAAATTCACTATAATTTTTCACTCTCTATCATTACTCAAAATCAATATTTGGAATAATTTGACACAGGTTAGCTAGTTTTACAACACATCAATGGAAAACAATGCTTGACATAAAACCTATGTTTTAAAAACCGGACCAGAAGACGAACCGACACCTTTAGTGGTTTAATGGTTTACCAGTTCAACCAGTTTAAATCGGCTTTTAAAACCGATAAAAATCAGCTATAAAAATTATTAAAAAAATAATTAATTTTCAAAATTTTAAAATTTCAGTTTAACTGATATCGGTTCCTAGTCAAATCACGGTTTTGTTCGAATTTGACCGAGTTTGACCGATTTTTAAGTCTACCGATTATTAATTTAAATCGAACTGAAAAGGCCTCTGATTCTCGATCAAACCGGTTTGACCGCTCGGTCCGATCCGGTTCTCAAAACACAGCATAAAACAAGAGGTGCCAACAGAAATCTAAGAAATAGCCCATGATATCACTAGGAAAATGTCATGTCTAAAACATTCTTTCTAGTATTTTTCTTTTTATAAATTTCCCGTGAGACTTGTACAGAAGAAGTTCCACTAACAACACCAACTATATTTCCAAATTCCAACTACTTCCTTAAAGCAATGATATTTTAGTATATTAAACCAAATGGAACTATGCCAACAACTAGAGATGTTGACTGCCTTTGTGATTGACAGCTCCTCCATTCTGGAAAAAGATAACATTGGAGAGTTGAAAATTGAAATGTGTTAGGTTAGGTCTTATAAGTTCCCAAGTTACATGCATGATTTCGTGTTTTTTTTTTTTTTATAAATATTCCAAAAAAGAATGGTAGTAGAATATTAAAAGACTATGTTCAACTCCAACAAACATCTCATTGTCCTTTTTGGGACATTCTCATTCTTCTCTTTGAGTTAAATAAGCTACCATTTCTTTTCTTATTTTGGCTTTTGAATAATTAAGCTATTTACTAAATTTCAATGGACAACAACAAATCATTATTATTTTCAAATAAATATTATTTAACCATGATTTTGAATACCAAATGCACAATAGGAAGGAAAAAAAACAATTTATTCATTAGAAAAGATATAGCAAATATATCAATTTTGTCGATATTGTTAGATAACAAAATGTTTGTTGTATAAGTTGTGTTATACCGTATTTTTTTTCTCGTATGTAAATGTGCATGGACAGACCTAGGAGGAGCAAAGGGGGTCCGTCAACCCTGCGATCGGCAAATTTTTTTAAAAAAATATCTTAGATTTTTAATATAGGTTTTTGGAAAAAAAATTTTAGTTATGATCCACCTTACGAATATTAGGTGCTGGTTCCGTAAGTGTGATTAATTTATTTTGGCTGATGTATTGAATAGAAGTGATGACGTTTTTTCATTGCATTTACTGCATCATTACGTAGTCACTATGATTAATGCGAACCATTTTGTGGATTTTTATTAGCAGGAAGAAAAGAACAGTCGTCCCAACTTGGCAATAGTGATGGACGGAAATGCCCTTAAGACAGAGCCTTGTAATTTCAGAATCAACCACCAAACCGTTGCTAAGTTTCATTTCGCAAATCCCTTCCTCCGGCTCCCACTCTGGTGGCGGCCCGCAGCTCGGCAATGGCGGCGACCGCCGTGAAATCACCTCTCAACACTTCCATAGCCCAGAAACTGAACCCTAAGCTCTCGTATTCAAGCCATGTTTCGTTCTCCACTATTAACCTCCCGAAACGGCGTCGCAAGTTCCCTCATCAAGCATGCAATACCATCAGCGGCGGCGGAGAAAGCAACTCCGACCGGAATGGTGGCGTAGCCAAGAAGAATGCTGTGAACGCAATTGAAATGCACAAGCTCATCGAGGACGATCCAAAGGAAGCATCCGCCGCTCTTCCAAGTTTGTGAAATATTGTCTAATTGCTTCAGTTATCATTTCGTGCTGAGATTGAGTTTTTTTCTGTTCATCTGAAATGTGTATTCTGTTTCAGGGCCTTTGACGTCGGCTTCTTTGTCCCACTCTGCTTCGGAAGGATCTCGGCTTCGTGTTGCTTATCAGGTTTCTGGATTGAATTAACACTGGATATTAGTATTTTTAGTTTTGTTGATGATTTTTCCTCGCGATTTTGTTTGATTTGTTGATTAATTATAGGGGGTGCGAGGTGCATATAGTGAGTCTGCAGCAGAGAAGGCTTACCCCAATTGTGAAGCAGTTCCTTGTGAACAATTCGATACTGCCTTTGAAGTGAGTCTGTCTGCTTTCCTAAATTTGGCAAGAATTTTGTTACTTTAATACCCAGTTATGCTTACCACTTTGATGCATTAATCAAACGTCATTAACACTTTGTGCGATTCAAGATTGTCTTTATTAATTTACACAAGATTCGTTTTGCATTACCTTTTACCAGCTTCACTCATTTAGTTCTTCTGAACAGTTGATCTTCTTGGTTGAACTTTTTTGATCATTTTATAGAGCATGATATTTATTAGAATCTTAGTTTGCAGCATATGAGATCTCCTTTCCATGTTGTATTTACTGGAAACTGCTGACAAGTTAGGATTTAAAAGTTCTTGTTTTCCAACTGCTCTATGAAAGCTGAATTAGTTAAATTAAGACTTTAGCCTGCATTTGTTTATCAATTTTTCCGTAATCCTCTTAAATGTACTCTTGTCCAGGCTGTTGAAAGGTGGCTTGTAGATAGAGCAGTTTTACCTATCGAGAATTCTTTAGGAGGAAGCATTCACAGGAACTATGATCTCTTACTGCGTCACAGATTGCATATTGTTGGAGAAGTTAAACTTGCGATTAGACATTGTCTGTTAGCTAACCATGGTGCTAAGATTGAGGACCTGAATAGGGTTCTTAGCCATCCACAGGTATGTTTCTTCTGCTTATGTGATTTTTTTATTTTTTTTTGAAACTTTTATGGGAGTATTTCTATATGAACCTTGGTGATGCATTTAGGCTCTTGCACAATGTGAGAACACTCTAACAAAGTGGGGCCTGGTACGAGAAGCTGTTGATGATACTGCTGGTGCGGCCAAGGTTTGTGTTCGGTAGATTTTTCCTTCTTGGTTTGTTTAAGACCTAAAGATCATGCAACTACTCTATTTTAAATATGTTTCAGATGACTGTTCCATTGAGTTTCGTGTTAGTTATGTACATTTTTGGAGAATCAGAAGTTTGTTTCAAAATGTCCTACAAATTAAATTGTCTTAGTCTGTATATCGCATTCAAATTGAAATTAACAATATTTGGTTTATTAATCTATTGTCATCCCTTTACCCATCTTTGTACACAGTTTATTGCTTTCCACAATATCAAAGATGCCGGAGCAGTTGCTAGTGAGACTGCCGGTAAGATCTATGGCTTGGATGTTCTTGCACGAGATATACAGGTTTGTGCAGGAAAGAAAAGTCTCTCACTTCCTCTTCTTATTTTCATTAATTTTTTGGGCTCTAACTTTCTAGATTTCCAGGATGATTCTGATAATATCACTCGCTTTCTTATGTTGGCTCGGGAGCCTATCATTCCTGGTGTTGACAAGCCTTTCAAGGTTAGCTATATTTGTTTAACTGCATGTTCAAGATTGAATTTCATAGGATTCATTTTGAAATTCATTCTTCCCCTGATCTGGTTTGGATATATTCCTTTTGGAATTGGTAGACAAGTATTGTCTTCTCGCTTGAGGAAGGACCGGGGGTGCTTTTCAAGGCTCTTGCTGTTTTTGCAATGAGGAGCATCAACCTGACTAAGGTGATTTTCATTGTTTTATGTCTTTCCTCATGTGCGCTTAGAGTTTCTTCTTTGTAGTTTTTAACCAATATTTTTTCTACAAAAAACAGATTGAAAGCCGACCTTTACAGAAGCAGGCTTTACGAGAATTAGTTCATAGTACTTCTGGGTTGCCAAAGTATGGGTAATACATTTTTAACTTCCCAGTTTGATATTGTGTCAATGCATGTCTATGATTTGATTGGACCAACCTTTATTCTTGAGATTTTTGTTAAAGAGCACTTATTTTGAATTATGGTTGACACAGAAACTTCCCCTATCTTTTCTATGTCGATTTTGAAGCATCTATGGCTGATCAAAGGGCCCAAAATGCACTTGGCCATCTAGAGGTAACTGAATTAAAGTTATCCTTTTTGCTTTAATCTAATAATGTCACTCTGTTAATGAAAAAGTATTGATAGTAATTTGAATTGAATTTCTGTATAGGAGTTCGCTACGTTCTTGAGAGTGCTGGGAAGTTATCCTGCAGACACTGGCATCCCATGAGTAACCCTTGCACCTGGTAATACCTCCATTGATTAAATTACGTGATCAAATTCAGGACTTTTTCTTGCTCTTCTTGTTTGACTTTGAGATATATGTTTATCATGATACCTTACGGTAACTATTTTTGTAGCTATTGTTATTAAGGATGGAAAAATTGGAGTTCTCGAAGTGTCAATGTTTGTTGGATACTTATGCTGTGAAAGCTTTGTGAAAATTGGCTTAAGGACTGATTGGAGAATTCAGATAGTTGCTATGATTATTTTGGTTTTTGAAAACAAGATTGGTTGATAGAGATGCGAGTAAACAGGAGTTATAGGCATCTATGTCTTTTTAGGACTATATGAAAAGGTATTGTAAGAAGTATAATTAGTTCTAGAGTGGCTTAGTGCCGTTGCGTGCTTCAAAGTGCTTTTGTCATCCATAGGAGATAACGGTAGTAGGTTTTGAAATGAAGTTGTGGCTTAACTTCAAAAAGGAATTTGTGAGAGATTCATATAACGAGAAAAGATGATTGGAGTGCCGTCGGGGCTCTTAAAAATGAAAAGATACATCTTTCTGAGGCTAAATGGTGACGGATTACCCAGGACCTTAGAATGAGGTATATTGTATGGGAAAAGGCTTCTCCTGGAAACACATTGAATAAAAACTAGAAACTAGAGGGAGTTGTGGTCGATCTTTGTTGCCTGTGTATTAAGGAGAGTAATCGCTCTTTAAGGTTTGGATGTGTGTATGTGTAGATGGGTGAGCAAGTATTGGTCCGCAAAGCCCTTATGCAACATTGATGATCTTGTGTACAGCTTGTTTTTCTGTGTATAACCATTCAAGAGGATTGAACATCTTTTTGTTCTTCTTTTCTCTTGTGCTGGAGTAGTTGTAGTCTTTCCTTGTACTTGTTATCCTTTCAAATCTTAATTCCTCCTTGTCAACAACTTCAACTGTTACGCAGGAACTTGAGCATGCGGCCCGAAGAATTAATGGAATCGTTACGCAAATATTTGTACAAATTTACACATGGAGGCTATTTCGGAGATGTTTCCTAAGTTGGAGGCAACCATCTCAATTCTTTCCCTACTACATTTTGGTTCATGTTCTTTATCCTATTTATGCTCTTTTCATCTTTTCAGAATTCTGTTCTTAAATGGATGAACTTTCCTTTCCGGGTCTTGATTGTTAGGGAATTCCCATTTCTGGTTAACCCCGCGTTCGTTAGAAATTGAGAATTTGTTTGGGACAATGATTGTATTTTGTACTACTTCCTTCATTTTTTACTTGTCAAGACATTCTTGTATAATTTCGAAGCGTTGAAAATGTAGTGTGGCGATGAATGGAAACCCTTTGAATCTTCGCAATTGATTGTTGCACCTACCTAATGGGAGACACTCATGGGTTGGTAAAAAGGTGGGCATTAATCATATTGGTAGGCTAACTGGCTAAGGAGATTTTTCCCATTGGCAACATGAGCTGGTAAAACATAAAGAAAGTAAAATCGCTGTTTTTTTTTTTTTGGTTGAAAAGGAAAAATCGCTGTTTCTTTTATGACGATGATTGTCGTTTGTCAGTATATTTAATCTTGTCACACCAGATACGGCGATTAGAACCGAAATTCCCGTCTGTAAAAACCCAGCTACTTTCATCCGCAGCTTTGGAACAATCTTCTGCATTTTTTTTTGAAATAATAAATCTTTTGCATTTTAAAGAAGCGAACAAAACATCACCACCCTCCGACTCACTATATTGTCCATAATAAGAGTTGGTCATCTTTTTTTTACTTTTAGTTTAATTGTATTAAAAATGAAAATCTAAATTAAATAATAGGGAAGTATATACTGTTAAAATTAAAACAGTTGTTAGGGAGAGAGAGAGAGAGAGAGAAAACCTGACATATCACTCTATTTTCCCCTCAAAAGAATTAAAGAAGTAGTATACCATCTATGTTATGATACCTATTAAATTACTATTAAAATAAAACTTTTATTCCTAATATTAATACTCCCTCCTGACCTTATTATGAGGCAAATATGATTATTTCTAATTTTCATTTGAAACTGTATAAGGATTTTATGAAAGTCAAAGCCTATCACATTTACCAAGTGTTATCCCATTTTCCACCGTTTCCTATTTATTATATACAGTACTATCATCAAAGAATCGGGGCAAAGCCTATTTGAGTCTCGAGTTACGCCCTCGATGTGGGAACCAGCATTCTGCGGGCCTTAGAGGCCAACACAACATGTTAGTGTTACACGAACTCCTAAATCATGTCCAAAACATGTAACCTTTGCTTTGTAACCTTAACCAAGAAGAATGGACATTGAAATCTGGAAGAAGCTCCTTTGAGCATTATTTTCGCGGTAAGATACGATATCGAAACACTTCGAATAGTTCATGCGATGAAATACTAGAGCAAGGAAACACTGGTAATAATGCTTAACTCCACGACCAATGACATAAAATCCTCGAGCTTGAGCTGAATTATGGCTTTCTGGTTGAATGACAAAGTAATTTACCCAGAATGAGCCCCCCGACCGGGCGTCCAACAGAATCTGCTCTTTGTCCAGCTGGTAGATCACCTGGAGCGACCGCAGCAAGAGCATCAACAACAGCCGGGTCACCGACAAAATCACAGGTCAGTCCAACACTTACAAATGGCGTGTTTCCTTGGCTATCAGACAGGAAAGCAATCTCTACAATGTCCTCATGGACATAATGTGATGGGTGGACTTGACCACGAAATGGCCAAAGGCAATTTTCCACGGTCAGGGTAATGGTCGGGAAGTAAGAGCCTTCAATTACAGAGGGGTCAAACAGAGCAAGTTGAAATTCGGTCTTCCTCATAATACCTAGGAGGTGATCATAACAGCCTCTATCGAAACTAACTTTTTTCCTTCGGCCATAATTATTCATGGTTTCAGCTGAAGAAGCATAAACAATGAGAGAGTCACACGGGCCATCCATCAATTGGCATCGGCTTATAGAACTCAGTGTTGCTGAAATCCAAGAGGGGAACTCAAATGTCTTTGTACCAGGGCAACGAAGATTCATTCTGGCCGTCCTCTGATCAGGAGCCGAGTAAAGACCTCTTCAGAGTTTGTTATATGTCTGACCGATGGCCAGGTCCACCATGGCAATCACATCTTGGGCCAACGATCCATCAACTTGTTCAGAAGTTCAAGAGCAATAGTTTACGATCCATCAACTTGTTCACATCTTCGAAGCAGTGTTACCAAGTTACCGGTGATGTTGGCAGCCATTTGATCAAGGTCCACAGTTACAACCACTGGATCGGATCAATTCCGACTTACCATCAGCAATCAACTCCTCGAATGGATCAGGCCTTCGCATTGCTGGTGGTTCCTATTTGAATTCATAAAGAAATGTGAAGTCAGGATAAACTCCGCCTACATACAGTGCATCTGGCATCTAACTTGTTTGAAAGAATCACAGAGACTTAATATTGAATATGATTAAGTGTTTTGTTAGCAGAAAGAAAATTGTGATTCTCTAAAACCAAAATCATTTAAACCAGAAAAGCATAATATCTGATCTTAGCATGGCAGATGGAAACTTAGATTAGTGAAAAAGACAATTTGAAAGATTCTTCCCTATTTACCGTACTAGTGACTAGTAAGCTCAGAAATAAATGAACATTTTGTCTTAGTAAATTACATTCACTGGCTCGACTCTTGAGTATGAAAGCAAAAGACTACATTTTCAGACAAAAAATCCCGAGGAAGACAATTTTACTTCTTTACCATCAGGCTCTTGATGAGATCATGAATTTCACCACGCATCTGCGAGACCGAAGATGGAGTGATAGTGGCCAAATCATCAAACCATAACTTCTTCTTATCCACATTCTCTTCTGAAACTTCTTTGAACCAGTTGCAAATTGCCCTTGCAAAGGCGCAAACATAGAGGCCACAATCATAACCATTTGTTTGCTTTGGAACAGAAGGGCATTCAACGAAACTTGCATCATAAACTGTATAAGGTTGAACACGCGAGAGGAGGCGCCTGGCTTGTATTGCGTTCATGCTCCCGGAGCTACTATCATGATGCACAAACACTTTACCGCTTCTCAAATAAGCAAGCAAGCTCCAATGACAGCCTCCCTCGGCTAAAGATACATCAGTGTTGTCATTAACGGGAAACAATATAAGTTTCTTCTGGCGAAAATTAAGCGGCTTTACAAAATCTTCGATGCTTCCAGGACACTCTTTAATCCACTGGGAAATTGATGGCGGAACTAGCAATACATCCTCCGCGGAAAGGTCTGAACTCAAGTAACTGAAATAGAACTCAATGATGCGATCGTTGAGAAAATGCGGACCACTGAGAATGCCCAAATCGGATCGCCTGAGTACGACATCACCATAGCTCAGCACCTTCTCATCTTCCATACGTTTTTCCATGTCACCTGGCAAAGTATGGCGGCGTTAATCGAAACTTGAACTTTTAACCAAATCGACCAGATATTTCAAAATTCAAATACTGCGCATAAATTCGAATAAAAAAATCAACTGATTATTCATGTTTAAAGCTTGAAATCCTACTTGAAAAATATCAATGTTGCTATAACAGAGATCTAAAAAGGCTAATCAAAACCCAGAACCATCTTTATTGTTCAACACACTTGAAAATTAATCGAAGCGAATTTCAGGGGAAAGAAAACTGGGGAAACTAAAGGATGTAACCTAAAAATTTCTTCTGATTTCTCACAAAGCCCAGAATTATCAATAAGCATAGTAGAAATAAAAGTAGATAAAACGAGTAACTCAACCATTGCAATCGAGGAGTTTAGGAACCAGAGATTTTCGGGGGAAATCGCAATAACAAATTGAAAAACATACCTTTCTTAGATTTATCGTAATGATGATGCTTCTGATCTAAACACCTTCAAGAATTTTGATTTCACCGGGTAAATTCCTTGTGCTTTTGAAGCTAGCTTGGCCTAGGATTTAAGGGGATTTTTGAAGAATGTGGAAGACGAAGGAATGCAGTTCTTAACCAATCACAAAAATACACTAGGTGTTCGTGTCATAAAAAAAAAAAGAATAACTTCTATACTATTTAAAAAGGAAAAAATGTCGTTCCTACCCAAAGCTTTGCTCTCGTTGTCAATCATACCTAATAGATTTTTGGTTAGCCAACTTTATCATAATATTTGAAATTTTCGCCAATTTCGTCCAATCGGTCCATTTTCAATCTAAATTAACGGATCTCCCTTAGTTTTTTAATGAATTTAAATACAAAAATACCCCAGTAGTTTTTAAAAATTTTAAAAATAACCCCTAAAATATATAAAAATAACAAAATAGTTCCTTTTCACTTTTTTATTTCATTTTTCTCTATTTTGTTCCATTTCTCTCAACTACCTTTAATGACCATAAAAGTATATTATATGAGTTTTTAAAAAATATTTATTTATTTTTAAACTCTACTGTAAAAATTAATCTTTGTATAGTTGTAACACATGATTGTATTTATATAAGCATGTTAATCTTTTTAATAATATAGTTTAGCAACAAAGACACTATTTTTCTGATTTATTTTATTCTTCCTAACACATAGATTAAAAATATTTAAATGAAACTAATATTCCACATAAAAATTAAATATTAAATCAAATAAAAATAATATATTAGTATGGTTTAGTGTATTACAATTTAACTATGGAGACTACATGGAATAATATAATTTATAAAAAAATGCTTATACTTATCAATGCGAGGATTTAACATTTTGTAATAATTATTTGAGATATTAATATATCTTACTATAGAGGAAGTCTTACTAGCTTATTCTATATGATTTTAGTTTAAAATAAATGAATGGAGGTAACAATATAATAATAAGTTGTTGTGATAGAAAATTAGTTTTAGATTCAAGAAGGAAAGCTTATGTTTGGAGGATTTTTTTTAAGGTTTTAATTATTTTATATTTTAGTTATTTTTTTATGAATTATATTAATGCAAGTTATAGTCTCTTGAGTTAAATTGTAATACACTAAAATATATTAATTTTTTTTATTTGAGCTAATATTTTATTTTTATGTGGAATATTAGTTTCATTTAAATGTTTTTATTCTTTGTGTTAGGAAGAATAAAATAAATCAGAAAAATAGTGTTTTTATTGCTAAAATATATTATTAAAAAGATTAACAAGCTTATATAAATACAATCATGTGTTACAACTATACAAACATTAATTTTTACAGTAGAGTTTGAAAATAAATAAATATTTTTAAAAAACTCATATAATATACTTTTATGGTCATTAAAAGTAGTTGAGAGAAATGGAACAAAATAGAGAAAAATAAAATGAAAAAATAAAAAGGGATTATTTTGTTATTTTTATATATTTTAGGAGTTATTTTTAAAAATTTTTAAAACTACTGGGATATTTGTATTTAAATTTATTATTTCGTTAAAAAACTAACGGAGATCCGTTAATTTAGATGGAAAATGGATTGATTGGACGAAATTGACGAAAATTTCAAATATTAGGATAAAGTTGGCTAACCAAAAATCTATTGGGTATGATTGACGACGAGAGCAAAATTTTGGGTAGGAACAATATTTTTTTCCAAAAAGTACACAACGATCAAATTAATCATAAGTTTACCTCCCAGGTAGCCAGGTTCGTGATGCCTTCAAACTCAAAGTAATGTATCAGGAAGTTTTTTTTTTTTTTTTTTTTTAGAGAATGTTACATGTATTGGTTAAAAAAACATACTTATATTATTACGTCGCATAGTGTTATATGTTAAATTATGCATATCTTGAACATCAGTTTTACTTACTTTAGTCAGTTCGCAGAATTCAAACGAGACTATTAAAGAAATTAATAGATCAATTGCTACTTGTGCTTCTGCGGAGATTTATATCTCTCTGAAATTAGTAGTTAAGATCTCACAATCCATTTGAATCAGAATCCGGGTTTTTTGGGTTGTCAAGACCTTTTTTATAGGGAACAAATCGGCCAAATCACATCCTAAAACAAAATTGGATGTTGGGAACTTAACCAAAACCAAAAACTTAAAATTCTAATTTAATTTTTTAAAAAATATTACGAACTTGCTATTTGAAATTATTAATCCGATTAATTTATTCTAGTATCCTAATCCTAATCTCATATTTTAAATGGCCCAACTTATGTTTTAATTTGTCCAAACATTTTGCTTAAGGAATCAAAGAACAGAGTTCGTCCATCTAATAATTTTCGTCCTTTTCTATACACTAATAGAACTAATAATGATACTCCTCCTCTAGTTTAGATTTTTTATTTTTAAAATATTATTTGAAATGGAAAAAGCATAATAATTAAAAAAATAACCTTCATCAAACTAAAAAATGACGGGAGTATGAGAAGAAAACTAACATTTACATAAACAGAAAATGATCCAGTATTGACTTGTATAAACTACTTATAAGTTTTGAATTAATGCAAAATAATTAAAATATTTATATACCTGTCAAGCAACCGACTAAGGACAAATTTTTACTCTCTCTGTTCAAAAATAGTATATATTGAGTTTTATATTATTTTACATATAAATTCAAACATTCACTATTAACATTTCTTTGACACAGAGAAAATACAAGTTACTAGATTATAATTATTGCATATATTTCCCTTGAAAGGATAGTACGCCGGGGCCATCACACATACACATTAATCTTTCAACCCAACGTTTATTTACGATGGAAGATCAAATGTTTTTTTAATAAATGTAAAATAATTTGTCGGTACTCAGTAGCATCGGAAATATGGACAAATGTTACAAGTTATTTTATTTTTCAATAAATACTGTATGACTTTTTTTTTCTTAGACAGAGATATGAAGTAGACTGTTGCATGAAACTAGAATTGTTAACATTCTTAATTAAACAAGTAGAAGCCATTGGATCTCATTTACTGGACCACTTTTCGCATCTTTCATTCTCTCTAGTAGCCTACTATTGAAAAACTACACCAACACTTGGTCAGAGTGGTAAGATAATTTGGTTTCTTTAAATGAGACATTAGATTCGAATATTATAAATGGAAAAAATAATGTTGAGAGAGCTTTTTTTCTCAAAGAAAATCGATCCGGTTCCATAAATTAATCTGAATGCAATACACTTAGGACATTATGTACAATATGGAAAAAAAAAACTATTAGTATATACAGTATGTGAACTCCACTTAAGTTTTGCTTTTCCTTTTCTTAGTTTAGTTTTATCATGGGGAAAAGGTTTTTCCATCTCTAGTTAACACTTAACATCCTAATGCTTTTAGTATACTCCGACCGGCACAGAAAATATTCAGCATCTTTAGCGGCACCGGTTGATATCAAACCACGGTTAGAACCTATGTTTTGAAAATCGGACCGGAGAGTGAACTGCTAACTCTACTGGGTCATTGGTTTAGTGGTTCAGATCATCATAAATAATTTTATATATTATTATATATTTAATAGCATAAATACCTATATTTATATTACTTAGCAACTTACAAATAGTTTTATTTACTCATTAAAGGATTTATTATTGGATTCATATGGAAATATTATATTGATAATATGTCAAATAGTCAAATTATATGAAAAAAAAAAGAACATGGATTTGATTTAAAAATTAAAAAGAGAGAATCAATACGTAAATATCCTTAATTATTAGCATTTCTGTTATGTTAAATATCATTAAAGATTGCATGATTATAGTACACATTATACTTTAAATGAGTAATAAATAAAATGAATTAGACCATTGTGATGAAACATTTATTCAAGCTTCAAATAAATTATTTTGAAAACTTTAAGAAACATTGTGTCAAAATCTAAAACTATAAGGTTCATCATGCAATTATGTCAATAATAAAACTAAAGTCAAAAAACCTATCACCTCTCTCATTCTTTCTCCCCAGCCGCCGAAACCACCTCTCATGTCCTCTTGGCTCACTCTCCCCATCCCTCTTTTCCTACATCTTCTTCGATTTTTTTTTTGCTTCAATCTTCTTCTTCGTCTCTTTTCTTTTTTATTTCATCTTGTTCTTTGTTCACTCAATTTATGAAGTCCCATTTCTTTTCTTTTTTGTTCAATCTTCCTTTTAATTCCTAATTTATCATGTTGTAGACACACACAGTTTAAAAGATTCAAGGAAAAGAATAATTTGCGGAGCAAATAGAGTGAAAAGTTGAGAAAAGAACCCCAAAAGTTGAAACCGGAGTCAATCGGTTCTTACCGGATCGCGGTTCAACCGTGAGTTTGACCGGTTTTTAACCAAGGCGGTTATTTGTAATATTCGGACCGTTCATACCTCCATTTCCGGTCTAACCGATTCGACTGTCCGGTCCGATCCGATTTTAACAACATAGATTAGAACTTAGACATGACATTATATGTGTTTCATACCCTCGCAATTAATGTCTTAGTTTGATAGTATAGGATTTTTTGTATTCACATGTACAAATTTAAATTAGTTAATTAATTTGTGTCTTACAATTAACATCAGAAAGAATATACCGTAACACATATAGCTAGTGTATGTTGTTAATTTTTCCAAATTGATTGGTACTCCCTCCGTCCCATAATTATTGTCCAGTTTTACTAAAATGAAAAATTTTATTTTTGGTCAAATTTAACTATATTCTATCTTAAATAACCGGATATACCCCTACATAAGTAATTGTTTAACCACTAAGATTTTATGGATAAGGTTTTTTACTGAGGACAAATGTGTAACTTGATCCATAAAAAGTCAAATTGGACAATAATTTTGGGACAAATTTTTTTGGGCAAAATGGACAATAATTATGGGACGGAGGCAGTATTTTATTTCTCTCTCTTTTTTTAACACAATTTCCTAAGATGTCGCATATAATAATTAAAAATAGTATAGAAATACTAACATCGACTTATACGTGTATATATTATTCTCTGACTATAACATTTTCGCAAAATTGCAATTCTATGGCTATACCATTGTTCTTCCACAAAATTGGTGATCTGCGATTGTAACATCGTTCAACGGAAATACCATGCGTCTATTCAAGCTCAAACAAAAGTTGAAAAAGAAATGCCTCCTTCATAGGACAGGGATGGCCATATATTCTTGAAAAACCAGCTCATAAATCATCATAAACAGGATTGGCAGCAACTCTGGCTGATCTACACATTGATAGCAACAACAAAACAATGTTGGTATTCTCTTTTCCAACTAATGAAAGAGGAGTATTCCGATCAACAAAATAAACTAGTATTATATCTGTTCTAAAAAAATCATATTAAATTTTTAAATTTGTACTAAAAATAATATAAATATTAAATTTCAAAAATATGAACTATTTCTGACAGAGGAGGTGTGTAGAATGAGATTGACATAATCCATTAATACAAACATCTTACCACATCAAAGGGGGACAAAAGAATCGGTACTAATGTTTCGATCATTTTCGTATACAATACCATAAATTAATAGCTTATCCTTAGTGAAAATCTTTGACCAAAAGTGTAATTAAATATTTTAAACTTTATGATTCATCACACCTTCCAACGAACAAATAAGTTGCTTAATCCATAATCTATTGCTGTTTAGTCTAAAGAGAAAAATAGCACCCAACACATGGGATGTCAACCCTTCCGAGGAAGCTTCCTTCCTTTCACTTTCATCACCCTATATTTTTTGAAATTTACACTCTGGCCTTCTTTTATTTTTAAGATTTTCATTTGCCTACCAAATCACCGACTCACCAACACAAACTGTGTCGGTCAACCTCTGTATCCGAATTAAATATGCTACCATTTTCCAGTTTCACGCTCTTTATACCAGCTTTCCAGATATTTTCTCTATATTTTTTTAATTTTCATATTAATTAATTTTGGGACCAAAAACAAACTTAATTAAAATCGTTAAGAAACAAAGTTACTGAAATGAACAGCTGTTTAAAAAGTCAAAATAGGGGCCAGACATTTCGTATCAAACTTTCTTAAGAAATATTTAATTATTAGTCGTTCTCCGTTCCAAAATAATTATTCTATTTATTACATATTGCTTAGTCCATAGTGGTTAAAGGAAAACAATATTCATCATAATAAAAATTACGCAATAAAAGAAATAGTGACTATGTTGATCCCTATTTTGTTACCACTTTGTTGTACAAATTATATATTTCCTTTCAAAAAAAAAAAGAAATTATATATTTCTCCCCAATAATTACCCTTTTGCCTTTAATTGTTGTATACACATTAAAAGCTGTGAGCATTTACTATATTATTATTTCACTGGTTCAATCACCTGTTCAATAAAATTTCATTAGGTACCACAGCTAGTCAAAGAAACAATTCAATTTTTAAACCGCTTTAATGAAAAAAAAACCAGAGCACAATATTTTTCACCAAGATTGCAGAATTAAAACGTAGTTACTTTTTAAAATTAAAATTTGGGATGATCATGCGGTTTAATGATTCTTAAAAATCTGTCCAAATAATAAGAGAATATGATACTAAAGTGATTTTGTCAAAAAATACTCCCTCCGGTCCTTATTATAAGATATTTTGACTTTTCATAGGTTTCACATAGTACATATTTTTAATTAACAAAAAAACTTTAAATATAAATTTTCACATTCGTTATGTTCTCTTGATTGTTGAAATATTTTTAAGGTTTTTTTATTAATAAAAAATGTATATTAGGTAAAATCCAAAATAAATCAAAATATCTTATATTAAGGACTGGAGGAAATACTTCATTAAAACACTACGAGTACGAGCTATCAAAACATGCATAAACTATAGTCATTTTGAACTTCATCGAATTAACTAACTTCATTGATACCATTGTAAAATCGTACTAGTACTCATGATATAAACAAACATAGTAGGTTAACAATAAATCAATGTTTGTGTGTGTTTTTTTTTGTTGAAAGATACTATTTTTTTTCTAGCTCATAATTGTAATTAACATTAAAAAAAATCATAACAAATCACTAAATAAGCACTTGCAGTTGTACTTTGGTATCGAATCTTATTCTTTAGTAATCGTTTAATTGAGGTTAGTTACTAATATTTAGTAATAAATACCTTCTTTTTTTCTTTTTTTTTCCCAACCTTAATGGAATGCTTATTCATGTGGTCCTTTAAAGAAAAAGAAAAAATTCCCATTTACTTTGATCCTACTCGAAATTCCACGCTTTTAAGACGAAGAAAAAAAGGAAAAAAGAAAACACGCGGAATCATCGAATCGCAATGGCAGTTGCAAAATAAACTGCAACTGGCAACCATCATCATCCCCACCACCACCACCACCATCATCGTCGCAGAGTTCTTCTTCACTTGACGTCACACATTTGGGGACGTATTCACGAGGAAGGGGAATTTGCAGAGTGAAAGGAGGAATTGGCGGATCTGACAGAGTAAAAGAGATCACCGAATTGAAAATTGTTTGAATCCGGCGGGTCGCCGTGAGTTTTCGGTGGATGGAAAATGGAGTTCCTACGGAATTTGCCTCAAATGGATCTGATGCGGTCCGAGAGGATGACTTTCGTTCAGCTCATCATACCTGTTGAGTCCGCTCACCGCGCCATCTCTTACCTCGGACAACTCGGCCTTCTCCAATTCCGAGACGTATGATACTGATCCATCCTTAGATTTTTTTTTCGTTTTCTTAGATTCGTGTATTCGTTGTACTCCTCAATTTCGTGTTAATTTGTCGTTTTGTTTGATCAATTAAATGCTCCTGGAGCTGCTGATTTCTATTTTGAATGTAGTGTAGCGTTTAGCAGACAATATGATTTTGGTTGTGTGATTGGAGGTGATTCGGTGGTAAGGAAATGTTAGTTTCTTTTTTTCTGTAGTTGTTTGAACTGCATTGATTTTGTTTATTTGTCTAGTCCAGACCCTAGTGGAGTACCGACACTGAAAATAGTTTGTTGATCGTACTGTTTATCATGAATTATCAGTGTGTGTTTAAAATACTGAGTTTTATCCATTTACTATGAAGATATAGTTCCTAGGTTTGATCCTGGGATTATGGAGTCTTTCCAGTAATGATCAGCATACGAATTATGATTCTTCTATTCAGCGAGACATTTTTTTTCAGTGCTGCAAGTATTGTTTGGCTGACATACATATCTTTTTGATTTTTCTATGAGCAGTTAAATGATGATAAAAGCCCTTTCCAGCGGACATTTGTAAATCAGGTAACAGCTGAAGTTACTGCGCACACATGTTCATAGTCTGATATGATATGCTAACTGTATTTTTATTTTGACACCTATATCTCTTAGTATGTTCATAGTATCCTCTCATGTTGCCGCTGCATGCTTGCATTGTGGTTTTAGTCCTCAAATTACAGAAGAATTTATAGATTTGTCCAGCAACCCTTGTGTTGATGTTAGCAGTTTCTCTATGAAGAGACTGGAGCATGGCTCGAACACTTTATGGTTTTGTCCTGATAATCTATTATGAAATTGTAAGAGTAGAGCCCATTAACTGGACAATAGTACTGCTCTGTTGCATATACCAGTATGTAGGGCTGGGTGTATGGATCACATATCACCAATAACCCAACCATAAATACATTAAGTAGTTGATTATTTGCAGTATTTGACAAGCTGCTACGAACCTCCAAGCCAATTTCAGATGCCTTCTTTGCAATGAGACCGTTGTGATTGGTCAACACACATAATATGTTCATGTGAAGCATGTATTTCTTTTTGGTTTTATGTGGAATCATCTAATGAAAAATGCACGTCTTTTGCTCTTTCTTATTTTTTCTGATAAGATACCTTGGGGGACTTCGAGAGGAGTCGCAAGCTAATTTTGTGTTTCTGTAACTTTAAACCCCTTTTTAGTCAACTACGTGCTCTCTGAATCAGAAAGCGTATTTTTCTCATTCGGCGTTGTATGATTTAACAAATGCAAATCCTTTTATTCTGGCATCGGATGGGCCCATTTTAGGTTGTGGGAACTTCTTATCTATAATTAAGACCTTCAGTTGTTCTCTTATTTCATTTAAGATGCGTTCTCATGCTTTATCAACAAAGAATGTATCATTTGTAGACAATAACTTCAAATTGTCATCCACTTGTCATTTATGATATTCTACAGACCCCTTTTGGGTATTTACTTTCAGTCGTTGAGCTTCCTTACATGCTCTTCTCTGTCGCAATATGCATATTGCCATATTCTAAGATGTAAATGAAGCAGCGTGTATCGCTTTATATTATTGTTATCCATTCATTGTAGCATAAAAGGACAGCATATTGAAATGTGTGCTTGCTATTTAGCTTTCTCAGATGGAGTTCTTTTGCTCCCCTGCAGGTGAAAAGATGTGCAGAGATGTCGAGAAAGCTACGGTTTTTTAAAGATCAGATTCATAAAGCTGGCTTACTGCCTTCTCCTCATCCTGCTTCACAACCAGATATCGATATAGAAGAATTGGAGGTATTTTGGTCTCCTTGTTATCTGTGTCAACTTTAGAGAGGACTGGTTTTGTTGCAGGAGCGTGTTTGTACTGGATTTTAAAGAAATTTTTTCCGTGCTGCTGCGGTGTTGTTTTAGGTGCAATTGATGGAGCATGAACATGAGCTTATTGAAATGAATGGCAACAGTGACAAACTGCGGCAAACATATAATGAATTGTTAGAGTTTAAAATGGTCCTGCAGAAGGTATAGCCCTAACAACCCCGCTCCTCCAAACTTTCTTTTTTTGGTTGAAACATTGTTTGTCTCATAGGGACAAATCGTTTGATCCGTGAGGGAATTGAAGTGATGGCTGATTGCATTCTTCTGTGGTTACTGTATTTTTACTTATAATTCACCTCGTATTTAGAGGCTTGAGGTGATCTGAGTTTGCTAATTTTTGTTTCCTGGAATTTGCTGAACTCTGAGTACAGTGGAAAATTTTTGCTTTTCTAGTACACATAAATCCAGTATTCGCCTTACTTTTCCAACTATAACTCTTCTGGATGAAGAACTACTATTGCCCTTGAGATTGATCCAAGTGCTTATCTTTTTCCCTGTGATTGCATTTCAGGCTAGTGAGTTTCTTGTCTCAAGTAAGAGTAATGGCACTGTGCGGGAAACTGAAATGGTTGAGAATGTTTTCTCAACCACTGATTACAATGATACATCGTCACTTCTTGAACAGGTAACTTAGTTTATGTTTCCATTGCTTTCTAATAGTTTTCAATGAGAAAAGTTATTTTGATCATTTTTATGGACTTAATTTCTTTCCAATCATCAGGAGATGCTCCCTGGTCCAGCAATTCAATCTGGCGTAAGATTCATCAGTGGTATTATATGTAAATCTAAGGTGCTTACATTTGAAAGGATGCTATTTCGGGCCACAAGAGGCAACATGTTTTTCAATCAGGCTGTTGCAGATGATCAAATTCTGGATCCTTCTTCAAATGAAATGGTCATCTTCTTTACTCTGAACTCTGTTATGATGGTATCCATTTCATTATGGGACATCTTAGGTCTGGAAGAACCAACTACATTCACAAAAGCATCCCTTTTTGACTAGGATAAGATTATGAGCATGTCTGGTATTGTTTCTCATTTTGTTTGTTTCCTTGCAGGTGGAAAAAACAGTATTTGTGGTGTTCTTCTCAGGTGAGCAGGCTAGAACGAAAATACTGAAAATTTGTGATGCATTTGGCGCAAATTGCTATCCTGTCCCCGAAGACATCAGTAGAAGAATGCAAATAACTCAAGAAGTATGTCACTGAATGTATTTTTCATGCATTTTTTAAGATTTGATTATAATGATCTAACTTGTCATTTTTTCTTAAAGATCATTACTTTTACTTTTAACTGTGAGTTAGAATGGCAGTTTGCCGTATGACATTACTCGCTTGCCGACATCTGTATCAAGATTTACTTACTTTTTTGGTATGTGTCATTGGAAAGAGCTCACCAGTGGCTTCAAAATTTGAAGCTGAGTGGAACGTGGTTCATAGCATAAAAATTTTTGAGGAAGGAAATTTTTTTTTTTTTTCAGTCATGTCCGTAGCCCTGATGCCAAACTGCTACTACTTTTACCCTCTTAATAACTTGATTAGACTCAAGTATCTGTTATCTTGATTTTGCAAACTCTGAAATTGGTGAGTCTTTTTTTGCAGGTGGCATCTCGGCTTTCTGAGCTGGAAACTACCTTGGATGCTGGATTGCGTCACCGTGACAAGGCTTTGACCTCTATTGGGTTTAACCTGTCAAAATGGATGAATATGGTAGGATATGTTTATCACCACTTCTTTCTGCGGTTTTGATGTCTGGAAAGGATATCTTCTGCTGTTTTTTTTGAATCATGGATTTCTCCCTTGTAGGTTAAAAGGGAAAAAGCTGTTTATGATACTTTAAATATGCTGAACTTTGATGTTACGAAGAAGTGTCTTGTCGGTGAAGGATGGTGTCCAATTTTTGCAAAATCGAAGGTTCTTGACTCTATTCTTCCATACTCCTGCGGCATGATGTTTTCTTCATTCAATGATTGTAATATTTTTGCGATGGAACTTTGTCATGTTTTAGATACAAGAGACATTGCAACGTGCTACATTCGATAGCAATTCTCAAGTTGGCATTATATTCCATGCAATGGATGCAGTGGAATCACCTCCAACCTACTTCAGAACCAATCATTTTACCAGTCCATTCCAAGAAATTGTTGATGCTTATGGGTAATTTGCTATATGATTCTAATCACTCGTCTAAAATTTTTATTACTCTCCTGGTTTTTTTGTTTCTTTGAAATGAACTTTGCAGTTATTAAAACAAGATCGCTTATGATATTTTCCACCTTCAAGTTTTGGGTCAAGGTGCATAGTTTCTTTGCATATTGGGCCCTAGTTGGTTTGTATGGAGCTTAGCTTGTTGAAACATGATGAATGGATGTGACGATCATGTAGTTGGTATCATGACACTGTTAAAACTTTCTTCACATTGTATGGTCATCCATATGAACTTGTGGTTCAATGTTACCTAGGACCATGATAGTGTTTTTCTTTTCTGCGTCCTTAATTTTTCTAATTACTACTTTTTTTTTTTAAATCTGTAAACCCCCTCCCCGCAGCAGATAGGATTCAATCCCTGGACCTTTTAGAAAACCACTGGGAGCTTACCACTAGGTTAGGATCTGATCCCATGATAGGGTATTTTACAACCCTTTGAATCATATAAGTAGAGCTAATTCCCTTGCCTGGGGATGAACCATGGTAAACTGTGAAAAGACACTATGTGGCTAATGATTAAGAGTTCTGAAAGCTAATTGGAAAAGACAGGGAGGTTTTTCTGCTTTTGTTTGAAGCAGTTTCATTTCTGAAACCTGTTTTCTTGCTTTCGGTTGTTATCTGTGCCTGCTTTATTGAGTGAACTCATGTTAAATGGTGAAGAAAAAGCTTTTCTCTTGTTGCTGGTTAGGTAAAATTAAGTAATGATATTTTTCTCTCTTCAGAGTTGCCAACTATCAGGAGGCAAATCCTGCTGTTTATACCATCATTACATTTCCGTTTCTTTTTGCTGTGATGTTTGGAGACTGGGGGCATGGAATATGCTTGCTATTGGGAGCCTTAGTCCTCATAGCCCGTGAAAGAAAGCTAGGTTCTCAGGTACCATATCTGCTTGAAGTTTGATTCCCATGATGGATCACTACTGTTAGAAAATCTCATTATGACCTCTATTTCTTCTATTTTCCTTTTTGCTTTTGGGTTTTTTTTTTTGTTTCTTTGTTTATTTCAGAGAAGTTTTTACTGTGCATGTATTTTTAATACCTTTATTTTTTATTTTGACCGAACAAGAAGGAGCTATTTTTGTGTTATTTTATAGTAAAATGGTGCTTACCTGTGGGGAGTTAAAACAAAACATTCTCTGATTAGTGGTAGCAAATTACAGAAATTTCCTGGAGTCTCTTCTTTCTTTTTGCTTCCTACATTTGTAGCATTGTGGCCCTAAATAAGAGACACAAAAATTATGAATGGTACTTTTTGTGTTTCCCCAGATTTTACACAAGACGTCATTGATTTTTATATCTTAAGTCACAAAGCATATTTTGGTTTGGGCAAACTTCACAAGATCATGTCAAAAAATTAATTCTTGCAATTCCTGCAGAAATCAATGAATACTCCCTAAATACTAATAGCTAAAAAATGTGAAAGTTTTGTTTATAACGGAATACAATAACCATTATGGATCAGATGAGGATAATATTTGTTTAGAGCAATGAGGGTGATTATCTTCTCCCCTTTTCACTAAAAAAGTCTCTGTTTCTTCCTTCTGCAATGTTTATGCAAATTAGTGAGTGACAATATTAAAGAAAATATCATCCACAAATTTCACCATAGCGTCCTATTGAATATTCTATTGTAATAGAAAGGTCAACATGCAGTGATTAGTGAGTTATTTCATTTGATTTTGAAATGGTTTCTCATTTTCTTTTTCTTGTTTTGTTTTAGTGACATTAAAAGTTTTCAGGATTATAATACTGGGGGTTATTCTGATTCATGCTATCAAAAAGTTTGTTTTATTATGCTTTTCAAACCTTATGCTATTTCGTGTTTTGGAATTGGAAATGTTTTATATCATTATCTAATAATTTTTTTGTTGCGTGTCAGAAATTAGGTAGCTTTATGGAGATGCTATTTGGTGGCCGTTATGTCCTGCTGTTGATGTCTATATTTTCCATTTATTGCGGGTTGCTGTACAATGAGTTCTTCTCCGTTCCTTTTCACATATTTGGGAAGTCTGCTTATGGATGCCGAGATTCTTCCTGCAGGTAGATGCATGATATTTTTATGTTGATTTGATTATTGATTAGGTGGTAGATTCTTCTCTGGAATCAGGGGTAAGTGTTTTGTACCCCTGCTTTCTTCTGTTAAATGTTGATGTGAAGTTGACTTGATCTTATCTGCCTCGACAGCAATGCTGGTACAGTAGGTTTACTGAAAGTAGGAGATACTTATCCGTTTGGTGTGGATCCAAGCTGGAGAGGCAGTCGTACAGAGCTACCTTTCTTGAACTCTCTCAAGATGAAAATGTCAATTTTGCTGGGTGTCGTCCAGATGAATCTTGGAATTATCTTAAGTTACTTCAATGCAGTATTTTTCGGCAATTCTCTTGATATCAAGTATGTACTCAGTCCCCTTTTTTGGTCTACTATGTTATCCACTGGTTAATTTGTTAATCAAACTAGCATGTTATTTGCAGGTACCAGTTTGTGCCACAAATGATCTTCCTTAATAGTCTTTTTGGATATCTGTCCCTTTTGATTGTAGTCAAATGGTGCACTGGTTCTCAAGCTGATCTCTATCATGTAATGATTTACATGTTCTTGAGTCCTTTTGAGGATCTTCGTGATAACAAGTTGTTCTGGGGCCAGAGTGTACTTCAGGTCCGACCTTTTAGATTTTTATACAGTTGCCTACTTCTATCATTGGTAGTTCGGGCAGTTCCTTCTTGTTGATTTGTTTAACACATGGTTATGTTACAGGTCATCTTATTGCTATGTGCTGTTGTGGCTGTTCCATGGATGCTCTTTCCTAAACCTTTTATTCTGAAGAGGCTTCATACTGAGGTACTATAATAGATGAAGCTTCTAACTTACATTGAACACAGATGAAACCGAGTCTTTGTTTTCTGTGTCCATGTCTTCTTGAGATATTGTCACCTCTTCACCACTTAATACGTGCTCAATCCATCAAAGCCATTTAATTGGATGTCATATTTCAGAGAAGATCACCTTTTCCCTATAGGCTTGCCATGTCATAATGCGCGCACACAATAGATATAATTATGATGAGTATAATACTAATAGGATAATGAAAGACCGACCGAAATGTGATAGTGAAATGGGAGTCAGATATGGCGTAGACATAAAGAAATAACTATCACTTGGCTGTTTCAATTTATAAAGTGTGGGTTTGGTGATTTTGTATTTCTATCCATGCCATCATCAGTATCACAATTCACTCCCCTATCAGCAGTCATAATGCTAGCATTACCTCCATCCTTATACCCGGGGGGACTAGTAACGATTATAATAACTGTCATTTTTATTTGGGAGGAAGCGGTGATAGCGTTAGTGGAAAGTGGAAAGTCTGCACATTTGCCCATCTAATCAGGTCTTCAACTTCACATATTTTACTTAATATTCCCTTTATCTGCATTGTGTTTCTCAGAGATTTCAAGGTCGCAGCTATGGTTTACTTGGAACCTCTGATATGCATAACATTGATGATGAACCTGATTCTGCGAGGCATCACCAACATGAAGAATTCAATTTCAGTGAGGTATTCGTGCATCAAATGATACATTCAATTGAGTTTGTACTTGGTGCAGTTTCCAATACCGCATCATATCTTAGGCTTTGGGCATTGAGGTACATCCCTTTCTTTAACTTCTATCTATTATTTTGGAGATCTATAATTATTTTGTATTTTAAGAGTTTTTTTCTGATGCTTCTATTGTCAATGATGTTACAGTTTGGCTCACTCTGAATTATCAACTGTTTTCTACGAGAAAGTTCTGCTTCTTGCATGGGGGTAAGTTTTTTCAAAGACTGAATGCATCCAGATTCGATACATCGGCGAATAGTCTGAATGCTCAAGTCAATTGCTTTACAGTGGACGGATGGGTTAATCGATTAATAATTAAACATTAGTCATCTGATAACATGCTACCCATTGTAACATAATGTTTCCGCTTTCAATTTGATTGCAGGTATAAAAATCCCATCATAAGACTTGTGGGACTTGCAGTTTTTGCTTTTGCCACAGCTTTCATATTGCTCATGATGGAGACTCTTAGTGCCTTCCTTCATGCTTTGCGTCTTCATTGGGTAGAGTTTCAGGGCAAGTTTTATCATGGTGAAGGCTATAAGTTCAGGCCATTCTCCTTTGCTGCTTTGACTGAAGATGATGACTAGGATGATTGTTTTCTTATCTTCCAAATATTCATGCAAAGAACTGCAAAAGCAGAATTGGGAAGAAGAGATACTCTGCCTGCATTACTGAAAGAACGGCCTGAACTAACACCACCGGCAGGATGAGACTCCCGTGGCTGGGTAGCATTTCTTTGCTCTAATTTTACAGTGATTTAACTTCAAAAACCTCAAATCGTGGGCGGAATCTACAGGCGTAAATGGCATGGAAGATTTATGCTCAATGTTTCTATAAACGTGTAGGATAAAAGATTTTGTAATTTTTTGCCCACATAGATTCTTTACTGTTCCCAGGTCGTCTTTCAGAATAGGGCAATTACATACCTGGTATTGAGAGAGGACTGAAAGACGGAAGATGGGAGGAAGTATACACTGTGAATACATGGTGTTATTTTTTTTGGCTTAGTCAAACACACAAAAATGTCGCCCAGTTTATGTTATAGGAGTAGAGAGCGGTATTGAGAGATATCTAAGACTCATCGATCCCAATTTTTGTAAATTTGCACTATAGTTCAAAGAAGAGTAATTTTTTGTTCTATATAAAACTAACCCTATTTGTTTCCAAGACTCAAACTAAATTGAGCTGAAATTGACCATATCTTCCATTTCGATTAGTTTGCTCCAACAAATTTTTATTTGTAGTTGGAACAATAAAATTCCAATTCGATTTTTAAGGTCATTTTGGTATTGTTTTAATATGGCTTTTGAATTAACATAGACCACTTTTGAGACCGAAGGTAATAGAGACTCCACTCAAAGACTCTGCCACCAAAGTGACATATAGACATGAAAAATGATAAAACTATGAAGTAAACTAAAAGATGTGTTCTAGTAGTTCCGCTAAAACGAAAAGTCGAGAATTGTTTTAGTTAGTTCTTTATATAAACTCGGCTCCTGCGTCCTGTCTAAAGCCGTACTGGGTCCCTGGGCCACATTCAACACTTGGCAGTGGAATCATGTGCATAATCATTCCCGAACTCGGAAGTCTTCTTACATAGGAGTTAGGATCGACTGATCCCTCGTGAGTATTGAATACAAACGATTTTTTACAAAGCAACATCTTGTGCTGGACAACGAAATTCAGCTGAAAATGGAGCGACTTTCCAAGGTTTCTGATAATGGGTTGCTGGAATTCTACAAGAGAGAGACGGGTTTCTCCTCTCCCAGAACTTTCTCCCGCCACATCTCTGCTTCCCAGGTTTCCTTCTAATCATAATTTTGTCCCCACCTTTTTCTGTTGTTGTTGTTCAATCGGGCTGTTTTTTTTTTTTTTCCGTTTCATTTTGCTGTTTGACTATTTGAGAATGGTCTGTTTTGTTTTTTGTTGTTGATTTTGATGCTAGAATTTTTGGGGGCTTAATTTGTACTAGTAATTAAATTGGTTCTCTTATTTTCTGTAGAGTTAAAAAGAATTTGATGTTGGGATTTGAGCCTTGATCAACTCTTGGATACCAGTGTTACTTGGTTTTCTCGTTCTTTCTTTGATTCATCATGATGCTGCTTGAGCTGAATGTTGTTACATTAGGGACGGGTTGATGGTGATCGTTTCACTTATTTGTGATTTGCTTCTTCTTGAAAGTTTACTGTACACCCCTAAAACCCTTGTTAGTTTTCCCCTTTTGGCTAGTTGACTGCAGTGGCTCTGATGTAAAGTAAAGTAGAAGTGTTTGGATATTACTAGTTGTTTAGTGACTGTTATAATTGGAGATCCTAATTTGCCATCCTTTCGGGGTTCATTTGATTGAATATCATGGGAATTACAGATTGATGGCTTCGGCTCACTGCAAATTTTAATTTCTTAGAGATTCTTACACATCATGTATAGTTTGTCAGCAGCAGTTTTTTTATGTCCTTTTAACTGCAGGCTTTGGTGGAGCGGCTTGATTTGTATGGGAAGTTGATTGGACACGAGGGATGTGTAAACACGATAGAATTCAACTCAACTGGTGACTACCTTGTGTCGGGCTCTGATGACAAACAAATCAAGTTCTGGGACTGGGCAACAAATAAGTTAAAATTCTCATATCCATCAGGCCACTTAGATAATGTGTTCCAAGCAAGAATCATGCCGTTCACAGATGACCGGAAGATAGTAACTTCTGCTGCTGATGGCAAGGTTGGCTTATTTCCCACATCTTTTTGTATATGGACAAAAATATATTCTCCCTGTGTCCCAAAATGATTTTCCTGTCTGGATTTTCACTTCTACTATAAAAATTGAAGATCCGGACAATCATTTCAGAAAGGAGGGAGTATGCAGCTGGGATTCAAAATTTGTTAAGCTTTTTCTCTTGTTTCCTTTTATTTTCCCCATTTGAAATTCTCTATGGTTGCTGGGCTGCCTGCTTCCCGCAAAAGTTGAAACTTAAGGGATTTCCAAGACAAAACATAGAAGGGACCTGAACACAAGCTATATATGATTTGCTGTTTTCTTGCCCATGATTGTTAATTAGATAATTGTATAAAGTTGTTGCCATTTTGTCCATGTTTTTGTTGCCATTCTCCTTGTCCAATTTCACCGTTTGCTTTGATGGTGTCAGTGCCACTGTTCATTCTGGTATCAAGTCAAATGAGCATGTACCTTTTCCCTTCACTTCAGCGTGATAATATATATGAATTGATGAAACATCTCTAACAATTGAAATAGGAAGCAATAAAATAAATAAGTTTGCTACTGTTCTTTTTTGTTGCTTTTTTAAGAATTGGAAATTCGAGCTATGATCATTAAGTATTGAAGTTTAGTTGAGCTAATGTTTAGATTCGAAGAAAAGGTTTACACTTGTTTTTAGTTGAATATGGTAACTTCTTTCTTGTTATCACTGGCAAGAAATGAGTTTGTACCACTGTTTCCATATCCTTCAATTCAAAATAATTTGATTTGCTGCAGGTCAGGCTTGGTGAGATCTTAGAGAATGGTCGGGTTGAAACAAAAAGGCTTGGTAAGCACCAAGGTCGTGTACACAAGCTTGCGGTTGAACCTGGTAGTCCTTACATATTTTACAGCTGTGGGGAGGATGGTCTAGTTCAACATGTAGGTCATTGATTACGCATTCAATCATTCTTTCTTGTCATTTCAGTTATAAGTTGGATTTTTCGTTTCTTTTGCAGTTTGACCTTCGGAGTAATTCAGCTACAAAACTTTTTTATTGCTCTACATTTGCTGAAAACCCTCAGTCTTCAAACAGCGTAAGATTGAATGCTATAGTTATAGACCCTAGAAATCCAAACTTCTTGGCAGCTGGAGGTTCCGATGAGTATGCACGAGTGTATGACATTAGAAGGTATCAACTGGATAGTTCAAGCAGTGTAGATAACCCTGTTAACACGTTTTGCCCAGTGCACCTGATTAAGACAAACGATGTTCATATCACAGCCTTGGCCTATTCCAACACGAGTGAATTGCTTGTTTCTTACAACGATGAGCTCATATATTTGTTTCAGAAGAACATGGGCTTAGGACCTTCTCCATTGTCTGCAACATCTGAATCCTTGCAGAATATGGAAGAGGCAACAGTTTACTCCGGACATAGAAATTGTAAAACTGTTAAAGGAGTTAACTTTTATGGTCCTAACGACGATTATGTCATGAGTGGTTCTGACTGTGGTAATATATTTATTTGGAGGAAGAAGGGGGCTAAAATGGTTCGTGTAATGCATGGGGATAGGCATATTGTGAATCAGCTGGAACCCAATCCCCATCTTCCGGTCATTGCTACCTCAGGAATCGAGAAGAGTATTAAGCTTTGGGGCCCCACCTCAAACGATGTTACTCCTCTGCCTCAGGATATTGAAGAGGTACATTCACTGTACCCATTGGATTTGTTTCCTGTTTTCTCGAGTCTCTGTTTTTATGTTGATAAATTACATGAATTTTGTTGCTTTGGTTGTGTGCAATAACTTTGTTGATTTTTGGGTAGCTCATGGATGCGAACAAGAGAGGTCGGGAAGACCATTCACGTGTTACGCTCACTCCCGATGTCATCATGCATGTCTTGCGACTTCATAGAAGGCAAGCACTGGCTTACGTTGAAAGAAGACCCAACAGAGATGACGTTGAGAGTGATGAAGAGGATGTTGGAGAGGCTTACGTTTTGGGTTTTTCAGATGGTGAGGGGGAGGGTGATGGTAACGAGAATCCCAGAGAATGTAACATTAGCTAGCACTAGCATTCGTAAGCAGTAACCGGAGTTCAACCTCGTACTGGATCAGATACTGCTCGCCAATCTGAGAGTCACACTTCGGAGGGCATCGGGTACATCCTTAAAAAGACTTTACAGCAGGTTACCTTTGGTTGGTTCGTGCTTGGGGTGGATAAAACTTGTTGTATTTATAGTGTACGCCTAAGTTGGCCTTTCATTTTTCGACAAGGAAAGAAAGAGACGTATAATGTACAGAAGCTGTTTCTGAATTGCTTATTGGCGGATTTTCTGCTTGTCAGTCATCTGAGCTAAAGTCATAAAGTTCTACTGAGTTTTTATGCTAATAAGATTGTTTAGGGTGACACAGGATGAGCCAGATTTAGTACATGAGATACTGACTTTCAGTAGTTCATTCATTTTCTCAGATCTGCAAAAAATCTTACCTTTATTCTTCAACTTTGACAAGACACAAATTGTCAAAGTTACAAATCAAAAACTACAAAAGGATACTCATCCTGTTTCGTGTCCCAAAAAGTTGGTAAGTTATGATTAATAGATAACTTTTGGAACGGTATATTTTGGCTTTATTCCAAACCTTAAGAGCCCAAAACGCTGGAATCATCATACATGTAATGCCACTAGATTTCTTGGATTCTAAAATTTATCTTTACCAATTTTTATAATCATAAAAACTCTGCTCTTATCTCAAAAGTATTATTCAATTTAGATATTCACTTTTAGTTTAATTTGTGCTAAAAATGAAAATCCAATCTGGACTCTAATTTCGGGACGGAGGGATTAAGAAGAACATATTACTTCGGATTAGTGATAACTGAAATTGTATCCAGCAGAAATTTTTAGATCTGCAAGGCATTAAATTCCTAAATTATTAATTACTAAAAAACAATTTGAATTTCTTTAACTTTCCAAAATTACAGAGTCGCGTCACTGTCACGTGTCTTGTTGGTTTTTTTTTTTTTTTCTTTTTTAGATCTCCGGAGACGGGGCGATTCCGAACCAACTTCCCGCCCGTTATCTTTTCAAAAAACCGTACTCTATTCTATTGGTCCGTCGGCCTCCGGCACACACACTCACACACTTCCAACTGATTTCTTCAAATTTACCGAAAGTATTCCCTCCGACGCACACATTTACCGCCGCTGTGGCCGCGGCTGTCACTAATTCCCGACGACAGCGACGACGAAGAGTCAAACAGACAAAGGTATCCGAATGTCAGTGTGTCTTCTTGTCCAATTAGGGTTTATGCAAGCAAGCTTATCAATTACTAATTGGATGCAATTACCGTACAAATTGCATTTCTAGGTTCCAGTTAGAGGTTGCTCTCCGTTAATTTGGATAATGCGAAGTCATAGCTCTTGTGAATTTGTTCATTTTCGTTCTGTACTGTTCTTTTATCTGTCTTATTGGAGCAATGCCACCACTTCCAGTAGTTTCTTTGCTGTGATTACGGTTTTACTGTTTGGAGGATTTGATGAGTTTTGGTTTTAATTGAGGATAAGGCAATGCTGATTTGTTCATCTTAAAAATAAGGTTTTGAAACGAACCTCTTCGGTTTTGTTTTCCTTTTTGGCTGATTCAGTTGTGCTTTCCTTTTTGTCTGATTGAAGTATGTAATTCGATTACGGGCAACTGCGTCTTGAAATTGAACACTGCTAAAAATCCTTTCTTGATTTGTTCAAGGTGATCCAGTCAATTGTTCGCTAATCCAAGAAAGAGATAGCTGATTTCTTATTTTATGGTACTGAAATTTATTGTTAAGAAATAGCAATATTTGCTTGTGAGATCACATTTTACCTTTTTCTTTTTAGTTTCTTTTATTGCTTTGATTTCTGCTGAAGAGCAAGTCCTTGAATAATTTGTGCTTTTTTTTTTTTCTTTTTCTTTTTCCAGATTGATGGATGATGTAATTGCAAGGTAGATGTGTATTTACTCATTGACATTGCCAAGGTGTCCGAAAGCTGTTTAAGATACTTGCTGCTTCCTTTAGACATGAACAATAAGGAGAATACAAGTAGTAACTGGTCGGAAGGACCGATATTAAAAATGGAGCCTATGCAGATGAAGAAAAAGAAAAAGGGAGGATATAATTTGCGCAAAAGCATTGCATGGAATAGGGCATTTTTCACTGACGAAGGTACTGTATTTGATATTTTTTGTGAAGGTTATGCACTTGTATCAAATCTTCATTGCGAGTTAACATGACTTATTTGATACTGTCTGCCTCTTATTTTTATTAGGAGTCCTGGACCCAGAGGAGTTATCATTGATTAGTGGGACAGTTGTAAGTTCTTCTATAGAGGGCATGTCAACCATTAATGAAGAAGCCATGGATTCTCGTGTTGAAGATGATCAGTTTATCACTGGTTCTCCAACTCTTCAGGCGCTTGAAAAGAATTTATTTAAGGGAATCTCTTCTGCTTGCTCATCAGGAAATGGAGAAACTTCTTGTCTACCTTTGAAGCATACTTCACCTGCTTCCTCTTGTAAGACTTCAACGTCTAAGGTCAGTTTTTTAGGCATTTGCAACAGTCTGTTTTATGTTATTTACTGTTGTAGTAGCTTACTAAGTTTCTTTGGAAGTTTGTCTTTCCAGTCATCTCGTAAGGTTCTCTCAACTCGTGTGGCCAAAAGAGCTGGGTCCATATCTGATGCCTCTCCTTCTTTGCCTTCACCATCATATCCTTTTAATCTTTAAGTGAAATCTTAAGATAAACTTGATCTAGTGCTTTATGGAAGTTCATTACATCTATGCTACTTCAGTTTTTGCTATAATCAAAAGTGTGTTCTGCCTTGACACTAATTACGCTGAAAAGGCCTGCAAACATTTTTACTCGTAAACCAGTTCCTGTGGAATCAAAACTTCCAAAGGCTCCTGTTTCAAAACCAAGGCAACAATCACTTCTTGCAACCAGCAATAGTACTATACGTGGGACGGCTTCCTCCGCGAAAAATCAGATTCTGTGTCCTGGTAATCTAATCACTGTAATCTTTTCATTTCATGCTTTTTTTTTAATATATTTTTTGTAATAAATGATTTTCTTTATTTTATCAAATCAGGCTTCAGTTTTATGTGCATGCTGTTAAAAACCATTGCTGAATATGGTATAACATCATGGGCCCCCTCATAGTGGCTATCAGACTTTCTATGCTAACAGTTTTACTCTTTGCAGTTGTTAACAAGCAGAGGATTGTGGAACCAAAGAGCTACTCAAAAGGTGTGAATATTCGAAAGGGTAAAGCCAAGGGCGGTCCTGAGTCATTACCGGTCAAGTCCTCATCCTTGACTGCAAAAAGAAACAAAGTAATAATATCAATCCAGCTTTCAGATATTCATCCATTGTAAAACACATTGATACTAAAATAGTCTGTACAGGATGGTTTCAAAGGCCAACATCGGACACATGTGTCATCTTTACTTCTTTAATTCTAAGTTCTACTTTACAGGTTCATCCACAATCCAGTATGCTGGCATCAACCCCACTAGCCTGTCCGCAGGTTAACAAAGTTGGAATTTCTGACCAAAAGATGATTCAAGAAGACGGCATTCATACTAGAGAAGGGCAATTGTCTGAAGATCAAGATGAAATTGGACGATTAGGTGGTTCTCTTCCTTCAAACAGCATTATTGCAGATAAGACACAGCAACATTCAAAAGTTCAATTGAGTAAACCCTCTGGTTTAAGAATGCCTTCACCATCATTAGCATTTTTTGATCAGGTAATGTTTATGTTCAATCAAGACTTTCAGCTTGTCATCGTTTCAACAATTGCTTCAGTGAAATTACTGTATCTAATACCATTGTTAACCCTTTCCTCAGTCAAAAGTTTCAGCATCTAATAGAATTTCAAGGAGAGTTGTTGATTCTAATCCTCGAGTAGAAAAGTTGAGCGACAAGAGGCCTCCAGCAAAAGTTCCTCAAGTTTCACAACCCAATTTGCCAAGTACAAAGTCTTCGGATGCAAGTTCAAAAACAACTCTTCCAAATACATCAATTACCTCCGGTGTACTGGAAGATGCAGGGCAAAAAGGGACCAACACTTTGGACAAACATGAGCGCAATGGGCTTGATAGTAATGAGCAAATGACGATGCGTATGACTGGTAATGAAGAAAAGCATCATCCCAGAAATGACATCACTGTCACTTCTGCAGGCAGAGGAGTTCAGATAAGTGATTGTGAGATTCCCGTAGTATCCGATTCATGCAATCATTTGTTTAAAAATGTTTATGCCACCGACTGGAACTTTGATGGAAAATCTAATCTAGAATCTACGGGCAGCGAGATTTCCAAGCTTTTGTCCCAACAAAACTTCACACCTTGTGCAACAGAAGTAGCTGGAACTGTAAGTACTATTAAAAGTGTACTCAAAGAAGAAAATTCCAGCAACTTTGCTGATACTAAGCATGTCGTCGCCAATGAATCTCAGAGTGGTGAGGTGGACAATGGCAAAGTTCCGAGTTCTTCCATGTTGAGAAGTAATTTCATGAGTTGCCCGTCAGATCTTCATCAACCTTCTCGTTGTCTTAGTAATGAGGTAGAAACTTCCACTGGTAATGAGGATTCAGTACTTGATTTATGTGATCCTCTTCTGTCTGAAGATGGAAACTCGGAGAAGCTGATTGGACATTCACAAAGTTCTGCAGGTGAAATATTTGTTGACGGAACTTATAAAAATGTAGAATCTAGTAAATTCGAATTAGAAGATTCAGTTATGATGGATGATATCACTGAAAACTCCCACATACCAGAAGCACCAGCGCAGATCCCTGATCCACCTTCCTTGATAGCTAAGATGAGTGAGAATAGTGTTGATCAATCTTCAGAAACTGGATATTTAAGTATTCGATCTCATAAGCTTCTACAGCTTCCAACTGCTTGCCTCAAAGTTGAACATTTGTCCAGGAACATTCCTGGGTCGCCTGGTCCTGACTGCAAGTGGATTGAGGAGCTTACATGTTCTGAAAACAACCAGAAATATGTTTCTGAGTCGCCCCTAGTAGCCATTTCAGAAGAAAGAGGTAACATTGCAGTTGATGATGCTGGTACCCTAATGACAGGTGCAGTCATTCATACCAACAAAATTACCAGACTCTCTTACTCAGAGTTGGGTTTTGATCAAGTTGTCCAGCCAGTTGTAAATCAGGAGCATCTGCTCCACAGAATTACTGGTTCTGTTGCCTACCTCAGTGATGAACCGAGCTCATCGGTTACACCTTCACATTCATCTAAAGTGTTGGATTTAAGAGGAAACGAATCTCTTACAATGTTGGAACCTACGCATCGAGATTTGTTTGATGGTTCATGTTTAGAGAATCAGGTGGCAGATATTAGCCAGACCAGATTGTCATCATCAAGCGAGATTTGTAATGAAATCCAGAAATGTGATCTTCAAACTGCTGCAGTATCTGACCCCACCTTGCATGCTTGTATTCCGATTAAGTTGGAAAGACAGTGCAGCATATCAGAACCTGTGAATGTTAAGGAAAAAGATGGATTCCAAAAGGATTCTGTTGATACAGTCAATTTCTCTCATGCTGGAGATGATTCAGAGCACTTTACTGGTGGCTGTGAGCCTGATTTAATTATTGGCCATGCTTCAGTTGTATGCGATCAATTTGCCGAAAGTACTGATTGTACAGTAGAATCTTGCCAACAAGAATCAGCAAGCTGCTGCCTATTAGTAAAGGCAGTTCCAGAGGACAACATTAAGTTGCTTTCAGGGCATTGCTTGAACGAAGAAAGAGATGAGGCCGCTTATTCTGAAGAAAGTGTGCCACATGCTGTTCCAGATAAAAGAGATCCTTGTGAGAGTGAATTTGGAAGTTCTAAAGAAATCAGTAAAACACTCACTGGACTTCCAGCACAAGGAAATGAGCATGACGAAGATGAAAGTATCGAGTGGCATTGCGTTGAAGCTTTAAGATTTAGTTACACTGAATTTCATTCTTCTTTTGAGTGCAGAGGTATGGCTCTTGATCTCATTCTCTATTCTATATGTATGAGTTACAGCTGCATTAGAAGTGGCTCTTGATCTCATTCTCTATTCTATATGTATGAGTTACAGCTGCATTAGAAATTATTCGAGTTAATTATAATAACTTCTCCCTGCTCATCTTTTAGGCTCGTTAATTCAAGAAGATCTAACACTGCCTGAGGGCAAACAATGTGCCGTTGCTGAGGAAATTCAAGTTGAAGTTTGCCAGAACAGGGGTGATCTAGTTGGGGACGCTAGATGTGATGTTGTCGCTTTGTGTCAGGAGAAGGATGAAAAATCTACTACAGAAATGTAAGTAAGAATTTGGTACTAGTTAGTTTCCTGAATTTAGAATACAAATAAACTTGAAATGCTCAGTAGAAAATTGCGTAATCATTAATTTTTTCTTTCAGTGGCAAAAAGAACTCCTTGAGGATTTCAAATGAGAAAAATGTTTCAATCCTTCCTCCTAAAAACGCAGTTCCCTTCTCTGATGAATGGTTAGCTGCTATTGAAGCAGCCGGCGAGGTAATATTATAAGTCCTCATACAAAGGAATGTTGCTTGAGGATTAAACTTATGGTTGTTCATATCACCAGACAACTAGCAGACTCACTTTCTTCTATGCTAGTTACTTCCTAATTTTGATCTTAAAATGAAGATTTTTTAAAATTGTCTGCATGTACTGCTCTCTTGCTTTTGATTGTGCTAGATGATTAAATGGTTAGATACTTTAAGCTATTGAACTTGTTTCTGATATCCATTGCGTGGCCCTGTATTATAGAAGAAATATCATAATGGTCCGGTTTTAATGGCCAATTCTTTCAGTGCAGCATCTTAGTTAACTGAGATTGTCTGCTGGAGTTCTTTGTGCAGCTTAAAACTCTAATATATGAACGCACAACGTCGGTGATTTTTTTATTAACAGTTGCACTGATAAATGTTGCATTACATCTTCATCTTTCAATGTTTTATAACCTGCATTCTAACAAAGAGTTTCTATACAGGAAATATTGACCATGAAAGGCGGTGCTGTGCAGAATTCTCCGCCAGACAAGTCTGCACCTGAACCTAGTCCATGGTCTCCTGTAAGTAACTCTGCTATAAAGCTAGTATTTGTTTCAACTTTCTGTCATGTTCTTATAAACTGGCTTACCAAGTAGGCTAGGACAGCCACGGACCAATCTTTTGAACTAGTGTTTTCTTTCCTTCATGCATTCTGTATGTCATTCTGACTTGTAAATGTTTCTATGATTTTCAGGTCAAGAAGAAAAACAACGCGATTGGACCCTATGACTGCACAAAGTACACCAACAATTAGTCGTCTATTCCCTCGATAATCGTCTATTCCCTCGATAATCAGCTAGGTTTGACTTGAAATTCATTCTTCTAATTAGATAGTGAGACTGGAATAAATTACGTCGATTCATTCTAGTTCTCCTAGATGCATTCTCTTGTACTTCTTTCACGAGGCAATTGCCTATTGCTGAGCATCAATCCTGTCAAAGTGACTGCCAAACAATACATTTCTAATGCAATTTTTGCCCTGTTCCACGCACATTTGGATCTCTGGAGAACACTTTTATCTTTACTTGGCTACCTCTAGATTGCTTAAATAAAAACTGAAATCTCTAATGCTCTGTTCTCTTAGGAAAAAAGTCATAAAGATGTCATTTTTCAAACAACAAACCATTCATATTTTCATAACATCAAAGCATCCATCGGTTCAATTATTAATTAAGTACTGGAAGACAAACACAGGGCATCATCAGAAAACCCTATTCTAAGAGTAGCAAGAAACACACTTCAAATCAGTTCTACAAGATGAAGGGACCAAATAGGAAACAACTTCTAATGCATGACAGATTCACCGGAAATCTTGTAGTTAACCGGGCGGCCAGTTCATCTGCCGTCCTCCGAGCAGGTGAATGTGAAGGTGGTAAACAGACTGGCATCCCTTAGGTCCATCATTGATGACAACCCTGTAGCCATCATCAAGACCTTCTTGCTTAGCAACAAGCTTTGTGGCGTAAAGAAGGCGACCCAGAATGTCAACGTGCCTTTCTTCAGCCTTGGAGATTCCGGTGAGGCCATCTTTGACTTTGGGGATAATCACAATATGTGTTGGCGCTTGAGGGTTTATGTCTCTGAAAGCCAAAACCTTTTCATCTTGATAAACGATCGTTGCTGGGATTTCTCCGTTGACGATCTTGTCAAATATCGTCGGAGCATCTTCCGGTGGAGGGGCTGCCGCCAAGGCAGCTTCTTTCTCTGATGCCATAGCTGGAATTTGTCAGACACGAGCTAGGGCTGAGACTTCTATATAAACAAGCAAATGTTAATCAGAATTGGGCTTCGTGGATTATAACGTTTGACTTCTCGTTGAGCTGGGTTTATATTCTTGGGATGGGTCCAATGGGCTCAGTTCTGCTTACATTAAGTGTTAATTTTGTTGATTTCTAAGCTTGATTATCCAATTTTCCTCTTACTATTCTTCAATATCTTTCTGAAGAATAACCTTCCCTGTTCATGATTGCTTGATGCAAAATTAATTCTAAAGGATAGAAGAAAGAATTTTTGCAGGGAGTGTGCAAATTGTGTGAAGCTGCAAGAAATGCAGCAAACATTTTGTTGGCCTTTTATATTTTATTTATTATCAGAATCAATCACTAATATCATCGGTATCCTTCTCGGGATCCCGATATTTGTACAATGAAGCACACACTAGGAAATAACAAAAGTTGATGCTTGCTAGGATACAGACCAACCAATACACATTATCCAATCTTCCTTTGTTGATGTCGTCCGGCAACCACCCGGTTGTCCTTCGAACAAGATCAATCACGCCGTTGCTTATATAGTAGGCAATACCCATATACAAAGCTACAAATGCAGTGGATGTGCTCTTCAGTGATGTTGGAAACTCTTGGAAATAGAATGCTACTTGAGCAGGGAAAAAGAATGCTTCTCCGATGCCAGCAATGGCGAATGGTACCACGAGCCAAAAGGCCGACATTGGCACGATCGCGTTATCCTGATCTTGAAGGTGATGCTGTCTCACAATCTTTAGTCTCTTGGCCTCCACCAAAGCTAGAGCGGCCATGCTGATTATGTCAATGACATGGCCGATCCCAACTCGCTGAAGAGGTTTTATAGGTCGACGAGTGTACTTATCCCACAAGGGGTAAAGGAATCTATCGAGCAAGAATACTGTAATGCAGGTGGATATCAGGCTAGACACCCAGATGGAACCAGCTGGTATTGAGACTTTAGTACTTCCAAAATGTCGATCCATTACGAGAGCCTGAAGGACTGTTAGACTTGTTTGCATTACAAGTGGGGTGGATAGAAAAAATCCGGTTGACCATAGTGGTAGGATTTTGATTAGGCCTTTGAGATCTTCTACATCTTGAACTTTACACAACCTCCAAGGCCTGATCGAATAGTCTGCTTTGATGTCTCCTTCTGCTTTCAGCGCTGCACGGTTTAAGAACCTGCATCTCAGGGTAAAATTCATTTGATTAGCTGAAAGAGTAATAATAGAGACACTGACGAGAACAACTTCATGGTGATTTGTTGTTCATTTATTGACAAAGTTTCTTAATAAGGATCAGAACTTGTTACCTGAAGAACTTAGAGGGAATGATATCCTTATCCTCCTTAGAGTCAGCTGCATCAGGACCTTGACAGTAGTCTTCTGGCTTCAGCGAAAGCTTCATATGTCGTTTTTTGATTGCTGCAACTATAACGCGGGCTAAAACAACAAAAGGACTCCCTTCCGGCTTGAGACGACGATAAAGACCACTGCCTGCTAAGAATATTGCTAAGCCGAATATATTTGCTGCAAGGCAAATGCCAAACCCCCATGCCCAGCTCACACTCTCCTCAACATATAAAATCACGGTAGAGCTTATAGCGGTGGATATGTACATCGCGAATATGTACCAGTTGAAGAAAATAGTCTGATGTTTTGGTTTGTCTAACTGATATGCTCCCATTGGTCCGACAGTGAAGCGAGTTCCTGCCATCCCTAGAGCCGCCAGCGCCAATCCTATATACAGAACCGCAAGTTGCACATGTGACGGGTCACTGCAGAGATTTGATCCAGTTTCGCAGTGTGGAGGCCTCAACTTGTTAAATGCTGCGGTCAAGACTATGAGTAACAGCCCCTGCATACAGCAATAGTTCATTAATCACTTTCTTAATACGGAACAATCAGTTACCATTTTCTTAACCTGGGCATTGGAAAGAGTCAAGAAACTATGGAAGCAGCAATATAAGTTCTTCACCAGGGATGAAATGAGAGAAGAAAACCAGATGACAGAGTAACAGCCCAGAAAGGAGTCAGCAATGATGGCGAAAGCGACTGGCAAAATGGTAGCAAATCCATTAAACACATTGTAGATTTTAGCAGCCCTGATGCTCTTAATGTTGAACTCTTGAATCAGATACACAATCAGATTGCTAACTAATCCTCCAAAAGCAAGTGATATTCCAGTTATAGTTGCTGCATTCATGTCAAAGAAAAAAGAGTTTCAAAGTCCTTTAGTACAAAGTAAACACATGGATATCATGCTTAGCACTCATGATTTTTCAAGTTTCGAATTTTCGCAAAATTAACAAAGTATTACCTATCATAAAAGGAAAGGTGACCCATCCGCCTTTCTTAGTGCTGCTGGAAACAGAAACCGATCCGGGATGTTGTTCATCAGCAGAATTCTGCACTGTCCTTTCCATGCTTTCGGATTAGTCCGGCGGCTCAAGTTATGTGTATCCACTAGTGAGTTTTATCTCTGTACCTCTCAAGTGGTCAAATCCAGAATGATATAAGTATCCAAAACTCCAAATTCCAAAAAGTTGGAGTTAGATAATCAAACTCTTAGTTCCCCACATCAACTGGAGTCTGGAAAAGCAAAGACATCATTATTTATGGTAATGTCCTTATCTTCTTCATCATGCTCAATTAGAACAAAAAGTCAGCCCCCTCAAAAATTTTACATCAAATGTTTTGGTAGGAATCCTGAGGATGGTTGTTAGATAATTACATCTCTCAAAATAATTTATTTGGACAATGAGAAGTTAAAATATGAACCAATGTCAATGAAGTTGGGTACACTTGGATTATGATTGCCAAAGCAAGTGTACTTTTTCTGTTTTTCTAATCCCTAAGAATAAATATACTTTTAGCTAGTACTCCTTTGGTCAATGATTGAATAGTTTTTTCAAAAAAAAAAAAAAATGATTGAATAGGGGATACAGGCTAATAATTTAGCTGCATATAATATTTTGTTTTTTTTTTCTTTCAATTTTTGGCGTGTACAATGATCCATGAAAGATTTTATGGTTTTATAGTCGTAATACGGTTGAGACAAAAATATTTTGATATTTTCTTTTCGCCGGTTGACCCAAGGTGCCTACGGATTGATGATGTTACAGCTGATGCAAAAGATTGAAAGTACCATAATGTGAATCCTAAGTTTATTAATGTTGGATTATGGAATGATAATCGTTGCTTAAATGTACACACAAACAGCATTGCCCGATAAAGATCCTTGTTCAATGGCTTTCCATGAACCCACTCTTTAAAGTATTTCCTCCGACCCAAAATTATTGTCAAGTTTGGTTTTTTATTTTTAGTACAAAATAAACTAAAAATAAAAATTCAAATTGGATAATAATTTTGGAACAAAGAGAGTAACTGACATTTGTTTTGTGTGTAACTTTAAACTACCAATTAATTGCATTCCCATGGTTGTAAAAATCACAATCGAAATAAATTTCAATATAAGACTTTAATACGATGGGTTTTGGGTTCGCCTTATACAAGACTCTAACAAGAACCTTCTCAACAGGACTAACATGGGAACAAATGATAGAGTCAGGCGACTTTACCTAGTAGTACAAAAGTAGTAGGTTAAGGAAATATCTGTATATATATATTCCCTTGTCCTAACGGACTGGATATACTTCATTAATGCCTTTTCAACCCCACCAAAGTTGGAAAAAAAGAGCACTATCCAATTTGTAGAGAATCTGCTGATCTAGGCGTGATAGCATCTTGCTCAGGGGAAAAAAAGAAAAGCATTTCCTTCTAAGGCATGTGGAACCATGTAAAGGTGGTCAGATATTTGGATTGGGAGGTAACATATGTTCATACAGAACAGATGAAAAAAGTAAATTGAGATTGAAACCTATTGTGCTCGAATTTTAGGTCTGGTTTAAGGTCTTTGGAATGGGATTTCTTCCCCATAATAAATTCCCCGCTGACCTGATTTATGATCAGTAGATTTACTATTATCAGTGGCGGAGCTAGAAATATTTATTGAGATGCCTTGAAATCAATATTGGGCTAATCGCGCAAAAGTTTTTCAAAGGTGATAATGACAAATTCTAGCAAATTCTTTTAATGCTTTATAACTTCCAAGATACAAATGAAGCTTTATTGTCAATCATTCTAACGTACAGCTGTGTTTTTAAAATCGGACCGGACCGGGCGGTCTAACTGGGTAGCTCGGGAACCGAAAACCTTACCGGTCCTGTTTGCATAAAAAATCGGATTTTGTATAATTCGGTCAAACTCGGTCAAATCCGGACAAAATCGCAGTTTGACCGGAAATCGGTACCGGTTGAACCGGTTTTTTGAATATTTTTCTAAAAAAATTAATTTTTAAATATTTTTTTAATATTATTTTAATCGGTTTTCACTGGTTTCGAGAAACGAACTAACTCGTTAACCCGATAAACCCACCAACCCAGTCACGCTAACGGTTCACCTTCCGGTCTGGTTTTGAAAACATAGATGTACAGAATGCTCCCATTCAGTGATTCATTTTCACCATTTCTATACTTGTACAACCACGAACATAAATGGAAGTAACAAAAGTTGATGCCACCTAGTGCTGTGACTATCCAATACACATTGTCCAATCTCCCCTTCTTTATATCATCTGGCAACCAATCCGTTGACCTCCGAACAAGATCAATCAAGCCATTCCCCCAGTAAAATCCGATTCCAATAAACAAAGACACAACAGCAGTTGAAGTATTCTTCATGTATTTCGGAAATTCTTGGTAACAAAATGAAATGTGTCCCGGAAATGGAACCCTTCTCCAATTCCAGCAAGAGCTAGTGATGGCACCAGCCAGAAAACTGACATTGGCACCACGGCATTATCTTTGTCTTGAAGATTATGTGACCGCACGATCTTCAGCCTTTTCGCCTCCACTAGCGCTAAGACCGCCATGCTAAGAACATCTAGCACGTGGCCGGTCCCTACGCGTTGGAGCGGGGGTGATGGGCTTGCGAGAATACGTGTTCCACATCCGGAACAGGAATCGATCAACGAGGAAAATGGTGATGCAAGTTGATAGGAAGATGAAAACCGGCATTGTTCCAGCTGGAATCTCGAATTTGTGTCCGAGGTGACGGTCCATTGTAAGAGCCTGCAGGATGACCATACTCAATTTTATGACTAGTGGAGTGGAGACCAGCAATGCACTTAGCCACAATGGACGCATTTTGATTAAGCTTTTGAAATCTTCAACTTCTGTCACTGTACAAAGTCGCCATGATTTCGTTACTATCCCGCTTAGTCCGACATCTCCCTCGGCTTTAAATGCTGCACGATTCAGGAACCTGCTCCATGTGATCAAATTAATGTTCATAAGTTTTGAAGTCAGTATCCATTAGTACATGCATGAGTAATACTACATGCGGTGACAGATTTAGAATGAGTTCTCGATCATTCATAGTGAGGGATGTGATACATGTAGTTATCGTTCATCAATATATCAACAACAAAAAACCATTTCTAGTGAAAAAAATATAATGCCACATCAGTCACTATGAAAACTCGGCCTGAATTTGCTGCTACAAGTATCATTACTCTGAAGTTATAGTTGTCATTACCTGAAGAATTTTGTAGGAAGTAAGAGTCTTGTCATCATGATCTTGGCAATAATCTCGAGGGTTCTCAGAGTGTTGAACACTCTTTTTCCTAATAGCCGCGACAACAACACGAGCCAAGCTAGCGAAAGGGCTCCTCAGCGGTTTCATCTGGCGATAGAAACCAGTGCCGGCTGAAAAAAGAAGCAACCCGATTGTATTCGCCGCGAAACAAATCCCGAATCCCCAAGCCCAACTCATATCATCTTCAACATAAACAATGGCTGTGGAGCTTACAAGAAAAGACGTGTACATGAAAAATATGAACCAGTTGAAGGAAATCCCCTGATGCTTTGATTTATCAAACTGGTAGGCACCCATTGATCCAATGGTGAAACGGGTACCCGCCAATCCCAGAGATATTAGTCCTAATCCCAGATAAAGAACTGCCAGTTGAACTCCAGCTGGCATTTGACAGAGTTCAGGTGATCCATTTTCACATGGAGGTGGTCTTAGTTTACTGAATGCTGCTGTCAAAGTTAACAGTAACAATCCCTACATAATAAACACAACTTTTGAAAAATTTCTGTATAATCCTTCACTATTGGAAAAATAAGGGGAAAACACAGAACTGACTAGTGGTGAGATAAGGGTAGAAATCCAGATAACAGAGTACCAGGTCGAGAATGAATCTGCTATAATGGCAGCTGCAAGAGGTAATATTGAAAGGAACCCATTGACCACATTGAAGATTTTAGCAGCACTGATTCTCTCAATGTTGAATTCTTCAATCAGATATACTTCCAGATTTGAATTTACCCCTCCATTTGCCAATGATAAGCCAGCCACAGTCACTGTTTCACATGAAACAGAACAAAATTATTAATTACATGTATCATGCTGATCAGATATCATGATTTTTTATTTAAAAAAAATAATTCCAAGATGCAACTAATGATGTTCTTGGCATTTAATCAATGTATCAAAGTAAGAGGAGAAGGGTTCTGCAGAATGTAATTAAAAGATGAGAGGTTGTAACATTGGGGTATCTTGTTCGAATATGGAAACTAAAATTCCAAAGAAACCAAAATATAAGAAGAGGAAGAGCAAAATAGAAAGAGACCTAAAATGAATGGGAAGGTGATCCAACCGCCTTTCTTGGCCGGGGAAATTGGGCCGGAGTCAACTGTAGGATCTTCAACATTGAATGAGCGCTCCTAGCGTTGGAGTCTTCCATGGTATTTTTCCGGCGGGGAAGATGGCTGCTTCCTTAGATAACTAGTAAGTCTCTGACTTAATTAAAAGACCGGTGTAAAGTCTCTGGTCTAAGCAGTCAACTCTTTTGAGGTTTGATAATTGAATTATTTTCTTCAGATTATAGTCTGTTCACTATACTTGACATATGTAGCTCATGCTGCTACATGGCAAAGGAAATAAATTTTTTTAAAAATAAATATAGAAGGAATAACCAGCTTGGAAATTAAATATACATTTTGGTTTGAAATGTTTAGGGCCATTGATGATCAGACATTTCATGAAACAAATGTGGTGTTTCTTATTTGGGCATAAATAATGTTCGTAAGGGGTTGGTTGATACATTGGTTTCGTAAACAAATTGAATAGAGAACAAGTTTTCTTGTGACACCTTTGGCACAACAATTGAACAATAAATAATCTTGATAAATTTATTATATTACTTTTCTTTTTCTCTTTTAATCTATCTTAGTTAATGAGCAAAAGCTAGCTACTTGATTTGTTGGTTTGGTTTTTTTTTTTTTTTTTTTTTGGGTGGGGATTAGACATATTGAATGGGTGCTTGTGTCATCAGAGATTCCCCTAATATTAAGGTCGGATTCTTCACATGTGACAAAAACCAGGTTCAATAAATTAACAAGGCTATTGTGTTTTACATTTACTACATCTTGTGTGTGTGTGTGTGTGTGCTAAGGCTGTGTTATTCCACTCATTCAATTTGCGAAGAATCTGAATTTAGAAAGATAATCCAATCCTACACGAATTTAGGTATTCTCCTGGAGACAGTTTGATGCACTTCCACCATAATCTAGTGATTTATTTGTTTTATCTTCATATTTACTAATGAAAAGGCCATGTGATTTCTGTCATTTGTTCGTGTCGGATGAGATGGTTAAAAGGATAGGTTACAAAATTGCTATTACCATAAACTTCATAACAATTCAATTATCGTTAGGATAATTCATTTCCAATGATGAGAAGAAAAAAAATATCAATGAAAACATACAAATAGATAGTGGGTAGTTTTAAAATCATGTTAATATGTCAGCTGGTTGGTGAGGTATCCTAAGGACAACAGAAAAAAAAAAACAAATTAAGATGGTAGATCTATAGAAAGAGTTCCCGGTGATGCAAGAATTAATATTCTACTAATCTTTACATTTTTTTTTTATTCATTTTGCTTGTCTTTAACAAACACTAGAGTTAAGCCCGTGCGTTGCACGGGAACGCACGGGTTGTGTGATGTCTGATGATATAAAATGCAAAAAAATATAGTTTACAGGATTGATGCTAAAGTTAAAAAATTTGTAAAGCTCATTAATAAATAAATTTTATTCAAAGTGGACGAACAGTTTAAAACTAAGTAATTTTATAGACTAAGTGATAGTCTTTGTTAATTAGATAATAAAGAGTATGGTTAAATGAAACTGATTATAATGAAATGTCAACCAATATTTTAAAAATAAGTTAAAAATGTAGAGCACAAGATTGATAATAAAATAACATAAAATGTAGATCACATGATTAACAAATTTTTATTCAGAAGAAGATGACGAATACTTTAAAAAATAATAAATTTGGTAAATACATGAGACAATGTTTACTGGAAAAATAAAGACTATCATTAAAAGAAAGAGTATAAAATGACTTGTCATCTGATCTTGTGCAAAGACTTTTTTGTATACAACATTTGTCGTATGGTTACTCACACCGCCTTCCTTGTCCTTTATTAGAAGTTTGAGCCCTTCTTTTGATTTTACTCTAAAAAGTGCAACGAAGAATTGTCCGTGTGTGAAGAGAGGTCGTTCCAAATAAAATCCCACTTGCGAGAATGATTGGCCTTGACTCTTGTTCATTGTCATATCAAAACAAACTACAATTGGGAATTGTCTCCACTTTAGTCCAAATGGCATTCTTTTGTCTGATGGAGTGAATACCATCCGGGGGATAAAAACTTTTGTCCCAATGTTGTTGCCGGAGATAATTACAGTTTGGATAACACGATTACCCAAATGAAGAACCTGCAACTTAGTACCATTGCACAAACCACCACGTTGATCAAGGTTCCGAAGTAGCATGATAGGAGCACCAACCTTTAGTTCCTACTTATGATTTGGCATGCCTGAACATTGATGTTGTTGAGAAACTCCGGAGTAATTTATTCATTATATTCATCACTTTCAGACTTTTCAGTGTCCTCCAGGTTGTTTGAACTTAAGTACTCTCACGGCTCTCCTGGTAAAAGTTTCAACATATGCTCATTCCCACTATGCACATAATCATGAGTAGGTGCCAGAATGGTTCTGTCCTCAAAATATTTCGGTGTCCAAACGTTATCCACAAAGTTGAGATAAATGATTTTGCAAATAAAATTGATATGATTCTCAGTTAGGTGAATCAGTAGGTCATCAGGGATTTCAATATCTGTTTCGCCGTCATTAGGACATCCGATAAGACCATCGCCAACTTTTAGCATCCATTCTGAAAATTCCCTTGTATCATCTGACATTTCACTTTGACTGCCATGGCGAAGCCGCATGTTGACAATAAGTCTAAGCACTTCACAATAATCCCAGAAGTATGAAGAGCATCTAAACGCATTAACAATGTCTTGCCGACTACCTCTAGGAACAATCGGAAGAATTTGTCTGAAATTTTCACCAAGAAATTCTTGTCTTAACAATGTACTCTTGATTTTCTTGCTACTTTGTCATGAAATTATTTTTCACAAAAATTACACTTTTACCCCGAATAATTATATACGCATCAGTCACTATACATTTTCACTGTCTATATTATTATTGTTTATGATATAAGTGTCAAAATTGAATAATAGAAATAATTAAAAAACTTGAAAATAGTTTTCGATTATCTTGATTGATAGTTTAGCATTACTACAATATAAATCGTGTTATTGTTTTAAAAAGAAACTAAATAATTGATAGCATTATCCCTGCAAAATTTTCTTCTCTATAACATTTATAATATGATTACTAATACGATTTCCTTTTTTGTATTATTAGAAATTTTTATGTCCATATTTTATAATTTATTTTGCAGAATACAATGTAAAATTTGCACTCAAGAAAATACTTTCTGTAAATAAAGTTTAATCTTTCCTACTCTTATTTAATTATCACAGTAAAACAAAAAACAAAAGAGATTTGTTTTCAATTCAGTCTGAATATGAACCTTTTGTCAATTAGAGTATATATAATTCAAGAGATGAATATTTTTTTCAATATAGTTTGCTGAAAATTTTATAGTTTTTATAGAAAAATCACCCATTTCGAAAACTTGTAATCTTGTTCGATACACAAAGCGCAATCTTGAATGATGTATAAATTCATATGAATAATATTTTGGCTAATGATTTCCTACACTACAATCTTATAACACTTTGTAAATAAATATGTAAAATTTGTTGTATTTTTCTAGTTAATTATTATTTTTATTTTTTTAATATTATACTAACATCCTAACCGACCATTGGATGAACCCGTAAAGGTCATTTGTCAAAATCATAATACTTGTCAAAACCCGTAAGGATATTCTACATTATAATCCTAGAACACTTGTAAATTAAATAACCATATAAAATTTGCTACATTTGTTAATTTAATAATAATTTTTCTTTGTTTTCATTTTTAATTACACCCTAGCTGATCATTGGACCAACTCATCAAGGCCTTTGTTAAGCAAATAACCCCTATACTTGCAAATAAAAATTTTCAAGCAAATGACCTCTACATTTTTTTAATAGTTATTTCTCTTTTTTTAATTTTTTTTTTTGATAACGTCGGGAACCCCACCAGAGATGGGTAAACCCATGCCCACTGTAATAGCCTGCAAACCACAGTGGGAGGTAAACCACCCTAGGCATGCCCGGGGTGACAAGCTCGGGTGCGAAATCGGGAGTTCATTAGTGGGTTAGCGATAATAAGCCTATAGAGGTGTCAATAGGCAAGGTGAGAGCCAACCCTCACTTTTTGTTGGAGTGGGGAATTGAACTCATGACCTCCTCTTGGAGCAAGGGTAATGTTATCACTGAACCAACTCCTCATTCGCTCTTTTTTTTAATTTTTATTAACTCTCTAACCAACCATTGGATAAACCTATCAGGACCATTTGTAATATTTTATCTAAACGATGTTTGCGCTAACAATTTTCTACATTACAATCTTACAATATTCGTAAACTAACACATAAACTTTGTTGCATTTTCTAGTTAATTATTACTTTGTTTTCTCAATATTATACTAACACCCTAACCCACTATTGGATAAACCCATTGAGGTCATTTGTCAAAATCATAATTAAATGACGTTTGGCTAAGGTTATCCTACATTACATTTTACAATGTTTGTTAAATTACCATATAAAAGTTGTCACATTTGTTTATTAATTTAATATTTTTTCTTTTTTTTTTTTTAAGTTTTAGTTACACCCTAACGCACCATTGGATGAACCCGTCATTGCACGTGTTAAGCAAACAACCCATGCGCTTGCAAATGAAAACTGTTAAATGAATGACTCCTACAATTTTTTTATTAAATAATTATTTCTCTTTTTTTAATTTTTAATAACACCTTAACCAACCATTAGATGAACCCGTTGCAATTATGTGTCAAAATTTTGTATAAACGATGTTTTGGTTAATTTCCTACACTACAATTTTATGACACTTCGTAAACTAACATATCAACTTTGCTTTTTTAACATTAAACTAACACCTTAACCAACCATTGGATGAACCTTTCGGTATCATTTGTCAAAATCAAAATTAAATGATGTTTGGCTTAGGATATCCTACATTACGATTTTAGAACATTTATTAAGCCACCAGATAAAATTTGCCACATTTATTTATTTAACAATTTTTTTAATAAAATTTTGATTACATCCTAGAGCACCATTGGATGAATCCATTATTGCACCTGTTAAACAAATAACTCTTGCGCTTGCAAATGAAAAATGTAAACAAATGACACCTATAATTTTTTTATTAAATAATTATTTCTCTTTTTTTAAAATTTTTTTACTAACACTCTAACCAACCATTGGATGAATCCGCCGCGACTTTGTATCAAAATTTTATGTAAATGATGTTTTGGTTAATAATTTCCTACACTACAATTTTATGACACTTTGTAAACTAACACATGAACTTTGTTGCATTTTTCTAGCTAATTATTACGTTAATTTTTTAACATTAAACTAACACCCTAATCCATTTATCTGATTAATTTGTGGTATCTAAAAAAAAAATCTAAAGAGCACCATATTTTGATAAATGGGAAGGAATAAAATTTAGTCCAACATAGTTCCTTAAAAATTTGATTCCAAAATCTACAGTCTTCCCACGAGCTTTTGATATTTTCAAACATTAGTACGATTCTTGTCGCATTGTGCGACCCGTGCGTATCTTGAATTTTTTACTCTTTTTTAATTTCAAAAAATTTATTGTACTTAAATTTAAGTTAAACATTGAAGATCTGCATAATATTAATAAAAAAGGTGTAATATTATATATATATATATTAGATATATTTTGAATTTATTGGAGTGTAATGTTTGGACTTTAGAAAGAGATGATGCAGAGCAGTGAAGAACAATCAATTTAGTGGATGCGTTGTGGATTCAATTCCTGTTGGATTCCATATATTTTATTAGAATGTATATGAGTGTTCTTTAATCATATATGGTGAATTCCATTGTGAGCTTTAGAATTACGAAAGGTCCAATTAATGACGTTGTCATCTGATGTTGATTTGGGATCATGAATTTAGAGGATAGGAAATCATTATCATCGGAAACCTCTAATTTACTTTGAAAATGTTACTATTTAATTCCAATTTGTAGTTTGCTTTGCTCGGTGCTTCGGCCAAAAAAATTTTCAAAAAAAAATATGGACAAAAATAAATTTTTTTTTTATTTTTTGTTTTTGGTGGACAAAACTTGTTGTTTCGAATTTGCCAAATCCGAATCTATCTATTTTATACTAGTCCGAATCTACCCAATATAATTGATTCATCACATAGTTGTAATACAAGGGCAAATCCGAATCTAGTACAAAATGGATAGATTCAGATTTGGCAAATCCAAGACAACTAAATTTGTCCACACCACTCCAGGACATATATTTTTGTCCAGGTCTTTTCATTGAAAATTATTTGGGTAAAAAACTCCTTTTTTGTTAACACCACGCCCCTACTTTGCTCAAGTCAGCAACTGAAGGAGAGAGTTGTTTAGTGTTGGAAATTGCATTAAATTTAGTCTGTATCACAAAATGGATTTTTCGTACGTCAATCTGCATAGTTTTTATTCAAATAATTTTGGAATATCAAAGTCGTGAGAACACTCTTCAAACACATGCATGATTGGTCTAATTGTACTAGTTTGATCATAAGATTATATAGTAACTTTTTATGTATCTAATTTGAAAAAGAGTAAACCTCAAAACAAGTCATCAACTTTTAATATATTTCCACTCTAGGTCATCAATTAAATTTATTCGTAATACAGGTTATCTTACTAAAGTTTTAATCCATTTCAGATTATTCTGTTAATTTTGGCCGTTAAATAGTGACGGAAATCCATTTTTCACATGCTTTTGGGTTCATGGGTATTTTTGTAATTTTATTATTTTTTTTATTTTTAATCTTTTTTATTTATTTTTTTTTTACAATTCTTCTTCTTATACTTCCTAACTTGTATACACTGGTAGTATAATTCTAAATTTTAAAAATTTATTTTCCTTTTGTATTTTAACTTCTAGATTATAAAATTTTTTAAAAAAATTTAAGAAATGAAGAAAGAAAATTCGAGTTAAAGTAAACATGAAAATTAATAATTTAACATTTAAAAAAAAAGAAAAACTAAAGAATTAGCTAAGACAAGTTGTTTCTTCTAGGTTATTTAATTTTTTTAACTCGATTGAATTATTTAATTATTAATTTTCACGTTTCTTGTTCCTTTTTTTTTATAATCTAGAAGTTAAGATACAAATGACAAACAGCTAATTATGTTAATTTTTCTTTTTTTTAAAGTGGTAAATTATTTATTTTCATGTTTACTTTAACTCGAATTTTTCTTCTTCATTTCTGAATTTTTTTTTAAAAAAATTTATAATCTAGAAGTTAAAATACAAAAAGAAAATAAATTTTAAAAATTTAGAATTATAGTACCAGTATATACAAGTAAGGAAGTATAAGAAGAAGAATTATTAAAAAAAACCAAAAAAAAAATTAAAAGATTAAAAAATTAAAAAAATAAGAAAATGACAAAAATACCCCTGAACCCAAAAACATGTGAAAAATGGATTTTCGTCACTATTTAACGGCCAAAATTAACAGAATAATCTGAAATGGATTAAAAATTTAGTAAGGTAACCTGTGTTACAAATAAATTTAATTGATGACCTAGAGTGGAAATATATTAAAGGTTGATGACTTGTTTTGAGGTTCACTCTTTGAAAAATACACCATTTTGACACTTACCAACAAGGAAAAAAAAAAGGAGCAAAATCCCATTGTGTAAACAAATGGAGTGTAAATTACAAATGAAACATTTGGATCGTTTAGGTGCTCCGTACAATACTTGCAGTAACATTCACAGATTCTATAGCATTGTAATATTCACAGTTTTAGTATGTAATCTTTCCAAATAGGCGTTCTATATTCATACTCTTTCGATCATATTCTAACAGGTAACTTTTAAAGTACTAGTTTAATATTGGCGCAACACTCTCTAGTAGGGACTTCGTTGTAGCCATAGGTAAGTCGGTCTATCCCAAGTCCAACTATTGGGGTTCAATATATTTTTCCTCGTAAAATTGGTGGTGAAGCCAAGCCGATTTGGTTCAATATAATAAATTATAAAACCAAATTGGATAATTTCTGAACAAAATTTTAATATACAAAAAAAAAAAACAACAGAAGGTTTAAGGAGTCATCAATATGATATGACTAGGTGGTGGGTGCTGCACGTTGTGTAGCTTAAGGGAGTAGTAGCCCAGTATTTTAGGAACTTCTTACTTATGTTTTGGGAGTTCGCTACATTAATCAAGATTGTTTTGATGCAGTAAAGGGGTCTCTGAAATACCGATGATGCATACAGTAAGCACTAAAAGGAAGTGCATGTTCATCAATTTTAGAAGCCGATGAAGAAGAAGTAATCGGGTTTGGATCTCATCAGTGGTTACACCTCTTTGACATTTTTACAGCCATCACGACAAACTTTTAGGAAATAATTATGCAAACCTTAGTCATTAATATAGTTGGGGAAGATTGGCAACACTTTGGACAACATCATACAAAGAGGATTGAAATTATAATTGTATCAGCAATTTAGATTGGCAAAACTAATCCGAATGTCCTGATGGATGAGATAATCAAACACTTTAAAATGCATATATGGGGCAGAAGAAACTGCTGAAAACAACCGCAGATTATCATCAATCTCCATGTATGATACACGCAAAAGCAATTTAAGAAGAGTACATCTGTACATGGCAGATATTGTAGCAAAGTCCAAATTTAGGTTCGAAAGCATATTAAAATCAAACTGACCTGTTCTCTGTCTCTATGTAAAGCAATAAACCCGGCAGTTGCCAGCATACCAAAAAATGTGGAAGAAAACAATAGAATTCCATGGATAACCCAGCAATCGACCGTATTTCATTTTAGTTGAAGAACAAGACATCTCTAAACAATCAATGGTGTTCAATCGCATCAAAACGGCTGCAGAAAAAAAGCTTAGTCATATTATATTAGCATATAAAATATGACAGATCGAGGCTAACCAGAGTTCAAACTTCGGCCCTTTCCTTTCTTTTCAGTGATAAAGATCAGGAAACCAGAAAGTAATCTCTTTTCCTCCTAGTTCGTCATGTGGCCAAACAGCTCAAAACTCGGTCCACTGATTCACCTTTTCCCCCACGAACCGGCCATGGCCGATTCCACAACTCGGTCCCCTCCTCAACACTCCATTGAAGAAAATTCTTCCAAAATTGTTTCCAGACCCACACCGGCTATCCCAATTGAAATCATCCCAGATGAAGAGACGTTTCTCATTGAAGAAGCTGCCTTTGCCTCCGCGACTCAGACATTTCTGCTTCCCCTGACTCAGTTGCATAAAAACAATGGCGGAAGGTCTATCACCTCCATTTCTGTATTGTCCAAGAAGAGATTTTCGGGTGTTTGCGGAAGTGGGTCTAAAGATAAAAGTTTAATCCGGACTTTTTTTTTTCTTTTTCTCTTTTTCAGAACATAAGGAGTATTTAGGATTTAGGGAAATATAAATGTACTAATTAATAATATTATGACAAAATTTGATGAGTGAATAATTTGTTTAGTAGGGCGGGGCTCAATATTTCAGTTTTCAACACTTTTTAACCGAAAAAAAAGGGAGGGTTAGTTTTATTGCTGTGGTTAGGGTTTCATTAATTAATTTGTTCTGATTATGCGATAGAGTAATAGTACGGTTTACGCAGAACCAGACCAAGTTGATCCACACTGGTGAGTCTTCTATTTATCCTTCATTATATGAAATCTCTTTACCTTAATAATGACTAGTAATCACTGTTGTCCCCAAAAATTTCATTGATCGAATTTACGACCGCAAATTGATTAGTTATGATATTTGTATGTATGTACTCTTTCCGTCTTGAAATGGTGGTCTGGTTTTGGATTTTCATTTTTGTAGTTCGAATTATAATCAAAGTGAGAATCTGAACAAGGTAATCATTTTTGGGACGGAGGGAGTAATCATATTGCAGGGAATTTTGCTACTAGAAAGAGATATATGACCACATTGTCTATGGTAATCGGCGCGGCAGCGCCCGCGCCATATGTAAGAGGAAGGGGAGAAGAGAATAGGATTAATAAGGGTTTAGACAGGGTTTTGTTTAGAAAAAATGTGGAAGGGTTTTGTAGTAGTAGGGTGATCAGGAGTAAGCACAAGCCCAAGTTTAGTGTGGCTGCAATGGTTACGAAGAATGTGAATGAGAATGATGATGATGATGACCCATTATGGCCTGATCCTGATGATATTGGTCCAAACGGTGACACCCCATTAAACAAGTATCTATCCTACTTCCATGACCTGAAAGATGAGGTGAGGGAGCCAACTTTTTCCTTTGAGAAGCCATTCTATGACTCGTTCGCAAATATCTTTAAGGTAAATTGGTATTTTGGCTCTTTTTTCTTGAAAGAGAGTCAGTATTTAGTTAATTGTTGCCTCAATTAGTCATGAAATGTAATACGTGAATGTGGTCTATGGATTTAACTTCATAGAACGATTAAGCCTCTCATTTGATTCAACTCATGATTGAACAGCTACGTCGAGCTGTTGAACAATCTGGATTAGATTATGGCGATCAGGTCAAGCGTTTGAAATCAAAGTTGAATGAGGTAATTAATAGCCATTTTGGTTCCCAATCCATTCCAGTTGAAAAAACAGGCCTGATATGGTTGTTACCACACCATATTCCTTTTTTGTTCCTTCTTTTACCTTGTAAGTTTGACAGCTGAACAAGTTGGTCGTGCATAATTAATAGATACACAATCCAACCACTTCATCTCACTAACTTACCAATTCCAGAGCTAAAGATTTATTGTTTTCTTTTCTCCTTTGTGTACTTTCAGGCTCTCGACGGTTTAGACACCCATTTGACGCAAAATCAACACATGGCCATTGCCAGGTATCCAAATAGGCCAGATGTCGTTGATTGCATTATGAATACCGCAGAAACAGTAAGTTACCACATCTTTCATTTGATTTTTGTTAATGGCATTATATTTCTTTGTAATGTACTAAGACTTGTGTGGCATTTTTGACATGATAAAGTGGGTAGAACTCCATGGAGGTCGAACAGGCTATGATCCAGCGATTGTGACTGGTTTAGGGAGCATTCAAGGTGAAATTTACATGTTCATTGGACATCAGAGGAAAAGAAAGCTGAAATTGGCGGAGCCCACCCCACGTAGGTAAGCTTTTGCATTTCTATTCTGTGAGTATGAAGTTTAATCCGGAGACCTACATGTACCCGTGTTTTATATAATTTCTACTAAAAGCATCCAGGGGGCGCAAATGTAACAATCGGACTTTTGGGTTGATTCTGCTGTACCTCAATTATTGATTCATTTTCATAAGAAGGATTTGTCACTATTTCAGTTCTGCTTTCAAGTTCTCCTAAGGAAGAATTCATTCTCCTTCTTTCATAGGACAAGACTTCTTGGTTCTTTTTTCCCCTTGAAAATGATATCTGCTGCTTTATGTTGCTTCTGCTGTGCTGAATTCAAATCAATGTTGTATGCCCCTATATTTTTGCTTGCCGAAAAGACTAAGGGAGGTAACATACAGATTTTTGCTAACTTTAATTGCAGTTACAAACAAGCTTTGCTAATGATGAAATATGCTGAACATTATGGTTTCCCCATTGTCATATTTGTTGACACAACTAGTACTTTTCCTGATCTGAAATCGGAGGAACTTAGTCAGGTGAGACAATTTTTGTCTCGCTCTTTGAACTGATAATCGCTATTATTTACATATGATGTCCATAGTTATCTTATTGTGATTTGAATAAACCCTACAGGAAGAAGCAATAGCACATAATTTGAGGACAATGTTTAGTTTGAAAGTTCCAATCGTAACGATTGTGACAGGCGAAGGTGGTCCAGGTGGTGCTCTTGCTATTGCTTGCGCGAACAAATTGCTAATGATGGAGATGTCTGCATTTTATGTTGCAAGGTGATACCTTGTCACTCATTCCGTCCATTTTCCCTAGTTCCTCTCGTTTGTTATAGGGTTTTTCGATATCAGAAGGCAAATTTGCAGCACAAAATTCCTATTTATTGAACCAAACCAAATTTACTTTCTCACAAATATATATTATCTGAAAATTGCTCTGTTTATTTTCTATTGAACTAGTCCCGACGCAGGCGCTGAAATACTGCAGCAACTATCCCCGGCAGCCCGAAAGGTACTTTTTAAAAAACTTGCTAAGGGGTTTCCAACTTTCTGGTGTCTTAGAAAGCCTACTTACAGTAATCACACTTCTCCCACAATTTAACAGAGTGCTGAAAAGAGAGCTAAAAAGGCGAACATTACTGCTCAAGAACATTACAGGCTAAGGATTGAAGGTGGTCTCATTTGGGTAAGCACTTCCAGTTTATGTCGCGGTAGCATCTGCTTGGTTTATTGACTTTGGTTTATTCATTTTTTCCATGTTCCATTCTCATTCCTAACAACATTAAAAATGCAATCATCTCCTTAGCTTTTCATCGTGGATAACTGGTTGATGAATCCTTTGGCCTCCAGGAATCTGTTACTGGTCCTTGGTGTGAAGAGATTAAAAGTTCACTTCTTAAGGTTATGGAGGTATGAGTGTTTTAGTTTTCCATGTATGGTGCTTTCCTTTGGCATCTATGGACCTGTACTTATATTTGTTGTCTTAATAAAGGGCTCAAAAAGAAGATTGATAGAATAAGAGATGTTTTGTTGTGCAATGCACATGCGATCAACATCTGCGGATGTTCCAATAACTCTTCTGATTAGTGATGTTAGAATTTAGAGAAGTGTGGTCTTTTTAACAATCGACAGTTAAAAACTTCATTGCTAATGGTACGTACATCAATATGATCCTACAGGAATTAAGAATATTGGATAGTGATGAGCTGGTGCGCCAACGTATGCTCAAGTTTCCAACAATTGGACAAGGTGGTTACAAAAATGAAGATGACGGAATGCGAACAAAAAAGAAGCACAGAATGAAACCATCTGAGGTAAAGGTTCTAAAGACTGCCGAGATAGAGTCCCAGCTCGAAGAACTAACGAAGAAAATCCTGAAAGCGGAAGGAACCTTCAATCCGAAGGGAATAGAAATTATGTACTAGTAGTGGTGCAAAATGCCATTTATCTTAATCTAGTTGAATAGCTAAGGGTGTTTCTTCTCATTTTGATAATGTGCTGTAAAAATTCAGCAGATGGGTAACTTATAACTCTAAACATGGGTGGTTCAGAAGTAGAATTGGTTTTCTTGTGTTCTAATAAGGTATTTCCATTCCTCCAGAATGGTGGTGGGGTTCATTGATGAAGTTCGAATACATAAAATCCCCACCATACACAACAACTAGTCTTAATCTCATTGAGTGGAATGGGTAAATTTTTGGGTATGTAAAAACTGCTAATTTGACTCGGAAATACAGCTCTTTTGTATTATACTATCCTGACCATACATGGGTCATATTAACCACCTCACTAAAATTGCAGCGGCAATTATATGTTCAGCTCATCCCCCACCCACCCCAAAAAAAAAAAAAAAAAAAGAAAAAGAGAGGAGTTTTAAAGTAGCTGTGACACAAACAAAGTAGCCTGTTGTGAGTGGGAGACTTACACAAGACTTGACTCAAAAAAGTAGGCTAAGAATTGCATACAAGTTTTTGATGGTGGATCCAAGAATGTATCTTTTGTTTTTATCCTCCATCAACTGAGTCTCCCACTAAGTGTATAAATCAAAAAATTTAATCCCGACTTTTTTTTTTTTTTTAGAACGGAAGGAGCATTTAGGATTTAGGGAAATTTAAATGTACTAATCAATAATAATGACAACATTTGATGAGTGAATAATTCTTCTTTTTTTTATTTCTTTAGCAGGCCGGGTTCAATATTTTCAGTTTTCAACACTTTTTAACCCCAAAAAAAAAAAATGGAGGGCTGGTTTTATTACTGTGGTTAGGGTTTCGTTATTTAATTTGTTTTGATTATGAAATAGTACGGCACAAAGACCCAGTTGATCCGCACAGGTCAGTCTTCAATTTATCCTTCTATAAACCAAAGCTCTTTGTGAAATCTCATATATGAATTTGCTAACTTACGATCCTTAATGATTAACTAAGTTGTACCAATGTTTCATTGATCGAGTTTTTATTATATACTGTAAATTGATTAATTATAATATTTGATGTGCACTTCTCGTCCTCAAATAATTGTCTTAGTTTTAGATTTTCATTTTGGTATCTCAAATTATGATAAGACTGAGAATCTAAACTCTGATAATTATTATTTTTGGGACAGAGCGAGTAATAGCATTGCAGGTACATTGCTAGTAGCTAGAGATATGGCCACATTATCTATAGTAATCGGCACAGCAGCGCCATGTGCAAGAGGAAGGGGAGAAGAGAATAGGATTTTCGGGGGGTTGAGTGATAAGGGTTCAGATAGGGTTTTGCTTAGAAAAAATGTGGAAGAGTTTTGTAGTAGTAGGGTGATGAGGAATAAGCACAACTCCAAGTTTAGTGTGGCTGCTGCAATGGTTAAGAAGAATGAGAATGAGAATGATGATGATGACCCATTATGGCCCGATCCTGATGATTTTGATCCAAGCCGTGACACCCCATTAACCAAGTATCTATCCTCCTTTGATCGCCGGTCGAATACAGATTTTTCCTTTTACAAGCCATTCAATGACTTGAACGAAAGCATCTCTCAGGTAAAATTAGTATTTTGGCTGTTCTTCCTTGTAAGGGAGTCAGTATTCATTTTAACTGTTGTCTCAATTAGTCATGAAATGTAATATGTGGATGTATGAATGTGGTCTATGGATTTAGCTTCATACACCGAATATGCCTCTCATTTCACTCAACTCATGATTGAACAGCTACACTTAGCTGTTCACAGATCTGGATTAGATTTTCTTCATCAGGTGGATCGTTTGGGATGGAAGTCTATAGAGGTAACTAAAAACCATTTTGGTTCCCAATTCTTTTTTGTTCCTTATTTTACCTTGTAAGTTTGACAGTTTGGTTTTGCATAATTAATAGCTACACAATCCAACCACTTCATCTAGCAAACTTACCAATTCCAGGGCTAAAGATTTATTGTTTTTTTTTTTTTCTACTTTCAGGCTTTCGAACATTTTCACAGTCATTTGACGCAAAATCAACGCCTGGCCATTGCCAGACATCCAAATAGGCCGGATGTCGTTGATTGCATCAAAAGTATCGCAGGAACAGTAAGTTACCACATCTTTCATTTGTTTTTGTTAATGGCAATATATTTCTTTGTGATGCACTAAGACTTGTGCGGCATTTTCAACATGATAAAGTGGGTAGAACTCCATGGAGATCGAACATGCTATGATCCAGCGATTGTGACTGGTTTAGGGAGCATTCAAGGTGAAATTTACATGTTCATTGGTCATCAGAGGAACAGAAAGCTGAAATCGGCGGTGCCCACTCCACGTAGGTAAGCTTTCGCATTTATATTATGTGAGTATGAAGTTTTATCCGAAGACCTACATGTGCCCGTGTTTTATATATTTTCTACTAAAAGCATCCAAGGGGTGCAAATGTAACAATTGGACTTTTGGGTTGATTCTGTTGTACCTCAAAAATTGATTCATGTTCATAAGAAGGATTTGTCACTGTTTCAGTTTTGCTTTCAAGCTCTCTTAAAGAAGAACTCAGTCTCCTTTCATAGGACAAGAGTTCTTGTTTTTTTCTCCTTGCAATGATATTTGCTGTTTTATGTTACTTCTGCTACGTTGGATTCCAATCAATGTTGTATGCCCCTTTATTTTTGCTTCGCCAAAGGACTAAGGGAGGTAACATACAGATTTTCGCTAACTTTATTTGCAGTTACAAAAAAGCATTGCTAATGATGAAATATGCTGAACGTTATGGTTTCCCCATTGTCATTTTTGTTGACACAACAAGTGCTTTTCCTGATCTGAAGTCAGAGGAACTTAGTCAGGTGAAACTAATTTTCGCTTGTCTCGCACTTTGAACTGACAATCTCTGTTATTTACATCTGATGTCCATGGTTATCTTATTGTGATTTGAATAAACCCTACAGGAAGAAGCAATAGCACATAATTTGAGGACAATGTTTAGTTTGAAAGTTCCAATCGTAACGATTGTGACAGGCGAAGGTGGTCCAGGTGGTGCTCTTGCTATTGCTTGCGCGAACAAATTGCTAATGATGCAGAGGTCTGCATTTTATGTTGCAAGGTGATACCTTGTCACTCATTCCGTCCATTTTCCCTAATTCCTCTCGTTTGTTATAGGGTTTTTCGATATCAGAAGGCAAATTTGCAGCTCAAAATTCCTATTTATTGAACCAAACCAAATTTACTTTCTCACAAGTATATATTATCTGAAAATTGCTCTGTTTATTTTCTATTGAACTAGTCCCGACGCAGGCGCTGAAATACTGCAGCAACTATCCCCTGCAGCCCGAAAGGTACTTTTTAAAAAACTTGCTAAGGGGTTTCTGACTTTCTGGTGTCTTAGAAAGCCTACTTACAGTAATCACTTCTCCCAAAATTTAACAGAGTGCTGAAAAGAGAGCTAAAAAGGTGAACATTACTGCTCAAGAACATTACAGGCTAAGGATTGAAGGTGGTCTCATTTTGGTAAGCACTTCCAGTTTATGTCGCGGTAGCATCTGCTTGGTTTATTCACTTTGGAAAAGAGTGAATTGGATGATATTAAGGGAACCAGAAAACACCACATTTCTGCTCCTTCAAGTGATTTTTATGCCTGATGCAGTACTATTTCTTTACTCATACGCAAATGAAGGATGGCTTGTTTATAGTTGCTTATGTATTTATTATTTCCATGTTCCATTCTCACTCGTAGCAACATTAGATATGCAATCATCTCTGTAGCTTTTTATCCTGGATAACTAATTGATGAATCCTTTGGTGTCATGGCCTCCAGGAACCCGCTGATTGTCCTTGGAGTGAATATATTCAAAGTGCACTTCTTAAGGTTATGGAGGTATAAAAGTTATAGATTCCCATGCATGGTTCTTTCCATTCGCATCAATTGACATGTAGTTGTATTTATTGTCTTAATAAGTGGCTCTAAGAGGAAAAAGATAGAATAAGAGATCTTTTGTTGTGCAATGCAAACGCGATCAACTGATGCGGATGTTCTAATAACTCTGGTGACTGATGTTAGGATTTAGGGGAAGTGTAGTCTCTTTGACAATCGACAGTTAAAGTTCATTGAGCTAATGGTACATCAAATATGATCCTCCAGGAATTAAGAGTATTGGATAGGGATGAGCTGGTGCAGCACCGTATGCTCAAGTTTCCAACGATTGGACAAGGTGGTTACCAAAATGAAGATGGCCGAATGCAAACGAAAAAGAAGCACCGAATGAAGCCATCTGAGGTAAAAATTCTAAAGACTGCTGAGATAGAATGCCAGCTTGAACAACTCACAAAGAAAATCCTGAAAGCGGAGGGGACCTTCAATCCGAAGGAAACAGAATGATGTAATGGCTTAACTGCAGCTTTAATGACACAGTTTTTACTAGGATATTTGTGGGAATGATTCCATATATCTTATTCTTTTCATTGCTTGGCTTCCAGCTGCTTTGTCAGATGTTTTTTGTAAGACTCCATTAGATATATGAAGGTTGTTAGGCACTTAAATGAGCAGAGTGTGTTTTACCACTTCTTAATTGTGCCAATTAGGCTTTCGTGTTTCTTATAACCCTAAAAAAGTTTCTGTAACTCTCCGACAAACCCACCACCTTTTTCTTTCATGGTGACTGAGCTTTGCCACTAATACATAATCATTCCTCTAATGAAAGTAATAATGGAAAAGGAGCTCCAATGGTTGATGGTTTACCAACTGAGAGATTTCGCACAAGTACACTGTTATCAGGTGGTATACCAAAAACCATGCAACATTCCCATTCTTTGTTTCTTTCCCAAATTTTGTGCACCAAGTGCTGACTGCTGTTGACAGAAACGCTGCATAACATGATTAACTAAAGAAGAAAATCAACTAACACAAAAAGGTTTATAAGAAATCTCCTATTTCTGAATTCTATAGCACATTATCAAAATGAGAAACACCCTAATGTATTTAACTCGACTAGAATGGCCTTTGCACCGCTACTACTAGTTCATAGCTTCTGCAGCCAGCCCTCCGGTTTCATTGTTATGTTATGTAAGCCATCACCACATTTCTGTTTTTTTCGGATTGAAGGTTCCCTCCGCTTTCAGGATTTTCTTCGTGAGTTCTTCAAGCTGGGATTCCATCTCGGCAGTCTTTAGAACATTTACCTCAGATGGCTTCATTCTATGTTTCTTTTTTGTTCGCACTTGGCCACCTTCTTTTTTGTCACCACCATGTCTAATCGTAGGAAACTTGAGCATACGGTGGTGCATCAGCTCATCACCATCCAATATTCTTAATTCCTGGAGGATCAGATAAATATACCATTAGCTCAATGAACTTTAAGAGTCGATAGTTATAGAGACTACACTTCCTAAATCCTAACTAACATCCAACCTAGAGTGATTAGAAGATGTTGATCACGCGTGCATTGCACAAAAAGAAAAAAAAAGTTCTCTTATTCTACGTATCTTCTTTTAGAGCATTTTATAAAGACAACAAATATAAGCACAGGTCCATCAATGCGAAAGCCGAAAGGAGAGCACCATACATGTGTTGCTTATAAGCAGAGGAGATACTGCAGCTTACATAGACAAAATTTGATTGAAAATCTAAAAGTAATATACCTCCGTAACCTCAAGAAGTGCACTTTTAAGATCGTCATGACTCCAGGGGTCTTCATCACCAGGACCAGCAATAGGTTCCTGGAGGCCATGACAACGAAGGATTCATCAACCAGAACTATTCACGACAGAAGCTACAGAGATGATTGCATAAATAGTGTTCCTAAAAATGAGAATGGAACATGGAAAAAATAAATAAATAAACGCAAAACAAGCCATCCTTCATTTGCGTACAAGTAAAGAAATAGCACTGAATCTGGTATAAAAATCACTTCAAGGAACAGTAATATGGTATTTTTTCGTTCCCTTGATGTCCATCCAATCCACTTTTCTCGTGAATGAACAAACCAAGCAGATTCTACCGCAGCATAAACTGGAAGTGCTTACCCAAATGACACCACCTGCAATTCTTAGCCTGTAATGTTCTTGAGCAGTAATGCTCCTCTTTTTAGCTCTCTGTTCAGCTCTCTGTTAAATTGTGGGAGAAGTAATATCGTAAGAAGGCTTTCTCAAACACCAGAAACACCTTAGCAAGGTTTTCAAAAAAATACCTTTCGGGCTGCTGGGGATAATTGCTGCAGTATTTCGGCGCCTGCAATCCGGACTAATTGAATAGAAACAGACAGAGCGATTTTCAGATCATATGTCTATACTTGTGAGAAAGTAAATTTCGTTTGGTCCAATAAATAGGCATTTTAACCTTTGCTCTAGACAAGTTTGCCTTTGAATATCAAAAATACCTATAATAAATGAGAGGGACCGGGAAAAACAGATCAATGGAGAGACAAAGTATCACCTTGCAACATAAAATGCAGACCTCTGCATCATTAGCAATTTGTTCGCGCAAGCAATAGCAAGAGCACCACCTGGACCACCTTCGCCGGTCACAATCGTTACAATTGGAACTTTCAAACTAAACATTGTCCTCAAATTATGTGCTATTGCTTCTTCCTGTAGGGCTCATTCAAATCACAATAAGATAACCATGGACATCAGATATAAATAACAGATATTTTTAGTTCAAAGAGAGAGACAAGCAAAAATTGGTTCACCTGACTAAGTTCCTCCGATTTCAGATCAGGAAAAGCACTTGTTGTGTCAACAAAAATGACAATGGGGAAACCATAATGTTCAGCATATTTCATCATTAGCAAAGCCTTTTTGTAGCTGCAAATATAGTTAGCGACAATCTGTATGTTACATCCCTTAGTCTTTGCACCAAGCAAAAATAAAGGGGTATACAACATTGATTTGAATCCAACGTAGCATAAGCAACACAAAGCAGCACGTATCATTTTCAAGGAGAAAAAAACCAAGAACTCTTCTCCTACGTAAGAAACAGACTGATTTTTCCTCAAGAGAACTAGAAGGCAGAAGCGAAATGGTGACGAATCCTTCTTGTGATGAATCAATATTTGAGGTACAACATAATCAATCCAAAAGTTCGATACATGTTACATTTGCTCCCTCTTTTTTTAGTAGAAAATATGTAGAACATGGGTCTTCAGATCAATCTTTGAACTCACAGAATGTAAATGCGAAAGCTTACCTACGTGGAGTGGGCACCGCAGATTTCAGCTTTCTATTCCTCTGATGACCAATGAACATGTAAATTTCACCGTGAATGCTCCCTAAACCAGTCACAATCGCTGGATCATAGCTTGTTCGATCTCCATGGAGTTCTTGCCACTTTATCAAGTCGAAAATGCCACAAGGTCTTAGTAAATTACAAAGCAATATAGTGCCATTAACAAAAATAAATGAATGAAAGATGTGGTAACATACCGTTTCAGTGATGTTTAGAATGCGATCAACAACATCCGGCCTATGTGGATGCCTAGCAAAGGCCATGCATTGATTTTGCGTCAATTTGCGGTGATAACGTTCAAAAGCCTGAAAGTACTCAAACGAGAAAAGAAAACGATACTACATCTTTAGCCCTGGAATTGGTTTGTTTGTCAGATGAAGAGGTTGGATTCTGTACCAAAGAAGAACAAAAAAACAAAAGAAATGACAACAAAAAATGACTAATAAACATACCTTGTCATTCTTTGATTCCAAACGGTCGACCAGATCAAGAAAATCTAATCCAGATTCTTCAACAGCTTTACGTAGCTGTTCGAGATCATGAGTTGAATCAAATGAGAGGCATCAAAATAAATCAGTCTGTTAAGCTAAATCCATATGAAATCCACATTCAAACATCCACATACGTATGGCAGCATTTCATGACTAATAATTGAGGCAACAGTGAAATAAATACTCATTCTCTTATACAAGTAAAAAAGAGCCAAATTAATACTAATTTTACCCGTTCGATGTTTTCATCCAAGTCAATGAATGGCTTCTGAAAGGAAAAAGTTAGCGGCTTCACCTCATGTTTCCGGCAATGAAAATAGGATAGATATTTGGTTAATGGGGTATCACAGTTTGGATCAATATCTTCAGGATCAGGCCATAATGGGTCATCATCATTCTCCTTCTCATCCTTAACCATTGCAGCCACAGGAAACTTTGGCTTGATCCTCCTACAACAAAACCCTTCCACATTTCTAAACAAAACCCTACCAAAAAAGCCCTTATTATTACTCAACCCTCCAAAAATACTATTGCTACCAAACTTGTCTCCTCCCTTTCCTCTTGCACATGACGCTGCTGGGGCGATTAGCATAGATGATGTGATCATCTCTCCACTAGTAGCGATATAATTACTCATAATATTATCTGTCCAAAACGATTGTCCATTTTAGATTTTAATTCTTAGTATAATTTGAACTTAAAAATAAACGCACAAACAACATAATCAGTTTGCCAACATCAAGTATCATAATCAATTTCCAGTCTAACATTCGATCAAAAAACTTTTGGGACGGATGGAATAAATAATCATTAGAGTCACCTGTGGAAATATAGAAGGATAAATCAAGGACTCACCTGTGGATCAACTTGGTCTCGTGCTGCATAAACCGGGGTATTACTATATTATTACTATGTTATCAAACAAATTAAACCCTAACCAGACTAATAAAAGTATAATACCAACCCTCACTTTTTGGTTAAAGAAATGTAGAAAACTGAAAGTAAATTAAACACAAGAAAATTCACTCCAATCAATTACTTATGGATCCATCAAATTTTATTATTTTATTAATTAGTACATTCACATTTCCCTAAATTCTTAGTACTCCCTCGTCTCCCAAGGAAAAAAAAAAAGAGTTCGCATCTGAGTTCTTAGTTTTATAAATTTTCATCAAATTCTTATCCTAACTTTTTGGAGTCAGTATTCGTATACAAGTCTATCGCTCGCAGCAGGCTACATTGTTTGTGTAAGCTACTTTAAAACTCTTTTAGAAATCAACTTAAACTTATACTATCTTTATAAGAGATCGTTTCCATGCACTTTTTGTCTTCCTCGTAAAAATCCATATATTCTCTTGAAATCTGTTTGGTAATTCATTTATGGTGTTTTGAAAATATTGAAACTGACTCACTTTTTTTTTTTTTTTTTTTGGCTGAGCTGAACAAGTACAATTGCCACCGGAATTTTGTTGAGGTGCTTAGTATGACCCATATGCAAGGTATATTGTCAGTCCTGCTGCTAACTGTGATTCAAAGCTGATGACCACCTTTGATAGAGCAAATTTATTCAAATTGCAGCTTAATTTAATTAATAATCTTCCCGCAATATGATACAGCGAAAAAATTAATCATGCTCCTTTTGTATTCAAATGAACAATAAAGAATGCTACTACTTTTTTTTGTACTTATAAGCTAGGCCCAGCAACAGAATTTACGGGGCACAATGAAGAAAATGTACAAAATCTGCATTTCCATCGTTCCTCCTCTGGAGTGTAGCTGGGCTCTCGTTCCTCAAACCAGAACTCAAGACAAGACTTTAGTTTAATGTCTAGCCAACCATCATCATTATCAAACCGATCTTCGCCAATCAAAGATTGATCTTTCTGTAACTCATACCTGTTTGTATAAAAAGCATTTGGCACTACTCAGAGACCTTTGCAGATGGCATAACTTGCATGCTATAAACGAAACGAATAGACTACTTCGATCGCATACAGACCAGTACTTACGTCCCAAAATAAGAATCATTTTTTTTTTTTTGAAAACATACAACTTTTTGATGGATTGAAAGCTAAAAAACACATAAAAAATGAGTTACTTATCTTCACAAGACAAATTAGCAAGGGTTGCAAAGATGTGAAATTATACACCTCTTTCTTTGGAATAAGGACAGTGCTTAAGAGTGTGACAGTTTTTTGTGTTAGAGAGCATTTAACAAAGAAAGCCAGTTAGATTGGTCAGAACTGGAACTGTGTCCGAGTAGGCAAGAGGAGACCTCAGCGTACATTTAAATCAAGACTTCATAAACATTGATCACTGAGAATTCTGTTTACAGATGAACAGTAATGATGTGATACTTTAAAGAATTCACCATTTTCCAGTATGAGAAGTGCATAAAATCATAGCGCATATGAAGAGTTTCAAGTATCTTCAACTAACCTTAGTAATAGCTCATCATGTGCTGGAGGCAGCCGGCGGCAAGTATTCTGGTATAAATCCACCAAATCTGTGAGAGTCTGCAATTAGGAAAAAGAGCAAAACTGTAAAATGAACTATAGAAGCCAACGTCCAAGTACTCCAAGGGATATAATACAAAAGAGCTGTATTGCCGAGTCAAATTAGCAGTTTTATATACTCAAAATGTACCCTTTCCACATGGGATTAAGCCTAGTTGTTGTGTATGCTCGGTTTTCTACCGCAGTAGAACATCACCACGATTAATACGTTAATTCTACTCAATTCTTTACCTCCACTGTAATACTATACGTAGCCATACTCTCCTTGATTTCTGAGGGTAGAACATAATGGGGATTCAAAGTGAAGAAATCGAAGAATTTCCCGGATGGAAAGTTACTGGTTACTAAGTTGTCCCAGAGACGCTTATAGCACATCAACTGAAGCCTGTCAAAACAAATATGCATTCCTCTTCAAACTAGTTACATAAACACAATAAAACTGATGGTAAATGACAATGATCTATTAATAGCTTATTACCAAAAACCTTGTCACATATAGTACCTTCCAATTCTCTGTTGTGGTTTGGCAGGGGGCTTTGGTACTGCACGAGTTTTTGTATCAACTAAGGTGGCATATCTTTTGGCCTCTGTGAGAGGTATTCGAATTTCATCAATTATCCCCACCATCCACACACCTTTTTCAAAGCTCACTCTGGAGGAATGGAAGACCTTATTAGCACACAAGAAAACCAATTCTACTTCTGAACCACCCATGTTGTTTTTGTTTTTTTTTTTTTGTGTGTGTGTGCATACTGTGCACGGTGTCCTGAGTGCATTGCACTCAAACTAATCCGTACCGAGTCGGGTTGGTCTCTTTTTGGAAGGAAAGCTCTCCCAACATTGCTCTTTTCATTCACGAGACTCGAACCCGAGACCTCGCTTAATGGAACCAAAGCACCTTACCACTTTGGCCGAGCAAGTGTCGGTAAAGGCACGGAAATTCTAAACCAAAGATTATTATGTGCATGAGATTCTAAAGCACTGATACAAAATTACACAAACGCATCAAACCTACAATGGAAGTTCACGTGTTAGTCCTTTGAGCAATAACTGGTTTGCACCAATTATAAAGTTGGCAAATTTCAAAGCCCATCTGTCTTCTGCTGTTGTAGCTCCAATTTTCACCCTTTTAATCACCTGCACATGTAGTGACTCTCAGACAACAATGTCATTTGATCACAAAAATCTGCACCATGGACTCTAATGCAAGCTTTGCTCAATGAAATAAATTTGCAAACATATTGATGATAAGAAGAACTTCTTGGTTGCTTTCCAATCAGAACAATACGAACTTCAATTTGGAATTTATTTGAAGCAGAGTGCAACATTCTCCAAAAGGAGTTAAATGTTAATGAAAACATATAACTGGCAGAAAAACTAATACAGTGAAAATTGACTGGTAATTAGCTTATATTGAAGTACAGTGGAAGAAGCATACCTCTTCTTCAAGTTCCGCATGCCTAGCAGAGCCTGCTTGCATAGCTTTGGTAGGTTTTGGTCTCCCCCGGCATAAAACAAACTCCATCTGTTTCTCACACCATTCCTGAAGTCAAAATGTGACAGAATTCACATAATATTAGTGAGCACCTCAATGGAACTAAATAAAGATCGCAAACATTACATAGCTTCCTTCCTCATGATGCTACTCAACAAAAACCAGACAGAACCTATCCTGCACGTAGCTTTCTTGCAAATACATATCTAAGAATGAAGCTAAAGAGTTGCTGAACTAAGTATACGTTTTTCAGATAAGCTATCAATCAAACAAGAATATCAAATGAAGCAGCGGACTGAAGAAATGCTAGCAAAAATTAAATTTACGACAAAGTTAGTTTTTACTCAGGCTTTCCACAAACATATTACCTATTATCCGATTAGTCTATCATCAGATGACAATATATATATCTCCCCACATTTTACTACTTTAAGCTCAAAAGCACATACTCGTACTGTCGTACACATCCTTTTTCATATGTTCTTTTATGAGCCGAAGCTTCATATGTAATCATGAAACAGAAAAATGACATGTGGACAAACTCCCAAATTTGTAAAATCAAGAAACTTTTGTATTCTTTACCGTGCCAGTAAGATCTGTGACAGACAAGCCTCTGCTCCTTCGAAACCGATCAAATAGTGATTCATTCACTTTACTCTTCTTCCTCTGACACAACCTATCATGAGCTGAGTCTTCAATATCACCCACAGCGTCCGACTCAGTTCCACCTATACTAGAAAACCTCTTCTTGGACAATAAGGAAATGGACTCTGCAGACCTTGTACCTCTACTTTCGTGGAATTGAGTCAATGAAATTGGAGGAGATACAGTACAAGATGCTGAGGAAAAGGCAGCTTCAGCAATAACCAATTTGTCATCTGAAATTCTTTCAGTTCGGACTTCAGGGGGTGTGGAAGTAGTGTCTTCTATCGATTTTGGAGTTGTCTGAGCTGTGGACTCGTTCATGATGGCCTTGGGGTGAGCCTTGAAAAAATTTTGAGCTGTTGGTGACTGTTGGCAACAATTTGAGGAGGGAAGTAAGGTATGATAAATGTGGCTTTTTTGTAGTTGTGCATGGGAATTGGATGCCAGTGGAATCTATGTTTCTTCCCACACAGTTAAGAGACCTTATTTTTCCCTTGACAGGATGGCGGGAAAATACAAATCTTGCTAAGAGAGACAAGAACAACATGTATCACAAATGTGATTATTCTCTTTTTCCTTTTTGGTGGGAGAAACATAATAGTACCTCCTCCACGTCAAAACAATTGTTCAAAATACATTGACTTCTATCCTGCCAGCAACTCGGCCAAAATTAGGAAGAAAGGAAAAAGAAAAGAAAAATAAAAGGGTATTTGTCTCTACGGAAGAAGCCAGTTTCTTAGGTGAGGGCTGAAAGTGCATAACATATAAATCTCTGAGACAGCAAGTCATATTATTACAGCTTCTGAAGATACATATATACATGTGTAAATAAAAATAACCGATTCTGGAAGATTGACTTCCTACGTTTCAACGGTGATGAATAATGTATCTTCTAAGTTTAAAGCACCGTGAAGAATGAATTACAACATCATAAAGAATGAATGATTGAGAAAATCATTGCTTGTATTTCTACAGTAACAATGTATCAGCTCTTGGACTACAACAGTCAACAACAGATTAAATGAGATGACCAACTTCAAATGCGAAGAAGCTTATCTGAAAACTTGCGCTCCTTCAACTTCAAGGGGTCATATTGCTTCAAGGTTCCTTGTAACATAAACAAATCCGAACCCGGACAAAAAGAATGCTAACCTCCTGTGCTTGAGCTAGTTGAGGCGAGCGATCCATTATCAGCATTTACGGGACATAAGGAAGAAAATTTGCAAAATCTGCATTTCCATCGTTCCTCCTCTGGAGCATAGTGGGGATCTCGTTCCCCCCTCCAGAATTCAAGACAAGACGTAAGTTGACTATCCAGCCAATCGCCATCATACTCAAATTGATCTTCTCCAATCAAAGATTGGTCCTCTTGTAATTCATACCTGAAATTGACCCCAAAAATCAAGGATTTTCAACATTGAAAAAAAGAAAAAAAAATCTTTAAGAAATTAAAGGAATGACATCATACATGATAGAAAGAAGATAAATCAGAAGTATAAAGAGAGGAACTTCAATAACTCAAACTCACCTTAGTAACAGTTCGGTATTAGCTGGAGGAAGCAGGCGGCAACTATTTAAGTAAAAGTTCACTAAATCATTGAGAGTCTGCATTCAGGGAAAAGCTGAATAAGAAATGGTAAAATATACCATAGAAGAAAGCCTTCTAGTACAACAGGGACACGGCAAAAACAAGCTCTTTTGCTTAGTCGAGGTCATTAGCTGTATGGTTGGACATTTTCAACACTAGTACACTAAAAAGGATGATGCTTTAATTCACCAAATACATCAATAGCATGGATCTTGTTTTTACCTCTGCTGGAAAACCTGATTTAGCAGTACACTCCCTGATATCTGAGGAGAGAATACGATGAGGATTCAAAACAAAGAAGTCAAAAAATTTCCCAGATGGAAATTTATCAGCTACTAAGTTGTCCCATAGACGCTTATAGCACATCAACTGAAGCCTGTCGAATAGGAAGATGTTCAAGAAATGATCAACTTATGTGAATAATTATCCAAGCAAGTGAGGCAATAACAATGATATCCAGTGCAAATAGTACCTCCCATTTCTCTGTTGAGGTGCCGAAGGGAGCCTTGCCAGCACACGAGTCTTTGTATCAACCAATGTAGCATATGTTTCAGTCTCTGAGAGAGGCATTCGAACTTCATCTATTATCCCAACTATCCACAAACCTTTTTCGAAACTAACTCTACAGGTTAAAAAGAGCCCATGAGACCATAAAAAAAAAAAAAAACAATTCCACTCCAGAATCACCCATATAGAAGATACCCAAAGCACATAGAGGGGGGATATGATATGCATCTCGTTTGTGGTAGTGAGGTGAGGGGCGGACGTACACAGAGGAGCATGCACATGTAAATTTAAGAACATTTAAAGCAGAGTGACCTGAAAATAATCAGTACATGTGCAGAACTACGCAGCAATAATACTCAAGTTTCACATTAGGTGCATGGCATCATAAAGCACTGAATCGAGAAACTAATGTTTAAAGGAATCAAACCTACAAGGGTAATTCACGTGTCAATCCTTCAAACAATAACTGATTTGCACCAACAATAAAATTTATGAATCTCAGAGCCCATTTGTCCTCAGCGGATGTAACTTGGATGGGCACCTTTTTGACTACCTGAATTATCCCAAGAAAAAAAAAAAAAGTTATTGGACACATACAAGAACCACTTCATCTTGGAATTTCTTTGAACGAAAGAGAGCAATACTTGACAGGCAATGCAGTAGATGTCAAAGGAGCTAAATATGAGTACAAACCCAAAACTGAACATTAAAACTGGTCACGTGGAACTTGACAGGTAATGCAATAGATGTCAAAGTTTAGAGCGGCAGAAGAATACCTCTTCTTCAAGTTCTGCGTGCCTAGCAGCACCTACTTTCATAGCTTTAGTGGGTTTTGCTTTGCCACGGAATAGAATGAACTCCATTTGTTTCTCACACCATTCCTGAAGTCAAAACAGGACTGCAGTGAGAGATACAAGTAATTCAATCAGACTAAATAGGTATTGCACGAAACCTAAGAGGGAACCCCTAATCATCATATACATTGTTTATTGAAATGAACAGACTGCCACACTAATTTTCCTATCCAATGTGAGTTTGGGAATAAAGCTAAAGGCTTGAATATGCGGAATATACTCTTGTCCTAAAATAAACACGCACATCCCTTTGATTCTCTAGCATTTTAACTAGACCATTTTGTAAATTGCTAGCAATCCGACCTATTTAGCTGATCATTATGTCATTACAATGAAGGGAATATATTTCACTATTAAATGTAATGTATCAACACTTTATCCTCAGAGGCATATACACACACATTTGATTTCTACCCAATCCAATATTCAGAAGCCAATAAGATTCAAACTTTCATCATGAAAAAACAAAAACTTTCATTCTGAAGAACTAAACCCAACACGGAAATTGAAAAAAAAAAAATGATCTTTACCGTGGCAGTAAGATCAGTAACAGCCAAGCCTCGCTTCCTTCGGAACTGATACAACAGCGTTTCATTCGATTTAATCTTCTTCTTCTTCTTCTGACCAATCCCATCACGAGCTGAGTCTTCTATATCACCCACTGGGATAGACCCACATCCGGAAACACCCGAAAATCTCTTCTTGGACAATACAGAAATGGAGGTGATAGACCTTCCGCCCTTGTTTTTCTGCAACTGAGTCAGGGGAGGCAGAAATGTCCGAGTTGCGGAGGCAAAGGCAGCTTCGATGAGAAACATCTCTTCATCTGGGATGATTTCAATTGGGATATTATCAGTGGGTTTGGAAACAATTTTGGAAGAAGAATCTTCTTCTTCTTCAATGGAGTGTTGAGGAAGGGAACGAGTCGTGGAATCGGCCATGGCCGGTTCGTGGGGAAAGGGGGTGAGTCAGTGGACCGAGTTTTGAGCCGTAGTGACCGTTGGCCACATCACGAACACAATTTAGGAGATGAAAATTTAACAAATCTTACGATGGAAGACAAAGTAAATAATTAGTAGTATCATTTTTTCCTTCAATTTAAGCATAGATTCTATATATCATAATGACTCCTAAACCTTATGTTGTTTTTTTATATATATTAAATATTTGTTCAGAAATTATCGAATTTAGTTTTAATTTATATATATATTGAACCAAATCACCAATTTTACGATGAAAATAATTGTTGAAATCCCATGTCCCAATATTTGGGAGAGACCGACTTTTGCCTATGGCTACAACGAAGTCCCTACTACAAAGTGTTGGGCAAATAATATTAAATTAGATGCTTGTCCCGGGCAAATGCCCGGGGGCGTCCTCCCACCTAATAAATTGATATGTAAATAATCAAAACTGATTAAGAATGAATTTAGTTTTTGATGAAGATAATTGATTGACCGAAAATTAATTTTTTCGAAAGTCTTAAATAAGTGGAGAAAGAAAGTTCTATTCACTGTCAAATTCAAAATTTAAATGAACATGGCCATCTAATCTCTTCGTTAATATTATAAATATATTTTTTATTTTTAAAAGAGAGTGACACATGACAGAATAGTTTATGCAATATGGTGCATTTGGAGCCAAAACATTTTAATACAAAATTGTCACATCAGCATCCTGTTTTCTACTTTAATAGGGTAAAAGGGACTAGTACTTTTAAAAGTGACCTGTTAGAATATGATCGAAAGAGCAAGAATACGTAGAACCCCTAATTGGAAAGGTTACATACTAAATCTGTGAATATTACTGCAAGTGTTTGTACGGAGCACATAAAAGATCCAAATGGTTCATTAGTAATTCACACTCAATTTGTTAACACAATGGGATTTTGCTCCGTTTTTTTTTTCCCCCTTTTTTGTTGGTTGGTAATTGTCAAAATGGTGTATTCTCCAACCTATGGTTGTTACTAGTTTACAATTTATTTACTGCAAGTTGTTGTAAATACATAAGAATTAAGAAGTCATATTTACGATAGAATGTTATGATCAAGCATAGTACAATTAGTCCTATCATGCATGTGTTTGAAGAATGTTCTCAAGACTTTGATATTCAGAAATTATTTGAATAAAAAAACCATATGCAGATTGCAGCATGTAATCTAGAGGACGTGCGAAAAATCCATGTTTTTTTATACGACTAAATTAAATGCAATTCCAACACTAAACAATTCTCTCCTTCAGTTGCTGATTTGAGCAAAGTAGTAAAGTTCTCTCAATGATATTGTCTTCTGAAACGGATATATTGCTATTGAATCGCAACTGATATCTTGTCATCCGCCTGAAAATGCCAGCAAAGCCTTCAATCCCTGCATGCCCGACACCTGTTATCTCTCACCGCTCTACTTAAACCGCCCTTCATTCTCACTTCTCATTCACACTTGTTCTCTCTTCTCCTTAATCCCTTCAACCCACAAAGTAAATTCCCAAGGATTCATTCAATCAAGAAAGGTTCTTTTTTTATTCTTTGTTGGTTGTTTTTCATTTTACTGATCAGAAGAAGAAATGGGGAGGAATTCCCTTTTGTTGTTGCTTGCCCTGTTGGTGGCATTCTGTGCACTTTCTGCCACCACCGTTGGCGGCGGTTATGTTGACCAGTATGAAGGTGGTGGCGGCGGCGGCGGTGATATGGAACCGGAGGAAGGAGGAGGAGGAGAAGAAGGAGGAGATTCTCCGAGGGGAAATTCCAAGTTCTTGCTGCAAGATTCTACCAGGGTGGTGAGGACTGATGCAGGGGAAATGAAGGTGTTGAGGGGCGGCGTTCATCGATTCTGGCGGAATCCGATGCATATCGGATTGATCACTATGGAACCCAACAGTTTGTTCATCCCTCAGTACCTTGATTCCAGTCTCATTCTCTTCATCCGCAGAGGTAAATTGTGTTTGAGTTTTTTTTTTTTTTTTTTATTAATGTGGATGAATTAGAATGCTTTAATTGAATTGTTTCTGGGAATTTTTTGGGTTTCAGGGGAGGCAAGAATTGGGCATATCCAGAGCGATGAGTTGGTTGAAAGGACATTGAAGACTGGTGATGTGTATAGAATTGCATCTGGCTCGGCTTTTTACCTTGTTAACAATGCTGAAGGTCAAAGGCTTCATGTGATCTGCAGCATTGACACTTCTGATAATTACGGATGGCAATGGAATAGGCAGGGCTTCCAGGTAGTATTTTACTAGCTCATTTACTCTCTTCTGTTGTTCTTTCATATGCATTGAAATGATCGTCTTTATGGGCCTATATTTCGAGTCCTAAATTGTTGATTCTTCCGCAGTCTTTCTTCGTTGGTGGTGGACTGAATCCTACATCTGTACTTTCTGGGTTTGATCACATGACATTGTCTACTGCATTTAATGTAAGAGCTTAAACTTGCACTTGTTTCGAATCCTCTTTTTTTTTTTCTTTTTTTTTTTGTTGGGCTGGTCTTTTGGATGATGAATTGTTAATGATGTGGTTGATTTATGGGTAAAATTACAGGTCTCAACTAATGAGCTGAGGGAGATTTTCACCAGTCAACATCAAGGCCCGATTGTTCATTTATCCGGTTCTCGCGCACCGGGGGTTTGGGCAAAATTCCTGGAACTGAAAGAACACCAGAGATTAGCCCAACTGAAGAGAATTGTGCATCTTGAGGAAGACTCAAAGCAAGATGATGATGAAGAAGAAGAGAAACAACCAACTTGGTCAATCAGGAAGTTCTTGAAATCCATCATTGGAGATGAAAACCGGGACCGTGGTGACAAGAGAGGCAAAGGTCCTGATGCTTACAATATCTATGACATGAAACCCGACTTCAGTAACAACTATGGATGGACTAAAGCCGTTTCTGAGCATGATTACTCTCCTCTCCGCCATTCTGACATTGGCATTTTCCTCGTCAATCTTACCGCGGTAATTTCCTTCTCCTCCTGAGCTTGGATTCACCATTGTTTACTTAATGGTAATCACTAGCCAATACTGTTTGATGTTTGAAATGTAGGGATCAATGCTGGCTCCTCATATCAATCCAAGAGCAACAGAATATGGTGTGGTCTTAAGTGGAAGTGGTACCATTCAGATAGTTTATCCTAATGGAACACTGGCCATGAATGCTAGAGTCAGCGAAGGAGATGCATTTTGGATCCCAAGATATTTCCCCTTCTGCCAAATTGCATCAAGAACCGGCTCTTTCGAGTTCTTTGGCTTCTCGACATCCGCGAGAAACAACAGGCCACAGTTCCTTGTTGGAGCAAATTCCCTGTTGCAGAACATGGCTGGACCCGAATTTGCAGCTGCATTTGGAGTGAATGAGGACAGGCTGCGAAAGATAGTCGATGCTCAGCGCGAGTCGACTATATTGCCTTCTGCAAGCGTCGCGCCGCCCGACAACAAGTTGGAAAAGGCTAAGAGGGTGTTGGATAATGTGATCAGGAGCTATGGCAATGATATGATCATGGGATTTGATTAGAAAGAAAAACAAAAAAAAAAAAAAAGGCTTTGTTGCGGCTTTGCTGCTGGACGGATTTCTGATCTGGGCATTTTGCATTTGAGTTCAGTTTTTCTTGTCTGTTCCTTTTTTTGTTCATTTCTCTGTCCAACTGTTTGCTTTGGGCCTGGTTGTGAATAAATATCAGCAAATTTGCTATCCAGTTTTGTCCCAAGGGTTTTCATGTTTCCGGAGATATTGTGAATAAAATCTGAGACTTCTTTGAGAGTTGAATCCATATGTTCTTGTCTTTTATGCTGCAGAAGAACAATCTATATATATCTGTTTGTTTCATTTCAATCCGAGTTACAAAGTCGGTAACCTGACAACCAAAATCAATTGAATCAATTTCTTGGAAGTCATTGTAAGTTATACTAATAGAAAGTAGCAATCTTGATGATCAATATAAATCCCCCAACTGGAAAGCGTCAAGATAGTTTCCTTTTTTTCTTTTTGGCAGAAAAGGGAGAAAAGTTTGTTTATTAGACTGATATAACTAAAAGCAGTTAATCAATCCTTAATCCCTCTGAATGTAGAGAAGAGAAAAGTTTGTTTAGTAGGCTGATAGAACTAAAAGCATTTAATCAATCCTTAATCTCTCTGAATGTAGAGGAAAGTTCACAATGAGCACAAGGACAGAACATCATCTAGACTTCCCTTTTCTAGGGAAGACATAAAAAGCATACGTATACTCAAAGTTCCTCCAATCTGGGGGAAATCAAAACTAAAGAGATCATCACATCAAAAGGCTCACTTTTCACTGCATTTCTTCTCTGAAAATATGTCAGTTTGAGGCTGAGTAATCTGCCCCAATTTTCTCACCCTGCTTCAAGTTTGGCAGGGGTGAATAATTCTCCGGGTCCTTTTCTTTGCCCTTTTTTACATGTATCATAATGATTTATAGGAGCAAAAAGTGCTTCAATTGTGCAGAACGTTGGTAAGATTCTGCGGAAGTCTATATCTTGTGTTTGCTTTCAGAATTTCTTTTGCTTTAATTAATTTGGGGGTGGTGTTGTGACTAAAAATCTTACATCTGTGTCGTGAAGTATCTGTTACTTGTTTATAAGTGTCAAAGGCCACGTCACTCATTGCCAATTGGTGTTGAGGTGGAACCTATGGATTTCTATATGGTACCAGAGCAGGCTCGGCCTGCGGTGAATTTTAACTCGCTATATTATTCTGCGGCCAGTGATATTATTCCACAGTTATTTTCTTGACCCAGCAGTGTATGTAGTGATTTTAGTCCAAGCCCATTGATCTTGAGGGCGAGTGATGAAATCCTTTTGTTATGTTTGTCCCACTTGGTACCGTGAGAAACTTTGTATCAATATATAAGTACGGTTATTTTTCTGACTCAGCAGTGTATCTGGTGATTTTACGGGCTTGAGGGGGAGTGATGAAATTCCTTTATTATGTCTGTCCCACATTGGTACCGTGAGAGACTTTGTATCAATATATAAGCTCCATGTGCTATTCTCTTTATTACCAATTGATTTTGAGGTGAAATTTCATTGGCTTCCGTAGGTGGTGTTGTAAATTCAATGACCTCATGATGTAGGGTGATTTCTCCGACCTCATTTTTCTGTTTCCATCGAGGCTAAGTTTGGCAATTTGGTGATATATTCAGAAAGATAAAGTATTGATTCCAAAATTCATTTGTAGACAGTGTTATGCTCAGAATCAAAATAGTTGTTCTCTTTGAACAGTTGCAAATTAGATATATTCAGAAAGATAAAGTCTTGATTCCAAAATTCGTTTGTAGACAGTGTTATGCTCAGAATCAAAATAGTTGTTCTCTTTGAACAGCTGCAAATTATCGTTTCTCTGATCTCTTTTTTTACGAATTTATGATCAATTGTCTACAACAGATGCTTAAATGCCCTGAACTTGCTGTTTGAAATTTGAACTGTCCTTCTTGCCAATGTACCTTGCTTCATTGCATAATTATATTCTCCCTAATTTGTGTCATTCTGAATAAATCAATTTGCTTTTTACAAGTAATTTTTTCACTATAGATAACTACTTGAAGCAACGTACATTCTCTCAAATTTGCATACATTAATCTTGATGGTTTTCCATTTTGTAAACAAAATGGCTCTCTATTACTACAGATAACAAAGCAAATTGGGATAGTGAAGATGAAACCGTAGTGGTTTCTGATGGTCAAGAAGCCTTAGTTAATTCATCAAACACCCCAACATCGAAAAAGCGCAAGAGACTCTGATCTGCAAAAAGGCAAAGAATTCTCAAGAACAATATACACAGGCAAGACTAGGACAAAGTAGTAAGAAAATGAACTCGCACTTTGCTACTGTTACTAATGCTTTGATTTCAGAGTATAAAAAAACCTGAAATCCTAACAAAAGAGAAACTGCAAAAAATTGTCATTAATGAACGTTTTAATCTTGGCATAAGTGAATTAATCAGCAAATTTCTTTGATAAACGCGTAGTAAAGTCATTAAAGATTACATTTTTCTTCTCTTGGAAGTCCAGTGAAAGGCCCAAGTACTTACTTTGGAATGTTCTTTGTGAAATTTTGAAAATAGAATGAATGACTTCTCTGAGATGCTAAAGAGTGTTGTTACTGAGCAGGATGGATGATTTTTTATGATTAATCCTTTGGCTAGAAAATGTAGCATAATCCTCAATAAGACATGTCAATGCCTGGATAGAAGACTCTCTAAATTTTATGAAGAATAAGCTATCATCTGCATACATTAGATGACTTAGCCTAGGTGCATATCTGCTGATTTTAATACCCAGATCAGGAAAAAGTCTTAACTCAGATCGAATTGCAGAAGATATAGCACCCGTTAGCACAGGATGAAAAGGTAAGGGGAGAGAGGGCATCCGTGTCTCAAGCCTTTTGTTGGAGCAAAGTATGGAAGTCCTTCTCCATTAAGTTGAATGGAATAAGTGACTGTAGTAACACAAAGCACTATCAGGTTGATCAAAGTACTTGGTAGACCTGCTTTGGTGAGAACAGCCTGAAGAAAAGTTCAAGACATTCTATCATAGGTCTTGTTCATATGTAATTTAATAGCAGCAAGACCTAAATTCCCTTCTTTTTTCTTTATATGTTCTATGACTTCATGTGCCAATAATATATTTTCATTAATATTCCTTTCAAGAACAAAGCTATTTTGATGATCATCAATGACGTCCGGGATCACCATTTTCAATCTATTTGTTATCATTTTAGTAATTATTTTATACTTGACATTACATAGGCTAATTGGTCTAAAGTCACCAGGAGTTGCAGGATCTAGTTTCTTTGGTATTAAGACAATGCTTGTCTAATTCCATTTCATAGGGAGGTGTTGCTGATGGATTGCCTCCAGTATTGTGGTTTCAAGGTCAGAACCAATGATATGCTTGTAAAACTTATAAAAGCCTGCTGACATGCCATCTGGACCTGGTGATTTCCAGGGAGATATATTCTTGATGGCTTCCCAAACTTCGAAGGTGGAAAATGGTTGTCCTATAACATGGATTTGATCCTGTGTGAGGCATTCATCCACATTTTGTAAAAATTGTGTAAAGAAGGGGGAAGGTAACAGGTTCAAGGAACTAGATTCTGTGACACCATCGATTTCAGCAAAGTGATCCTGGAAGACTTCAGCTATTTGTTCCGAGTCATGAACCCAATTTCCATATGGTGATTTTACTTCAGTGATCTAGTTGTTACCTTTCTTCCTAGTAGCCTATTTATGGAAGAACTTGGAGTTTCTTATCACTATGTGAAGGTCAGATGAGCGTGGATCTCTGATGCCAATAATCCTGTTAAAATTGTAGAGTATCATCCAGTTCTTTCCTCTTTGAATCTAGCTGTTGTGTAAGGGCATCATCAGTGGTGGTATTTGCTTCCTATTGCATTTATATTTCAGAAAGCTGAGCTGTGAGTTTGGTAACTAGTTTTTCCAAATTACCAAAATTTTCTCTACTTCAATTATGTAAGCCAATGAGACTAGATTTCAACTTATAAGAGAGCTGCTCTTGCTTGTTGTCTATATGCAAGTTCTGTTGTTGCCATTAAGTTTGGATGAGGGAGTTGGGTTGTGAACATTTTGTCCAAAATTGTTCAAACTTTTGTTTACCTCTAGTTCTCTTGCTTTTTTCCTTAATATGGATTAAGATAGGAGCATGATCCGACATCATTATTGGCAGGTTCCAAATCAAAGTTTTTGAGAAGTGACTTAACCACTGTTTGTTCACAAACGCTCTATCCAATTTCTCAAAAAATGCATTTTCATTTTGCCCCTGGTTAGACCAGGTGTACCAGCATCCAACGTGTTTAAATTCTTCTAAGTCATTTTGATTGAGAAACTGGTGTATTGGTATGATATCTTGGTCTCTTATTGGTCTTCCACCACTTTTGTCTTCTTGGGTAAGGACCTGATTAAAATCACCTAGAATGATAGTAGGATAATTGAAAGGGCTTAAATTGGCATTCAGCTGCAACCAAAATTGAGGTCTATCTTGGTGGGAAGGCAGACCATACAAAAAAACAGCAAGCCAAATTCTCCCTGTAGGCTCCACAACCCTAGCTACTGTTGCATTAGTGGAATGCATCAGAATACTAAGTTTCACATTATCTAACCAAAATAAAGCAAGACCACCACCAAGTCCTACTGGATCAACCACAAAAGAGTTTTTAAAAGGTGTAGTCTGCTGCCAATAGCTATACTAGCACTAGTTGTTTTAGTTTCCATAAGAAATAATACCTTAGGTCTGTAATACTTATAGAGTCTACCTACATTATGCTGAGTAGAAGCGTTATTAATGCCTCTACAATTCCAGGAGAGGATATTCATTGAGTTGAAGGCGGTTGATCTGGATCAACCACTGCAAAACTCATGAGTTGTTCAGTCAATTCTTCAGCATCCTTGACCTGAGAAGTATTGCTTGCACATTTAGCAACCTCAATAGAACATTGGTGTGCCTATTTCTTGGTTGGCTTGGTATTCAGCTCCATTGAGTTATCAGAAGCTCTCTTCTTGCTGACAGTGGAGGCATCTGAATCCACGGAGTGATCACTTTCCACCTTCATGATCCATGTTGTTGAATTCTTCTTCTGTGGCTGCATCTTCTTCCCAACCCTAACCTTTGTGCTTTGTCCCGATTGTCCTGTTTCTGCGTGAGGAATGATAAAAGGCTGGTAGAACCGATTCAGAGATGGCCCTTCTGATCTTCATCTTTATCTCGACTGATGTGCAGATTCTTCACCTGTTGACATTGATTATGAAAGATCCTAGGAAGATTCCTGCTTCATTGACTTTTTGGTCTTTTTACATTTGATCTTAAGAATATTCCTATACATCTTATCCAGACTAGCAGATTCATCAGAAGAAGGAATGTTCGCAAAGAATCCACTGGTGTTCCTACCCGATTGAATACTTCCTTAGACAGACTTAGATAATTTTCAGTGAATGCAGAATCAGACCACATACTATTCAATACAAATGTAGGTGAAATATTTTATGTTGGTGGAAAGTCGGGAACATTGGGAACGAAGATTTCTGGTATAAAGTGGGGATCGTGCATCATGTCCTCTGAGGGAGGGATTTTAGGAATAGAATAAAAGAAAGGAGACAATAAACCTTGGCTTTCAGCATCCATCTCCAAAAAGTCAACAGAGGGGTCATTAGACATGGAAGAGTAAACTGTTGGAAAGGAGTGAAAACTACCTTCATTAGAGCTCTCTGTGTCTGAGAGATAATCCTCTGATGCTGCTGGTGCCGCCATTCTTCCTGGATCATAAAAATTGTTATTGTTCCGGAGCTTATTTTGCAAGAAGGCTTGGAGAGAGTTGGTCTGGTCATCATCATGATAGAAATTATCAGCATTGACGTCCGCCATATCTGTTGGCGTGTCATCATTTCCACCATCTGAATCATCATCATCTTCATCATCACCTCCACTGCCATTGTTTGAATCATTATCATCATTGTCATTATTTTGATTCTGATTCCCAAACCAAGGTACTGGCTCTGGCTCCTCAAGCTCCGAAATCATGAAACCATCTTAAACATAGTGATCAGAAACTGATTTACAGTAATCTTTCATCGCACTAACCTTGTAATCAGGGAACCTAGCAGATCTCTTCTTCTTATGTGCATGTGCTCTGAGAGAGCTTGTATACAGAGGTTGAGTGAAATCAAACAGCATTGGTGTATTGAACTTCACTACCTGTACTGAGAAGAAGTTGTCCAAGAATTGCACAAGAGCATTTGGCTCCATCATGTAGCATCTTTAAGAGGATGCCCAGGCTACCACACCTTTGACGATACTTATGCATATGCTCATATTTGCAACGAATTTTACCTAATTTACCATTTCTTTTCCTGAAGTGAAAACAAGGAGTAAGAAGATCACCTGGTTTGATCCAAACTTTGACCCTGGACATAAGTTGCTCTTCTCAAGGAGACGCAGTCTGCTTTAATTCTTGACACATCACCAATCCTACTGGCCAGATCTTCAATTGCTTGATAATTAATAGCAGTAATGGGAACGCCATGCATTCTGACCCATATGTTGAGCCTGTTAATCCCGATACTGTCCAAGGAGAGATTTTCATGGTTATAGATTCGTCTGAGAATGAGGAAACCCTCATTGACTGCATATGGGACATTGTCAAGAATGGCAAGCATATCAGATCTACTTGCAAACTTGATGATGAAGAAATTTCTATTATAATGCAGGATCCGGGTGTACAGTGGTCAATTTTGGATCATATATTTCTGCACGCCCCGGTCATCCATTTCAACATCATCGATGAGAAATCCTAGAAGGGACAGTTTAAGATTCTCCCTAGATAGTTGTGTTTGCACATCCGTTAGTTGCATGCAGTGAGAATGGAGATAAGGAAGAGGAATTGTTTGCGGATTTGCATCCACACCATGTCTGAAATCGTGTTCTTCTTCCGAAAACTCAGATCTTTGGACTGACATAACAGTCAAAGAATGCTCATCCATTGTATGTCGATAGATCATCGTGAATGAGACAGAAAGAAGCCAAAAGAAGTAGGATTTAATAAGTTTATACTGTAATGAAGTAGAACAAAGAGTTAGAAAGCACAGATATGGACAGATGTACTCTAAAACAAATGAATAAGGAATATGAAAAGCAGGAAATTAGATAAAACAAGGAAGAGAAAAGGTTTTATTTTTGTGGATTAATATTGAATGTTAAGGAATATGAAAAGCAGGAAATTAGATAAAACAAGGAAGAGAAAAGGTTTTATTTTTGTGGATTAATATTGAACTCTAAAAGACAAATACCTTTACTACACTAGTTTCCAAACCTTGGTCAAATATCATTGGAACTAGAAATGCTTTCAGTTTTTGCAAAACAGAGAATGGAATAAAGGCAGAGGATTTTATGGACTTTAGGAAAGCAAGCCCATATAAGAGTTGGATTTAAAAAGGTATTAGTCCCGGTTTTCAAAAAAAGGAGAGTTAGAGAATTAATATTAAATTGTACTCTTTCCGTCCCAAAATTATTGTCCAGTCTTACTTAAATACAAAATTTTATTTTTGGTCAAACTCAACCAAATTTTGTCATAAATTTCCACATATACCCCTACATCCAAAATCGATTTCGCCGCCCAAAGAAATTGGGTTTCTTCTCTTTAACTCCAAAATCCAAAGACCATATTCAAACGCAAGAATCACCTTCAATAATTCAATCAGGAGCTTATATTTGAAACCAATTTGTAGATGAAGAAATTCAAATTGGTGTTTATATGAATACAATACTTCTACTTCGCCGGATCATCCCTCTCCGGTGTAGATCGAACAGAGTTCAACCGTAAGTCATCGCATGTGCCAATCAAATCCAAATTTCCGAATGAATCGATCGATTGCAATGATTCATATGAATTAGAGTAAGATGTTTCAGATGAATAGAAATCATAATATACACCTCAGATCCTCAGCCGAATCAACATAAATTTAACTTTATCAAAAGAAATTCTAACAAAGTCAATGTCCAGATCTTTTCAAGAGCGTTGATGTAAGAAGAAGCTTCAAGACAAGGAGAAGAATCAAACCTTAGAGATGCCGAGACCTTCACAAATCCGGCCACCTCATACTCCAGCGGTGACTGTTGCACTTGTTTCCGGCTTTCCGCTTGGAGAAAATATGTTCCAATTAAATTGTTTTCTTTCTTGACTAAAGGGTATAAATGTAACTTAATTCTTAAAAAGTCACATTAGACAATAATTTTGGGACAATTTTTTTAATAAACTGGAAAATAATTATGGGACAGAGGGAATGTAATTTTTCAGGAAGGCCAAATGTTATGAACTACACAAGGACAAATATTATACTCCCTCCGTTTCAGAATAAGTGTCATTCTAGAGTTTACACATAGTTTAAGAAAATATTAAATAAGGTAAATTAAATTACTAGAATATCCTCAACCAACCCATTAAAATAAATGTTCACTAATAATATTATTTCTTTTGAGGATATGTTTGGAAATTTTTGACAAAAAATGCATTGGAATCCGAAAATGACACTTATTTTGGAATTTCTCTATTTTACCAAAAAGCCACCTATTTTGGAATGGAGGGAGTACTTAGATTTGAAAAGTGGAAGCAATTGATCGAGTTTGGTATAGTAAAATAAGGATTCCAGTGAGAAAAACCTATTTGGAAGCAAAAAATTAGGTTTTGGATAGTAGATATAAACCACACGTGATAAATTTTGGTTTATGTTGGTCTTGGATATGAAGATTCCAGTTATAAATTTTGTTTGATTTCTAAGTTGTCAATTTTCAAAGTCTTTCTCAAGGAGAAAAAGAGAACATTCTGTCACTAATTTTTAGAGGGAAGGACAACTTACTTCATTACGATTAGTCCTATCATGCATGTGTTTGAAGAGTGTTCTCAAGACTTTGATATTCAGAAATTATTTGAATAAAAATTATATTCAGATTGCAGCATGTAATATAGAGACATACGAAAAATCCCTTTTTTGATACGACTAAATGAAATGCAATTCCAACACTAAACAACTCTCTCCTTCAGTTGCTGATTTGAGCAAAGCAGTAAGTTCTCTCGATGACTTTGTCTTCTAAAACGGATATATTGCTATTGAATCGCAACTGATATCTTGTCATCCTCCTGAAAATGCCAGCAAAGCCTTCAATTCATGCATGCCCGACACCTGTTATCCCATCCTTTCTTCCTCACCGCTCTACTTAAACCGCCCTTAATTCTCACTTCTCATTCACACTTGTTCTCTCTTCTCCTTAATCTCTTTAACCCACAAGAAAAAATCCCAAGGATTCATTCAATCAAGAAAGGTTCTTTCTTTGTTGCTTTTAATTATACTGATCAGAAGGAGAAATGGGAAGGAATTCCCTTTTTTTGTTGCTTGCCCTGTTGGTGGCATTCTGTGCACTTTCTGCCACCACCGTTGGCGGCGGTTATGTTGACCAGCATGAAGGTGGTGGTAGCGGCGGCGGTGAGATGGAACCGGAGGAAGGAGGAGGAGGAGAAGAAGGAGGAGATTCTCCGATGGGAAATTCCAAGTTCTTGCTGCAAGATTCTACCAGGGTGGTGAGGACTGATGCAGGGGAAATGAAGGTGTTGAGGGGCGGCGTTCATCGATTCTGGCGGAATCCGATGCATATCGGATTGATCACTATGGAACCCAACAGTTTGTTCATCCCTCAGTACCTTGATTCCAGTCTCATTCTCTTCATCCGCAGAGGTAAATTGTGTTTGAGTTTTTTTTTTTTTTTATTAATGTGGATGAATTAGAATGCTTTAATTGAATTGTTTCTGGGAATTTTTTGGGTTTCAGGGGAGGCAAGAATTGGGCATATCCAGAGCGATGAGTTGGTTGAAAGGACATTGAAGACTGGTGATGTGTATAGAATTGCATCTGGCTCGGCTTTTTACCTTGTTAACAATGCTGAAGGTCAAAGGCTTCATGTGATCTGCAGCATTGACACTTCTGATAATTACGGATGGCAATGGAATAGGCAGGGCTTCCAGGTAGTATTTTACTAGCTCATTTACAAGCTTCTGTTGTTCTTTCATATGCATTGAAATAATCGTCTTTATGGGCCTATATTTCGAGTTCTAAATTGTTGATTCTTCCGCAGTCTTTCTTCGTTGGTGGTGGAGTGAATCCTACATCCGTACTTTCTGGATTTGATCACATGACATTGTCTACTGCATTTAATGTAAGAGCTTAAACTTGCAGTTGCTTCGAATCCTTTTTTTTTTTTTTTTTTGGGTGGGTGGTCTTTTGGATGATGAATTGTTAATGGTGTGGCTGATTTATGGGTAAAAATTACAGGTCTCAACTGATGAGCTGAGGGAGATTTTCACCAGCCAACATCAAGGCCCAATCGTCCATTTATCCGGTTCTCATGCACAGGGGATTTGGGTAAAATTCCTGGAACTGAAAGAGCACCAGAGGTTAGCCCACTTGAAGAGAATTGTTCATCTTGAGGAAGACACAAAGCAAGATGATGATGAAGAAGAAGAGAAACAACCAACTTGGTCAATCAGGAAGTTCTTGAAATCAATCATTGGGGATGAAAACAGGAATCGTGATGACAAGAGAGGCAAAGGTCCTGATGCTTACAATATCTATGACATGAAACCCGACTTCCGCAACAATTACGGATGGACTAAAGCCGTTTCTGAACATGATTACTCTCCTCTCCGCCATTCTGACATTGGCATTTTCCTCGTCAATCTTACCGCTGTAATTCCCTTTTTCCCCTGCCCTTTTAGGTATAGTTCAATTCATCATGTTTGCTTTATGGCAATCTCTGATTGTGCTATTTGATTTTTGAAATGTAGGGATCAATGCTGGCTCCTCATATCAATCCAAGAGCAACAGAATATGGTGTGGTCTTAAGTGGAAGTGGTACCATTCAGATAGTTTATCCTAATGGAACACTGGCCATGAATGCTAGAGTCAGCGAAGGAGATGCATTTTGGATCCCAAGATATTTCCCCTTCTGCCAAATTGCATCAAGAACCGGCTCTTTCGAGTTCTTTGGCTTCTCGACATCCGCGAGAAACAACAGGCCACAGTTCCTTGTTGGAGCAAATTCCCTGTTGCAGAACATGGCTGGACCCGAATTTGCAGCTGCATTTGGAGTGAATGAGGACAGGCTGCGAAAGATAGTCGATGCTCAGCGCGAGTCGACTATATTGCCTTCTGCAAGCGTCGCGCCGCCCGACAACAAGTTGGAAAAGGCTAAGAGGGTGTTGGATAATGTGATCAGGAGCTATGGCAATGATATGATCATGGGATTTGATTAGAAAGAAAAACAAAAAAAAAAAAAAAAGGCTTTGTTGCGGCTTTGCTGCTGGACGGATTTCTGATCTGGGCATTTTGCATTTGAGTTCAGTTTTTCTTGTCTGTTCCTTTTTGTTTTTGTTCATTTCTCTGTCCAACTGTTTGCTTGGGGCCTGGTTGTGAATAAACATCAGCAATTTGCTCTTTGTTCTTGCTACCCAGTTTTGTCCCAAGGTTTCATGTTTCCGGAGATATTGTGAATAAAATCTGAGACTTGTTTTGAGAGTTGAAACCATATGCTTTTGTCCTTTATGCTGCAGAACTGCAGCCAATCTATATGTATCTGTTTGTTTCATTTCACCCCGAGATACAAAGTCGGCAACCTGACAAAACCCAAAATCAATTAAATCAATTTCTTTGATGTCAGTGTAAGATACACGTTGCTAGAAAGTAGCAATCTTGATGATCAATGGCTTTTGTACACTGTTTAGCTGAATCCCCCAACTTGAAAGCATCAAGATAGTTTCATTTTTTTTTTTTTGTTTATTACACTGATATAATAAAAGCATTTAACAATCCTTAATTCCTCTGAATTGTAGAGAAAAGTTCACAATGAGCACAAGGAAAGAACATCGATATCTAGACTTCCCTTTTCTAGGAAGACATAAAAAGCATACGTATAAACTCAACTCAAAGTTCCCCCAGTTTGGGGAAATCAATACGAAAGAGATCATCACACCAAAAAGCTCACTTTTCACTGCATTTATTCTCTGAAATAAGTAAGTATGAGGCCCTGCTTCAAGTTTGGCAGGGGTGAATAATTCTCCGTGTTCTTCTCTTTTTCCTTTTTTAAAATATATCACAATGATTTAGTGGAGCAAAAAGTGCTTCAATTGTGCAGAACGTTTGTAAGACTCAGTGGAAATCTATATCTTGTGTCTGCATTCAGAATTTCTTTTGCTTTAATTAATTTGGTGGTTTCCCTTACCTCATTGTTCTGTTTCCTCATTCAAGAAGAAGTCATCAAGACTAGGTTTGGCAATTTGGTGATACATTTAGAAAGATAAAGATGAAGTCTTGACTCCAAAATTCATTTGTAGACACTGTTCTGCTCAGAATTGAAATAGTTGTTCTCTTTCAGCAGCTGCAAATTATCGTTTCTCTGATCTCTTTTGTTATGAATTTATGATCATTTGTCTACAACAGATGCCTAAATGCCCTGAACTTGCTGTTTGAACTTTGAACTGTCCTTCCTGCCAATGTATCTTGCTTCATTGCACAATTATATTCTCCCTAATTTGTGTCATTATGATCAATCAATTTGCTTTTTACAAGTAATTTTTTCCACTACAGATGATTACTTGAAGCAAGGTACATTCGCTCGAATTTGCATACATTGATCTTGATGGTTTTCCATTATTGTAGAATGAAATGGCTCTATCTTACTACAGACAACAGCGCGCAAATTGGGAAGTGAAGATGAAAATGTAGTGGTTTCTGACGGTCAAGAAGCCTCAGTTAACTCATCAAGCACCCCCAACATCGAAAAAACCCCAAGAGACTCTGATCTGCATGAAGGAAAAGAGTTCGCAAGAACAATATACACGGGCAAGACTAAGGACAAAATAGCGAGAAAATGTTGATACTTTGCTGTCAAGCTAGTGTCCCTTGCAATCGTTTGAACTCGCACTTCGCTACTGTTACTAATGCTTTGATTTCAGAGTATAAAAAACCTGAAACCCTAACAAAGGAGAAACTACAAAATGTCATTAATGAACTTTTTAATCTCGGCATATGCGAATCAAATGATCTAGATTACACGTGCTGTCATGGTGTTGGGTGAGCCAAGGGAAAGTAAATTTAAGTGGTATTATCTGAAGAAGGTTGGCAATGGCCTAATAGTCGAGCGCCTGAGATTCAAAGTATTGTTAGTGCACTTCCTGCGATACATTTGAATAGAGAAGATTCTGTGCTTTGGAAACATTCATCTAATGGAGGATTTTCAACATCCTCTGCTGTTAAGGTTTTGAGGAATTCTCGACCGAAGCTGGGATGGACACAGCTTGTGTATGGCCCTGGAAGGATACCTAGAAATAACTTCATTCTGTGGTTAGCTATTAAAGAAAAACTCCCCACCACTGATACGGTTTGGCTGCAAAATAGAGGTCAGTTGTGTGTGGTTTGTGAAGGTGAGCCTGAATCACATCAACATTCATTCTTTGAATGTCACTTTTCAGCAAGATGTACCTCCATTCTTCATCGAGAAGTGCAATTTCAATGGCCATATGCAGACTGGCAGCAAGGTATAGAAAGGGCATCAAAGAAGTGGAGAGGGAAGCACTTGATAAATGTTGCATATCGCAATCTGTTGGCTGCTATGTTATACCTTTTGTGACAAGAACGGAACCTCCGTAAATTTGAGAATAGAAAGAGATCTCCTGAAGAACTTGTGAGGGTAACAACCAATATGGTAAGGGATAGACTTTATACTATGAATATTGGGGATTCAATCCAAGCAAGAGTAGTGTGCCGTCTTTGGAGGATGGCTTGGAACTAAGAATGTAATAGGTATCTTCATGTATTGTTTACTGATGATAGGTGACCATGATTATCTTTAGTATATCCTATGTAATATTATTAAGTTGAATGCAATTGACTTTTCCAAAAAAAGAATCAAATGATCTTGATGCTGCTGATATTTGCCACCGTGATCCAGCCAAAGCTCGGGTTCTAATGCCTTTGCCGAGTGATACAAGAAAGTCTTATTGTGCTTAAGTTCCTCGGTCCACCATCTCATTCATGAATCATTTGTCGGAAGACATTTATCTTTTTGTCTGTCTTTTGGGACATGAAGCTTTCATAAGTACTATGAACTTCTTTTCCAAAAAAAGCACTATGAACTTAGAATGTTATTGCTGTTACTCCCTCCATTTCAATTTGTAGGTCGTTTTACGTTTGGAGAGATTTTTCAAAATGTAGGTCGTTTTACAAGTTTTAGGCAAATTAATAACTATTTTTTCAACTTTACCCTCAATAAATGATGCCAATATATTTTCATTTAGTCTTGTTTATAGTTCCAATGTGATTAATGAGGGGTAAAACAGATATTTAACACATAAATTAATTGTTAGATGATTGTCTTCTTAGTATACGTGTAAAGTCTAAAGTAACCTACATTTTGAAATTGAGGGAGTAGTTAAGTAGGGTATTTTGTGGCTCTGATTCTATATTTATGCTCCACAAACTGATATGGTAGCATGGTGCATAATCCGAACCTAAAATTCTGTCTGAAATGGAGGTCAGTGCTGGTGTTTATACCCTATATCATGTCCACCTTAAATAGTCTGTATTTTTGCCTTATAAGGAAACTTGGTCATTGATGCAAATAACAATGTGACACTTTTTTCATTGCTGTATTAGACTAGTAGTGCCTTTTTGTTGATTTCGCATAGGGGAAAATCGCCAACGTTTCTTTTCTTAAAGCTCATGATTGACTTGGTCAAGGAATGCCATGCCTGAGGTGAAGTTGATCATGTTTGAAAGGATAATTTTCATAGTATTGAAAGTTTGAAACCGTATGGATGAATATTGGGGCTGCCATCTAAAGTTGTACCACTAAAATAGAGTTTTTATTGTAAAAGAATTGAAATTTTATTACTGCTAAGATAGAGTCACTAAATTCAAACCGCTCGATTCACTATTGTTTTTTTAAAGCTATTAAATTTACATCGTTCTACCCACTCTTTTTAATTAACTAAAATCCATTCCCAAGGTTGACTACAATCCCTATATACATAAAAAAAACCTAAGACCATATCCAAAAAAAAAAAAACAAGAAACAAAAATTGAACGAGATAAAAGTATATGGATTGAGAAATCAATTTAATATTTTGCTATAATTTGGGATGAAAAAGAAGCATAATCAAAATTTGAAGGATTGTTAGAGTAATTTACTCTTAAAACTGCCTTGGTTATTCTTTCCTCTCCTAAATCCTGGTTCGTATCACCTACAGAATAACAGAACTTTTGAAGATTCCCGCAAGAAAAAGAAAAACTCCCGTTCCTCCAATTCAGTTTTGATTGCAAATTTTTTTTCAGGGATCCTTAGATGCAGCTAGGCATGGGAATATTTCGGCATCTTCCCTTTGCAGTAGTATTGTTGGCTTCTGTATTTCTGCTTACTTCGATTCACAACATTGAAGCTGAGGTGATTACCTTAACAGCTGACACTTTCAATGACAAGGTACAGTCTTTGGACCTTGCAAAGATTTATTTTCTTCTTTCCGGGAAGAACCCATTATACCTTTTCTCGTTATTGTTCCTTGGGTAATGATTCCAGATCAACTGACCATCTTAGATTATATGTTGAAGTTAATTTCTAGGTTTCCAAAATTATGTCCTAGCCAAGCAATTGTGTTTTTTCTTTCCGTTTGGATTTATACTTGTCTTATTCTTGTAATCATAGAGTTCTTGAGCAGGTCAATGTGTGTTTTGGTTTTCCTGCAACTAATAGGAAGATAAGATTAGGTGTATGATACGATTCTGAATAGGATGAATTGATAAGGTCATATTAATGCGGCTGGTTTCCTTTGAAGTTACTTGTTCACTGGAAGTCCCATACTGTGGATGGTGATCTGTGACAGGGTTTTTCTCGTTAACTTTGAGTTTTGGTTTCCTAAGTTGCAGATTTTGTGTTAATGTTTAGGTTCGAACCTTTTTTGTATAAATGTAATATAGGTCCAAAATTGCAATGTAGATTGGAAATGTTATTTAGTTTTCAAAGATTAATTGTAAAGCTTACGTTGGTTAAGTAGTCTTCTGCACGGCCTTTTGTACCATTTTTCTTTTTGTATTAATGAAATCAGGAACATTCTCGTCAGGAACAATGGTTTTCTCAATAAATTTCATAAAATGAAAATGTTCATTGTAAAAACTAATGTGTCTTGCATTAACCGTGGCCCTACAAATTGGCTTCTTTTATCCTGGACCCAAATTGTTTAATGAAGGACATCCCTCTTTAGGTCCGTGTTCATGTTTGTAGTGACAAGTCAAAGAGCAGGACATTGAGAACATAAATTTCCTTCCTGTTGGGTTGTTTATGCTTGATATTTGAAAGCAATTTTCTTTTGAGATGTGGTAACTCAACACGTTCTCTGTTTTAAAGCATGAATGTACCATTTTTACCTTTAGGAGGTACTGAATACTGTTATTTGGTCCAATTGTGAAAAGTCTGAAATGTGCTTTATTTAGGTGAACGAGCAAAACACGGCATGGTTCGTGAAGTTTTGTGTTCCATGGTGTAAGCACTGGTAAAGCTTCTTTAAGTTTTGCTCCATCTTCCCTTTTTGGCTCAACTGCATTCTTTCAGTCTGTTATCTCATGGAAGTAACTAACTAATTTTTCGCAGTAAAAACCTTGGAACATTATGGGAGGACGTGGGAAAAGTAATGGAAGGTGAGGATGAAATAGAGGTTGGAGAGGTTGATTGTGGAACAGATAAATCAGTTTGCCGCAAAGTAGATATTCATTCATATCCTACGTTCAAGCTATTCTACAAGGGGGAGGAAGTTGCGAAATATCAAGGTACAAATTCCTTCAGACACTTATGATCTCCCTACTTACTAGTCGATACCTTCCGTAATGGCTTCTCAATAATTTCTGCTGTCTTGTCACTGTTGTTCTGTCTGATTTTTTACCCCCAACTATTGGCTGATAACTTTGATGACTGATGATGATTAAACTAAACCGAGTTTGTAGTTTCTCAGTACCTATTTTTATAGCTCTGAAAGAATGAGCGACTTCTGATTAGGCTTAACAACAATAATGATAGAGAAATAAGAATCAGAGTTGAGTTCCTACCCACGTATCATGTAATGTGAACTGGATTAACCCCTCCACCCTTGTGAAAGAAGCCTATGGTTTCAGAGGGATTCACATATCAGAAAATGATAATTTCCTCTTCCCAGTATGGAAAGGCATACCTTCTTTTTTCCTTTTGTTGTCAGCATGTCGTCATCATGTCAAATTAGTAGACCAAATAATCTATAGGAACTTCATGAACCTGATGCCCAAGGAGAGCATTCCAATGAGTTATGTGTCAAAGTTCAGTTAAGTCATCTCTTCAGCTTCATGTGTCATGGACTCATGGGTAAGCAAGAACATCCTCAGTCGGCCGAAGGCTTTTTACGGTCTAATTTCCATCAGAGGCATCTGTGGGATTGAGAGAAAAGAAGGAAGACTGTTTGATTAGCTTCATGAGAGAATAAGAAACTAAGGGGGCAGATTTCAGCTTGTTGGTCTCTTCTTACTGGTGCAAAAACTGATATTAGTGATCTCAATATTATCTGTTGCCAATGTCAACGTTCCAAGTCTTTTGGAAATGTATTCAAGGTTGACAAAATCGGTTTCAGTGACTTTTACTTTAAAGCCGTAAAGTTTACCAGGTAATGCCAGAACTGACAAGGAATTAGTCATCTGCTTCTGATCTTTTAAGCTGCCTTGATTGCTTAGGTGTCTATGGATCTGTTGGTGTACTTGTGTGTATAACAACCTATTGCAGAATATGTCAGTTTATATTTTGAATATTAGCTATATGGTAAGATCATATAATCCTGAGCTTAAGCCATATTAGTGAAGATGGCCAAGTTCGCGGAATCTTGTAGCTCGATCTTAGCAGAATTTTTCATCTGTGTTTCCATGTTGTTTACCCGTCCTGTTGCAACCTGTCAATTGCCTTTTTTATTATCTGGTTTCATATTTTTGAAATTGTATGATGTGTAAATTTTTGCAGATGCAATTGATTTTCATTCATTTCTCAGTTGTCTTCTTATTCTAAATAAATACCAACATGCAATTGAGGAAGTGCCAATTCATAGTTCCATTTATGAGTCATATAATAGCAATCTAGCTGAATGATTATTGGTTGTAATGGACCTAGTGGTGGTTCTGATCGTAGTGTCTAATCTTATTGATGCATTACAGGATCGAGAGATGTTGATTCTTTAAGAATATTTGCCTTAGAGGAAGCAGAAAAGGCCGTAACAAAAGCAGAAGTTGACAATGATGAGTTATGATTAATTTACTGGTAATTGACTATTCTTTTTCTTCCTCTCCCTTGAAAAACACTGCCATTTTGGCTCTTAAGTTCTACCATGATCATCAGTTTTTGTAATTTTGAAAAGGCGAGTGTAGCTCATGTTCCCTGTGCATATTTTAACATTTGGACGAAATTTTATTTGCTTTCAGAGACAACAGCGGCATCGCAAAACAAAAGTAGAGTAATGAACAAATTTGGGGAGAATGCAATGGGTATTTTAGTATCAAAGGTAGTTTGTGCCGAGTTTGATGGTGGTGTATTTTTTATTTTTTTTTATTTTTCCATTAGAATTCTTTTTAACTGCATAAAGTTGATTGGATGGATTTTGATTCTTAACCTGCATAAGACAATTTTGGTTACTATAATATATATATATATATATATGTATATATATATATATATATAAGTTGATTGAATACATTTATAATGAAATTATTGTATCTCTTAACGCGATAATTATGAATTACCATAATAAATATAAATAAATAGTGTTAGTACAGTATTCACTTTTATCATATAATTTATTATATAGAACAAAAATGATCATAATAAAAAAAATTGAGAATTATTACCTTTTTACAACATCTATTGCTTATACATTCTGTCTAAATGGGGGAAAAAAGATTGGTTCGAGGAAAACAGTAGCCAATGAAGTTCAACAAGCTCGGAAAAACTATAAGCGAAAATGTGGGTTATACAAAAGATGGTTCGATCCCTATCTTTGTAAAGATTGATTGCAAGAGAATTTGTTCATTTTTATTAGGAGGCGGTGATAGAAAAATCATTTGTTTTTAAGTGAGTACCTCAGGAAGGGAGACGGTTTGATTAGCTCCATGGGAGGATGAGGGAAATATGCAGAGTGGCCGGTTTTGGGCTTGTTTATCTCTTCTCACCTCTGCCTTTCAACATTTTCTGCAGTTTGGGTCTCAAGTCCTACTACGATTATCAATTCTCCATATTTTCAAATACTATAATTTCTGCTGTATATTATTTGCTCTGATACCACAGCAGAAGACAAAGCTAAAATAATCCGTGACAAGGCTCTTCTAGCGTTTAGATGATTCTCCAGAATGTGATCAAGGATACCTTTAAAGTTTTTTCTTCCTAGCCTACTTTCAAATTTGCACTTTTCTGATAATAAGTGATATCATTCAACTAGTTTAAAAGGTTCGTTTCCTATTCCATTCATCAGCGAGATCAAGAATCCGTCAGAACTTAAGGAGGGACAATGTCAAATGCGGCAAAAACTGCAGCAGCCCAATGATGTTGGTCTTCCGGACTCACAAAATACCAGCCCCAAACGACCAACAGGGACAGTTCCTATGTAACCAATCTTATAAACATCCTGAAGTGGAAGTTGGAGTGGCTTGTAAGAAGGCTTCTTGTTCTCCTGAATCTGGTCAAGAGCCTCAAGGAGAGTTGGACCCTTGTAACAATCAAGGTTGGTAGATCTCTCAATCATGTTGTCACCTTCAAAACAGAGATTCGGACAAAGTTAATCTTGTCAGGAATGTATCCAACCTTCTTCAGGTAGGATGAAACTTGTTTAACAATTTCATCGTAATGAGCCTAGGAGTACTTGGGGGTGGTGGCATCCATCTAAAATGTAACACAAGTGCAAAGAACATAAGTCAGGAAAAAGAACACAGGAGTTACTGAGACGTACCAAAACTTTCATCAACATCATATATAGCTGCAAATGGATATCACAGAAATTCACCTTGTTACAACAGCAGATCATTTGCTTCACACCAAGAGGTCACTATTACTATTATGATAACATTCGTCCAGCTAAAGAATCTGTAATGTAACATGTGGAGGTATCAAACTTAAGAGCTGCTGCTTAGCACACCTTCTGGCCTCATTTGTTACCTCAGCTTCCACGGTGAGTGTCTCAAGATCACATGACCAATTTTCTCCACAAATTTCAATCTCTTTATAAAACTGGGATGACAAAACAAAAAAAATGGCTCAAGATAGGAGGCAACAAAAATAATGAAATACAATAATGGCAAATTAATACTCCATAATTTAATATTTTCTCCAGTCCTAACTTGATACCAGTATGAAAAACATAGACAATCGAGAAATAATAATAAACCAAAAAAAAAAATTATGTTATAAATATAGTAACTATCAGTGCCGTAAATTAGAACAACTAATAAATAATAAATAAAATAAAAATAAAAAGATTTAGTAAAAATAAATATATATTTTTTAACTGATATTTATATCTTATATTAAAATATTTCATCTTTGATTTCTCTCAATATAATCAAAAGCACAAATTTCCTTTTCTTAAACAGCAAAATAGTTTAAATCAAATCCTCGAATTCAATCCGACCCCGATTGTTTCTGTATGATTCATCTTCTTCCTCATTACAGTCTATATGGTCCATATTCAGCAACTTCCTCTTTACAGACACATAAGAGGTGGTGCTCTGTCATGGTTTCATCATTTATACTTAATTATGTATTTTTATGATTTGACAATTTCTCGAGAAAAAAGGCATGAGTTTCTGCATTCATTTACGAAATATCTCTTAAATGCTTTTGTTCTTTCTTGTGGCTAGAAATGCATAATCTAGCCTATAATAGGATATGATGTAATAGCCTAGGTATTTCACGTATTTAATCAATACAGGTATCTTCTTATAAAAAAAATCAATTAAAAAGTTGATTATATCAATTATTGCACTATTTCAAACAAATAAATAACAAATAATTAAAGAGGCACATGTTGCGTAAACGAGACAATCTTAGCTAGAAACTATGCAATTAAAATTAAAAAAAAAAATATTAATCGCGAACAAATAGGAAGAAATACCATAAAACAACAAGGTTTATAACTTTACAATTTCATAAAAAAAAAAAAAAAAAAAAAATTGAACTTAGTACAAAAGAGTAGTGTAATTCCCTTGCTTTGCCAGTTCGAGTACAAAAGTCCACGATCCTAACTCTAAATACGAAATTGTCATTATCTTTGTTTTCTGCTATGTACAGTTAAAAATCTATAAATTAATATTTTTAAGATTCTAAAAAATTATTAATTTATAGATGTATTAATCTATCGATTAGCGTAACTAAAAAATTGATTTAGTATTAAAGTGATGATAATTCAATATCTTAATCACACGAAAGAAAATATTTAATGCGAAAATAAATCTTCGAAATTTTTGTTACAAATATGAGAAATCTGCACCAAAACTTTTAAAACTAATGAAAAAAACAAACATGAAATCTCCTTAGATGTAACTTATAAAAAGATAAATCTTACTAGACTCATATTTTATTAGTTTCTAATTGTTTATATATATTTAATTCATTATTAATTTATGGTATTAACGAGACCTATATTTACGTAGTAGTTTTGTGAAAAATTATTATCTTACCATTTTATCAATTGTCTTTAATTTTTATACTGGTCCCAACTTGGGACCGGAAAAAATTATTAATTATAGATGTTACTAATTTATAGATTATTAATTTATAGATGTTATACTGTATTACCCTATGTATCAACCAAAAATAAAAAATAGAAATGAAGACTTTAATATGCTATTATCATAGAAAGCATTACACTAATGTGTGTTTATAGACAATTTATAAAATTCATATATACATTTAAGCTATAGATGATAAAAATGCAGAGTTTTTTCTTTTTTTAAAACGAAATAAAATGAAATTATATGGTCTCAATGAGAATCGAACCATCTATTTCCTGGTAATAATCATTCCCGATTCTATTTCCCTAACCACCTTACCAAACTCTCCTACCCTCCATTTTTTTTTTCAAATAAACAATGTCAAATAAATTAACTCGATATTTCTTTATGTTCTTAAGAGCGCAGTTACATGTCAATTCGTTGATATATAGTTTAATAAAATTAACTTATTTTTACACTCTGCAATACAATTGTAGGTGGGTACCATCTTGGGCTCTCAAATTTTTTTCCCCTCAAAAAAAAAAAAAGAAAAAGAAGAAGAAAAGGTACCACATTAGCGCATTTGTTTGCCAGATTCATAAGTTTCTAATAGAATTTTAAGACCAAAGTCAATTCGGAGTTTAGTTTTGGATTTGATAGATTTTGGTGTTCGTATCTTGGCAACACAAACTCAATAACGCCAGTGAGAATAAAAGGTCACTATTATTATATGAGGAAAATTCTGTGGTTCAGTTGATGATTTTTTACTGAATCAATCAGTTAAAATTTTTTCAATCAACGTTAAAGACTACGGATGTTTTCGTGGGGGTGCGAAAAACCATATTAAAATCCAAATTACTTACTAACCTGCCAATTTGGTCATTTACCATACTGTATCTTTTTATTATTATTTTTGTTTTTATTGTTTACCAAGATTACTTTTATCTAATCTCATTGTAAACCCATTTTCTTTCTCAGGATAAATTGACTACAGAAAAACGGCTTTATTTTTTGCATGTGATTACTTGGCAGTTGGCAAAAAGCTTGGCTAAAGACAACCGGGAAAATTGTGCCTCGCTTTCCATTGAATTGAGGATGAACAACACAGTTGCACCAGAACCATCCATTTTCAGTACTTTTAAAATGCAGCCGAAGCAAAAAAAACACAAAGCATAAGTACTTCATCCAATAAGGTGAAGCTGATAGAATTGATTTAGTGAGCAAGTCCACAAGAATCAGAGATCCACCAACAATATCAGGACTCACTTAGTATTTCAGATGCAACTGAGTCCATGTAACAACTTTTTCAAGAGGTCATAAGCCAACAAAATACTTTTTCATTACCTAAATATTAGATAGTAATTTCTTTAATATTACAAACATGACAATTAACCTCCACTTGAGTACACATAGTACGAAACAAACTTCCACCGTAGTGCTGAGAGGGAAAAATAACTCCATTTAATTCAAAAAGAGCACAAATTTTGACGAAATTTGCGAAAAAAAAACCATTATTGCTTAGAGTCCGCAATACTTCTTAATTAAGTTTTGT